AAGGGAGGTGGATAGTCCTTCCACACACCCTAAGGCCTGGCCACAGGCCCAAGTCTCACACATGGAAGATGTTTTTCTGAGAAGACAGATGCAAAGAAATGTATTCTAACCAATGGCTTTAACCTTGGAAGATAGAAGATTGGAAAAACTACCTTGTTGCACCGAAATGTCCTTTTCCCACAAATGTAGACGGGGATGGGGAGGAATGGGAGAGAGTATACTAGATGTGCCCTTCAAGATAAAAATATTACAATTTAATTGAACTTGAGTTGAAGTGAAGTGAAACTGTGCAATTTGCTGAATCTCTGTAATTACTTCCTCCAAAGAGGAGAAATTAGTTCTGACAATGTTTTAGGAAATACATTCAGGATTTAGAGTTGTGGTAGATTTTTCTGGCATTAATGCTTTGTTTCAGGTAATTGTTCTAAATTCTTTACCCAGAGTAATTTGGGTCATGTATGGTAAGACACGCAGACCCAGAAATAATTGCCATGAGAGAAGTTTATACTCACAGATTCTCTAACATAGAGGGCACAGTACTACCAGGGACAACTGGGAAAGGACCAGGGTCAGGCAGGAGGTAGAAGGTAGGTAGGAGGCAGTCTCAGCCCCTTTACTGTGGTTTCCATGGTACCCAGAGTAAGCTTAGGATCAGATGGTCTGAGTAATTTTAGCAGGCTGTGGAGGGGGAGGGGTGTCTGAGTGTTGGATACGTGGTGAGGTAGGGCAAGGAAGAATACTGACTTGGTGTGAGAGAGATGGATAAAGAAGGTGCTTGACTATATAGGTTCTAGATTGGTTGGGCTGGTTTAGATGTCAAAGGTACACTCAAAGGAGAGTTTCCTCCCTCTCCTCTATAATTGGCCAGTCTAGGAGAGACAGTCTTTCCCAATTAAAAAGGCTCCAAAGCTGGATCACTGAGAAAACAAAGAGCAGAACATCTCCCTAAGCATTTTCTTTGCCCACGATGTCTTCCTGCTTTCCCATCTCTGCCTGTCTAAATGCTAATTTTTTTTATGCTGCTCAGGTTATAACATTTATATTCCACTCTGCAACCAGTTTTCACAGTTGTCTAGCTGTGGGCTGGAATAAAAGGGTTTCACGCTTACCACTAGTTCCTTCCTTGTGGCTGACCATTCCTAAGCATTTTATTTTGATTTATGTCTTGTTTAGCTGTCCTCCATCATCTAGTAGTTTCCCTGGGAAGCACCAGAGGTATTCTGTGTCCTGAGTTACAGCATATTTGACAAGGTTGTCTTATTTAGAAATAGCCTGCATAGTTATAAAATTCTTGGCTAACTCCCTCTTGTGCAATGTTGTCATCCCGTTGTGTTCAGTGTGGCAGAGAAGCCCAAGGCCAGCTGGTTTCCAGTGTCCAGTGACATATACACTGTATGTCTCCTTTGTTCTGTCAAGAACAACAGAAGTAGCATTTCTTTATAGACATGTCTTAAAAACAAAACTATCTCAGTACAGTCAACCTTCAAGTTCATCTCTTCCCTCCACTGATGACAATTTTTCCTATTTTGTCTTTGAATATCTTACATATATGATGAAATGGTCAATAGGGCTCAACTTAGGACTCATCTCCTTCCGTCTTTCTTTTTCTCTTTACACTCTTTATGATCATAATCTGTCCTCACCACCTTACTAGTTCAAGTGAAACTATATTTATCCCCATTTTCCAATATACCGACTAATTCTGTTTTCAATTCCTTATTCTTTCTGCTCTTGGTCTTTAATTTGTTTCCTTAAATAGAAATCCCTGTCCATCTATGTTTGATTTTCTTATCTTGTTCTGGTTTCTTATTTTGGTGTTTTTTTAGATTCCATTGTCTCACATGTTTTGCACAGAAGAGCAGTTTTGCTTTTTTCTGTGTTCCTTGCATCTCTGTGTCCATGCTGACATCTGCCTCCTGTGTGTTTCCATTCTTCCTTCCCTCCACCTTCTGCCTTTCCTTCCTCTTTTCACTCCAGTATTTTTGTCTAGCTGCCGTGTCATTCGTTTTCATTTCAATTCTTTCTGATCTGGCCGTTCTCCCCGGGTCTCCCCTCTTTATGTGTGGGGCAGGTTAATCTCATGTCCTCCCTCCCACCTCAGATGAGCTCTGTCCTCCTGGGTGGTTTAGCTGCAGCCTGGGTGTTCATGTTAGCATCTCTGCTGCCCTGGTGGGAAGAAACGGGAAACGCAGACAGAGCTGAGGGCAGCAGGTTTTATAGGACCAGCTTTCTGCTTCTTTTCTATAACTTTGTTCAGAGCTCAAAACTTGAGTTTATTGTGACAAACTGGGATACTTGTTTCCATGGCTGGGTATTAGTGGGGTTTGGAACACAGTTCAGGCTAGAATTATAGCAAGTCTGCACAGATGTGTATTGCTCAGATCTGACCCAACCCTTCCCAGGAGCCATTCACTCTTCTGCCAGGCAAAGGGAGGGAAAAGATAGACAAAATCCCAGGACTTTGGTCACTGTGCTGGTTTTCAGAAGTAGGACTTATAGGCCTGAGGTAGCTTCAGTTGGAGCTTTTCCATGTCCCTTGCCACTCACTCCATCAGAAGGGTTTGCTGTATTTGTTTATTTTTAATCTTCCCTTCTAGTAAACCTCAACATATTGTTCAAGGTTAAAAAAAAAAAAAGAAAGAAATCTGATTCAATATCAGGCACCCATTCCTCCTTTCTTCCCCACTATTTCTTGGCAGGAAAAGCTACATGCCAAGACAGGGAGCACTTTCTCTTTCTCTTCTTTGCAGTGATGATACGGTAGAGTATAGAAACTTCTAGAGAAACTTTCTGACTCTCCTCTACAGGCTGCCTACTCACTCTCTCCACTTCCTTTCTTGTTCAATGCTCTTGCATTCTTTGAAATGTTCCTCTTACCCACAATCCTCCCGAGCCAGCTGCTGAGATGCATGCATGTAATCCCAGCATGCAGGAGGCTGAAGCAAGAGGGTCACTACAAGTTCAAGGCTAGCTGGGACTATACAGTGACACTCTTATCTCAAAACAAACAAACCCAACCCCCATTCTCTAAGGGAGGAAGAAAGGGATATCTAAGGTGGGGGTCACCTAGGGAATTCTGTCTTTAGCTTTAGCCTTTTTTTTTTTTTTTTTTTTTTTTTTTTTTTTTTAAACACTGCCTTTTCCTGTGTTGAATGTTGTTGCACATAGAGGTGTTCATTTTACTTTTTGGTTGTTAATTTGGTTGCATTCAGGAAGATGGTGTTTGGTTCTGGTATCTAGTTATGGGATTGCTATTTTACAAGAGAAGAAGCCCTGATTAGTTTCTTATCTCCTTGCTATCTTCATTCCTCTTCCTTCTCCTCTTCATTTTCCCTCAACATAAAGGATTTTTTTAGATGGAAGCCTCTGATGTGTCCTTCACGTGACATTAGATTTGATCTGTTTCAGTTATACACACAGAGTTTCAGGAGCTCCCTGTCTTATTAGCTCTCTGCCAAGTGTGGTGGAGGTGCATAAATATAGACTGAGACCACATGCAACACCACTTTGCCACTTGACAAGTGAAACTGTCCATGAGCAATAAATGCCAGCAGGAAACTCCAGAGTTGACAAGTAGCTACAGGAACATCTAGTCTGATCTTATGCCCAGAGATGCAGTGCTGACTGTTCTGTCCCTGACAGATGGCCCTTTAGCCTTTATTTGAATAACTGACATATCAGGGAACCTATGATACCATTCTGTTACTGGAAAGGATTGAATTGTTTAAAATTTATTTGCCGTGAGCCCAAGTGTGCCTCTTCCTCTCCCTGCTTGGTCTCCCTTGTTGATAGGAATCCCAGCTTTAACTCCATTCAGATGATTGCTACAACTCTGCCTTCAGTCTGATCTCTAGCCTGGCCTGCAATTCTGGGAAATGGGCAAGCAAATTTGGAACACTGCTAAGTCAAAGTCTCCAGGAGACAGTAAAAATTATGAGTAGCCTGCTGCGTGTAAATACAGAATACTCACTGTACAGTATGGATCCTGAACTGGCTCAAATGAGAAATCTGAGGCTTTTACTTTGCTCTAAATGTGCTGTGAGTACACAGTAAGTCACAGCAAGTCTATCCTGCATGGACAAGAAGGTCAATGCCAAGGGTGTTGGCCAATGTCCTGTGTTAAACTTGCTAGAGTACATCTGGGTCTCCCAAACAGCATCAAAGCAGCATATATAGAGACAAGGGATGGTGTCTAGAGACCATGAACCATAGGATTCCCTAAAGGTCAACTGGGAAATGAGGGGCAGACCCAGGAAAGGGCTGGTTTGCGGAGGTACAAGAGCTGTTCAAGCAGAAGAGAGATTTATGGTTTGCTCTCTATGCTTCCCAGATACAGTCCTGAATCATTTCAGGAGGCAGCAAAGGATGTTTGTTGGCTCTGTTGACTAGCAGGCATCCGTATTTCTGAGATCTGTGACAGGGCTGATGACCTTAGCTTCATCCTGGAAAATACCCACTTCTGTTACTATCTAGTGGAAAACCAGATGTTGATTTCTAGGTAGGAGCTAGAACATAGTGCTTTTGAATTTATTTGTGGAAGAATTATCAGTTAAGAGATCCCTTGAAGAGCCTGCCAAATAGAGAGGTTTTCCCCAAATACTGTAACCAAAGAACCAACCAGCTTCCAGTTGCCAGAAACCCACACAACTGAATGCTGACATGCGATCATACTTGATACAGTGGAGAGTTATGGGAAGAAACAACTGGGGCAGACAGATGTTGGTTGGCAGTCAGGCTGTGCCATTTCCTATGCCTGTAATCTCCAGAAAGTTACCAACTGTATTGAGCCTTATATCATCCACCTGTAAAAAGGCATGGCAGAGAAGCAGCTCTTCAGTCACTGTGAGGATAAAGTAAGATAGATGACAATTATAAGGTGTCTGGCATGTGACAAAGTATTTACAAGTATTAACAGTCTTCCTGGCACCTGAAGCCAGCTGCTAGCAGTACTAGTATGATTTCAACGAGGCGGCCTATAAGGAAGCACTCTTATTTTCTAGGGGTTTCTTCTGAACTCGCCCCAGCAACTGAGGAAGAAGAGTCAAAGGGCAGTCTGGATGTGATGCCCAACATCTCTGACATATTGCTGCGCAAACTAAGAGTTCACAAGTCACTCACCGGAAGGTAAAATCAGAACATCAGCTTTTGAAGACCTTTCATGGGCCACCCATGTTAGAACTTGGGTGGAACACAAAGGAGTGTCAGTCTTGGTTCTTTTCCCAGAAGGAATCCAGTGGTCCAGGCAGGGCTGGTGCATCCAAACACAGAATACAAGCATGGCTATGTTGGCATTTCCAACTCCCAGAGTACATGGGATTCACAGGTAAAAACCTTTGAGAACAGAAGGGTCACCAGAACTGTGAGAGTAGTGGGCTTTGGGCCAGGGGACACATGATTCAATCCAGATAAACCATTTACCTGTGGAATACACTGTACATGGAGAAATGTACAACATCCAAAATCATGTGAAGGACTGGCCAGAAAGGCTCCCAGTCTTCTACTCCCAGGGAAAAAGTGCCTTTTCTTTCTGAATCTCGGCTTCATGGCCCTTTCGAGAGTACGTGTTCTACCACTGTCAGGGTACACTAAATGAGACCATTTGTGGGAAGGGACTTGGGATGGTGTCAGCACAGAACACATCCTTGAGAGCTGGACTGGAGTGTAAAGCATAGGGATTTGAGATAATGAAGTTGCTAAGAGGACCATGAGACAGGACAATAAGAGAACAGCGGAAGAGTGAGGCACTGAGGAGAGTCAAAAAAGACCATTATGACAGGCTAGTAGGGAATCCAGGACACAAGAAGAAGCCATGCTTGCAAAGACTTGGTGAAAGCTTTCCCAACACGAAGGAGTAGTCTTAAGAAGGGGCAGTGAGGCAGCTGGCAAATCACAGGCAGAAGGGTAAAGCTACCATAATACTCAAATGCCCAGCTCAAAATGGACTGCAGACCTAAATGCAAGGGATAATACTGTAGAATAGGAAAAAAAAAAAAACTGCAAGAGGCGATCCTATGAGTTATGAGCTTGGGCTAGTTTGTGGCTTTAGATAAGACAGGAAAATCACAAGCAGAAGAGAACGATGAAAAACACGTCACTATCATGGTAATGCCAACAAAAAGCCTGTGCTGTCAATGCTGTCTACATGAAGAGCAAAACACAGAATGGGAAAAATATTTACTTGGTAAGGTACACATTTCTACAGTCTATAAAAAATTCTTGTAAGTCAATTATATTTGGATAAGAGTTTCTCAAAATGGGCAAAGGATTTAAACAGACACATCAAAGAAGGCACAAGGGTTACCTGAGAAGACATTCCATTACTCCATTGTCTTGGAGACCCATGGTTCCGTTTCCTTGCTGTCTATGCAAGTCTTGAGCTCTGCCTTAAGAACCAGCTGTGCGGTGTGACCATTTGGCCTACATCACATGACCCTGTTCCTTACCATATATACATTGGTGTATTCTGTAGCCCAAGGCGGAATGTGTCACCAAAGTAGAACAAAAAGCTTGCTGAACTAATTATGGAAAGATGTAAATTTCATGTAATACCCAAATTAAACTAGCTGTCAGAAGCACACTCTGAGCACTTGGTAAACCCCGAGACAGTATATGCCTGCTCTACACAACAGCGAGAGAGTGTGTTGACCATCAGAGGACAGGGCCTGGGGTGGGGCTGTGACAAGAATTGAAAGCATCAGACATTGTTTGTCATTGTTTGTCCCCATACTCTGTTTTCTGACAGCTTGATGGTCACAGGGTCTTGCTGTCTCATCCTGACAGGAAGGCTCTTGATGTCCCTTGTCAAAGGTGAGAACCAGCCCTTTGCAAAGATGGCTGACCCCTACCTTTGCTCTCGGGGTCCCTCATACCCATCCAAGGGAGGAAAACTGTGTTTCCTGAGAAGTTTATTGATGGCTTGCTTGCTCGCCAAGTCCTCTGACGCGAGTTGGGCCCCTCCTGGCCTCCCCACCCAGGACAGGAAAGCGCCTGAGTGGTATTTACATTATCTGGCCTTCCAATGGGGCCAGCTTATGTTACTAAGCACTGCGCTGGCAGCCACATGGAATGGGTGTGCAGATAAGGAGTCTGCTGACTGGGCTAGGCTGTGGAAATTGCACGGAGACCTCTCAGGACGCCTCTATGTCAGCTGGTGCTCACTCGCCAACCTAACGCCAGGCTTCGGAGGGCCATTGCTGCACAGAGCTCTACCAACCCTTTTCTTATCTTGTAATTTCTGGACCAAAGAGATGTTTGCCACAGCCCTCAGAGTCTAGGAAGGAATGACTGACCAGTCTTTGCAGAGCTAGAAGCCCCTAAAAAGCTACAGTTCAGCTTAGACATGTAGTTAGTAAGTGACAAATGCTTGTGTGTTTTCTGATTCCTCAGCTCGTGGGTGAATAGTGATAATAGCCAAGATGTCAGTGCTTAAGTGGACATTGGTTGCAGCACACACACATACACACACATCACAGATACCAAAATCCAAATGCTCAAAACCTTGTATAGGATGGCACAGCACTTACACATATTCTATACAACCCTCCTGTACTGCAAATAATCTCTACATGATGTATAATATCCAATATTGTATAAGTTCTATGTAAATAGCTCCTATTCTGTGTTTCTTGGAGAATATGGCCAAATGAAGTCTGGATAAATTCTACATAGATGCAATTTGTTTTCAACATATGGTTTGTTGGCTCCAGGAATATGGAACTGGTGTGTGTGAAAGATTGTACCATATTTACACACACACATGCTACATATACGTTCTTGCATACACGTGTGTATGTACAAATATGTGTGTGTGTGTATGTGTCCCTTAAAAGGCTTATATAAGATAGATGTTTTTACTCTGATTTACATATGAGCAAGCTGGAATTTAGAGAGTTCATAGTGGCTGTCCCAGAGGGCTGACCCCAGCACAGCATCTAATGTTTTCCCCACCATTTCTATAAAGGTCAGTGCCTCACAGATGACAGAGGGGACAAAGAAGATCCTCTTCCTCTCACAAACCCTGCTCACTCCTGTCTGCCCGTGCATGGCAGTCAGGTCATTCAAAGTCACCTTCTGCCTTATTTACTAGGTTGGATAAAGTTCACTGTGCATTTTTTTCTTCTTCACAGTGCCCCTCCACTCACTGAAAAGGAAGTTGAGGTAAGTGACTCAAGGGCTTTGTGGAATGCAGTGATTCTCTTTGATGTGGTTTATCCAAACATTCCTTCTTCTAGGCTATAGCCCTAATAGTTTTACATTAGAGTGAGAACAGGTGACTGCAGAATATTCTGGATATCCCATCCCGTCCCCTCCCCCCGGCCCTCTGCTGAACTTCCCTTGCCTGCCTCCATTCATGAGGGGTTTTGGAAATCTTGTCAGTGAGAAGGTTGCTGATACCTCCACCTTCAAAGACTGTCAATGTCCCTTGATGGATGGGACATACAAAGTCAGCCAGGAGACTTAATAATTACATCAAATCTATTTCAATTTTTAAAAATGTGGCCAGATTTCAAACTTCAGACTTTGGTTTGGAGGACAAAGTTACTTGCAGGGGCGTGTTTGGCCAGCAAGAAGGCCAGCTCAGGTGACAGTGTGAAAGCTGTTGGCACCACCTTCCCTGATCTGACCTTGACGACCCTGTACTAGGCCTTCTTGTCCCAATGCTGGGGGATGTGTGAATAGAGGAGAACTTTCATTCTGGTCAATTGCGAGAAAGCAAGATTAGTGCAGTGGACCAGATAAGCAAGCAAAGGAAGATAGACAACCCAAAGTCTACCCCCAGGAAGCACAGTTACTGTGAACCAGACTTTATTATTGTACCATGCTCACAGCCCTCCATGCAGCTGATAGGATAGAGCAGGACTTAAAGCAGAAGAGAAGTTGGGCAATAAAACAGCTCACTCATGGTCCCAGATTTAGGATTAACCAGAACCAAGAGTTGGAAACAAATACTCCAATTGACTTCAGGACCCTTCGAGTCAGGCTTAGAAAGCTAAGCATTGAGAATTGTTCACAGACTGAGGCTGGGTAACAGAGAGTCTCCATCACTGGGCTGTGAGTCAAAGCCTACTCTAGCATCTGTGGAGACTGACCACGGCAGCTCATTTAATGCCAGATCCTGTCCTCCGATGTGTGCTCGCATGAACTTCAGCACAATGAAAGTAATACAGACTCAGGAATCAGATCATCTAAGGTCAAGTCCTTGCTCTGTTACCTCTTCTGTCATCTTGAACAAGTTAATGATGTCTCTAACCTTGGTCTCTTTGCCTATAAAAAGGGTGTATGAGTCCTCACTCCAGAGAGATATTGTGGGGTCAAATGTAGCAAGGTTCACAAAATTCACAATAATGTGATGATCAATAAGGGGTCATTGTCAGTAGAACCACTATCATCATCTAGGCTCTTGTCTGGAGATAACTGTCATTGGCCATGTTATATGAACTTCTGAAGCCAGGCAGAGTCAGTGATCTCAGAATATGAGCAGGTGAGGCTTAGTGAGTAAAAGTGTGTGTTATGCAAGTCTGCCAACCTCATGATCCTCTGTATACATTCACACACACACACACACACACACACACACACACACACACACACACACACCACAGATAAAGACACAGACACAGATACCACAAAAGACAGGACAAATGAAGCAATTGGAATTGAAGACCCTTTCCTCCCTCCCTTCTTATTTCTTGTATGGAGTCCATTTGTCTATTTTTCTTCCCCAACAGTAATGTGTTATAGTGAGTGTTATTTATAAGATGAACCTGGTTCTTGGTAGCTTCCTATTATCCTAGGAATTTCACATCTGATCAATGCTACCTTTAAAAACTCATTCTTGTTGGGTGGTGGTGGCACAGGCCTTTAAGCCCAGCACTCAGGAGGCAGAGGTAGGTAGATCTCTGTGAATTTGAGACCAGCCTGATCTACAAGTTTCAGGACAGCCTCCAAGGCCACAGGGAAACCCTGTCTGGAAAAAGCAAATGAACAAAAGCCAAAAACCAAAAAAATCAAAGAACAAAAATACAAAAACAAAACCCTCATTCTTGGGGGCTGGAGATGGCCCAGAGGCTAAGAGCTCTAGAGGACCTGCACTTGATTCCCAGCACCCACATGGTGACTTACAACCATCTATAACTCTAGTTCCAGGAGATCCAACTCCCTCTTCTGGCCTCCAAGGACACTGCATGCAGACATGCATGCAGGCAAAACACCCATGCACACAAACTGTTTTAAAAATTTAAAAAAAAAAAAAATCTCCCCATATGGCGTGTTTCATCTCAGGTTGCCATATGGCATGTTTCATCTTGGGTTGGAATATTTATTTCTGGAAGTTTATCTTAATAGATCCATGCCTGAACTTGTCTAATCTGGAAGTTTCTTAAAGCTAACATAGGAATTAAACATAACAAGGCTAGAGACTGTTTCAAGTTTGCCTTAAATTCACAAGCCTGAAACTTACCTGGCACTTCTTTAGATATGGAAGTTTCATGCAAATCCCCAACCCCGTCCCCATACATCCCAGTATGAATCCATATTGCTTACACAGCCAGCTATACTGGTCTAAACCTATCTCAACCTGAACATGGGCCTTCACACTCTTGACTGAAAAAAGGCAGGATGCTATTGTCTGGTGAATCTCAAGGGTTGTCATTTGCCCAAGTTTGTGTGTGAAGGGAGTTTGTCTGCACATGGAGGCCTTGCTGACTAGTTCCAAGGACTCTGGTATAGGGCTTGAGCAAGAATTCCACCTGTGGCCTTGCTGGTGGCAATGACTCCTCCACACTCTTGTTCCCAACAGAACGTGTTCATACAACTGTCCTTGGCCTTCAGAAATGACAGCTACACCTTGGAGTCTAGAATCAACCAGGCTGAGAGGGAACGCAACCTGACAGAAGAGAACACTGAGAAGGAACTGGAAAACTTCAAAGCTTCCATTACGGTAACTGAGGGGCCCTGTTGAAGCAATCCTTACAGAGCCACTTCTTCCACTAACCAAGCAGTCTCTGGAAGTGAGAAAGGAGCCAAGGTCCTGACAAGTCTTCCTCAGAGGACAGGGAGGAGCTGAGACAGAGGTCTTGAGGGTTTGGCTTCAGACCCCCAGCAGCTCCTTAGGAGGGGGCTGGTTAGCTTGGGTATGACTCCTTTCAGGTCAGTCAGATGTGTGGGCTGTCTCCACTGGGCTTCTCCAATATCTGGAAGACTTTGTGGCCTATGCCCTGTAGGAGTTTCTTCTCCTATCCCGGCCAAGACCCAGGGCTTGTCTCATGAAAATGAATCCAGGTTTGGCATGCACCATCTCAGTCAGTTCAAGCTGCTAAAGAAACAACAAAAATGTGATTTCTCTTAGTGCTACAGGCTAGAGATCCAAGCTCAGGGTTCCAGCATGGTCAGGTCCTTACTGAGGCCGTCTTCAGACGTGCAGACCGCCGACCTCTCATTACAGCCTGGCATAGTAGCAAGAGAGTAAGAGAAATTTCTGGGCCTCTGGTGTATGAACTCTACTCCTATTCACAAGGGCTCCATCCAAGGGCCCATTCTTTCATCCGCACATTGAGGTTAGCCTCTCAGCTCGCACATGTGGGAAAGCAGTTGGAAGACTCTGGGTGATGCCCTTTGTCATCCCTCAGTCCTCAGCATCCATCTGGTACAACTGTGAGCACCGAGAGACCTATCAGAAGCTTCTGGAAGACATCGCAGTCTTGCATCGTCTGGCGGCCCGCCTCTCCAGCCGGGCTGAAGTGGTGGGGGCTGTGCGCCAGGTGAGAGCCCCACAGCACTGGGCCTTGCTGCCTGGCACCGTTCCAACTATAGTAAACTAGCACCATGACACGAGTAGGGACAAGGAGAGAAAGCACCCTTGATGACTGCCTTAAGCCAGGGATTCAGTGTAGGTTTTGAGGGATATTCCAACGTATTTGGTGCCTATTAAGCCTTTGAAGTATTCCTTTGGGAATTGTTGTCTGTGGACTTTGAAATCTGAGGTAGACCATGTAGTGCCTTCCTCCCTTAGACCTGGTCCACTGTAGTTGAGTTAGAGAATTCCCTATTTAGCTTTTTTCTGTGTGTTTTGTAAATACACACAAAATACATACTCAGCTCCTACAGAGCCAGTGCTGGGCAGAGCATGCTTCAGAGAAATGTGCTGTTTCATTTAATTTACCCAATAATCCTGTAAAGTAGCTTCCATCTCTCATCTCTGTCCCCAGTGAAGTTGCATGTTCTCAGAAAGATAGCTTCCAGATAATAGAAAATCCCAAATATTTTCCAAACATTTGGAGTGCCTCCATCATATCACAAGTGGAAAACTGTTGATTGAAGTTTCTGGCAGTCCTGCCACACTTCAGTCCCAAAAAAACACACGGAGGCTTACATTAATTATAAACTGTTTGACCAATGGCTCAGGCTTCTTATTGGCTAGCTCTCTCTTAATTATTAACCCATTGCTATTAAACTATGTATTGCCACAAGGCTATGGCTTACCTGTAATAATCTGGAATGTTTACTCCTTTGGTGGCTACATGGTGTCTCTCCTGCGACTCCATTCCCAGAATTCTCCTAGTCTGGTAGCCCTGCCTATACTTCCTGCCTGTCCATTGGCCAAAACAGATTTATTCAACCAATAAGAGAAACATATATTCACAGCATTCAGGACATCCCGAAAACAGCTAATTTTCTGTGACAAGATACAGCCAAGATGCAGTAAAAGTGTGCAAAAAGTATGTCTTGGCAACACATATAAGATGAATAATGCTTTTAGACATGGGTCCTAGTCCCAAGATACTTCATTGTTTATATGCAATATTCCCAAACCTGACAAAACCCCAAGCACTTTGAGTGTTTCGAGTCAGGGATTCTAGCATTAGTGTGTGGCAGAGGTGGGTGCCCACCCAGGTTACACTCTGCCCCTTAGCCACTCTGAAGTCCCCAAGACATGGAGCTTTCACACACTGCCTGAGTTCCCCTCCAGGCTCTGTTCCTATGCACACGGTGGCCTTGGACTTCACAGAGCTCACCACACATGAGAGTCACTGGGCGGTAAGGCAGGGGTGCTTATAACGTGTACCATGTAGGACTAATGCAACGCATGTAAAGCTCCCCTGTAATACTGCTGTAACCGCATCCTGGTGCACTGTTGTGTGAGTGGCTCTGAGGGCGAGTCCCCAAGTACTGCCTGTGAAATGAGTAGCAGCCAAGCCACTAGGCTGACCCACCCTTATGTCCTGGAGAAAGAGCGCCTGACTCAGCAGTGTGACCTAGCAAGTAGTCCAGCTGGGAACAACACCACCACAAGAAGGATGCTAGGGAAGTGGCCGGTCTCAGTGCCACATGGCTGTGGGGACCTTTACAGGGAAATCCCTCTAGTACAGACAGTGCCTAAGCTAGGTCCTCTTGTTAAATGTAGGGAACATAGACAGGGGAAGACAACTCCACTGTATATAACCCTTTCAAATAGGTTTCTGGTTACCTTCTTTATTGTTATTTATTTATTTTTTTATAACCAAGTCCATTTAAATGAAAACAAACATTTATAGACAATATTTGGTACTTATTTATTTTTAAATTTTTGTTTTTATGTGTGTATGAGTATTTTGCTTGCACATATATATCTGTGCACCACATGTATGTCTGGTGCCAGCAAAAGCCAGAGGAGGGCATTGGATACCCTGGGGATTGTTGTCTGTAACTGAAGTTACAGACAGTTATGAACTACCATGTGGGTGCTGGGAACTGAACCCGAGTCCTCTAGAAGATCAGCCAGTGCTCTTAACCACTGAGCCATCTCTCCAGTCCCTACTTATTGTTTTTGAGACAAGATTTCAATATATAGTCTGGGCTAGCCTCAAACTCATGACCCTCTTGCTTCAACTACTTGAGTGCTAAAGAACAGACATGCACCATCATGCCTGACATGTACCCTTCTTTTGTTGTTATTGTTTTGTTTGTTTATTTTTTTTCAAGGCAGGGTTTCTCTGTGTAGCTTTGAAGCCTGTCCTGGCACTTGCTCTGTAGACCAGGCTGGCCTCAAGCTCACATAGATCAGCCTGTCTCTGCCTCCCAAGTGCTGGGATTAAAGGCGTGCCACCACCACCCAGCTTGTATTCTTCTTAAAGCCATCCCCTGCCTGCCTTGTGGTCCCCCGCCCTGCCTTGCAGTGCTCCATCCTGTTTTCTGGGTCTCAGTGCTAGATTTCCTCACTGGTTCCCTAGGACCAGATCAGACACTTGTTCCCTGTTTCTGTCACTGCTAGTAGTCTCATTTACTTCTGCCCTCTCGACATTCATACTCCGTCACCTCTCACTTTAACACGTTCATTAATTCCTCTTTTTTTGCAGAGTAAGTCAAGATTTCTTCATCTAGCATGTAAAGTTCTTCACGACCTAGCCCTAGAGCACTTCCTCTCAGCAAACCCAAGAGCTTGTTGATTTTTTTTTTTTTTTTGAAATGGGATGTCTGTGCTGTGCTGACTTGCAGAAGTCCTTGGAATGGCTCAGTGTCCTAGCATAATATGGAATGGTGCCCACTTTCATTCTAAAGGATTTCTGTCTGCAGGGTAAATTTTCCACATACAAGTCCTATGAGGAACTGCCTCTGCCTCCAGACTCTTTAAAGTTCCCTGGCCTCGGGCCTTTCTCTGTCCTGCCCATGTCCATCTGCCCACATCCCACATCTGTGACTCCAGGCCATCTCCACAAAGCCATGCCCATCTATTCTCTCCCGGAGTAAAGCAATCCCTTCCTCCTCTCACTTTTACCATGTGTAACTGCCTTTCTGTTCCCTGGACATGGGTACCAGAATGCACTTCTCAGCCCAATGCCACGGGCAACAGATTCCCACCTGATGATCCCTGTAGCCTTCTTATTCTGGCAGTTAATAAGGGCTGAGCTCACAGTGGTCAAGTGTGGACAGTGCCCTTTCTTCAGCTGTCCTCCATGCAACTGTGTCCCCCTTCCCTGCAGGAAAAGCGTATGTCAAAGGCAACGGAAGTGATGATGCAGTATGTAGAGAATCTGAAGAGAACGTACGAGAAGGACCATGCGGAGCTCATGGAATTCAAGAAACTCGCAAATCAGAATTCAAGCCGTAGCTGTGGTCCCTCTGGTAAGGACCTGGGCTTCTGTCCTTGTTGTGAGTTCAAGTCTCCAATGGCTTTCAGCCTGGGCCACGGGGATCAGGACAGCTTCAGGGGCTGTTTCTGGCTGGAGGACCCTCCACACCTCTGTTTAGAGCTACTTGTGAGGCCTTTACAGTAGCTGCTTCAGTGAGGTTGGGGTCCTAGAATCAGAAACCATGAAGGATACCAAGGGCCTCCCAACTCCTGACAGTTGGGAAGCTGATGGCAGATGCCATGCCCACTTTGTGAGTGCTCAAGCCCCGTGAGTCTTTGTGTTTTTGGATCATCATTTGGGCATCATGTGCTAAGAAATTTGAACTTTATTCTGGAAAACATCAGGGATCCAAGGATTTCCATCAGGGAGATAGATAACCATATTCCTGGCTGGAGTGGCACCCTCTAAGTGTAGTATATCAGTTATGTAACTGGAGCAAATCACATTCCTAATCCAGGCTGGCCTCAAACTTGTGAGACTGCTCATTTCATTGTGTCCAACAGAAATATTTAAGCATTTCAACCAAAGGATATTTAAGCTCTCCAGCCACCCAAAAGAGCAGAGTCAGAAAATATTCTGTATTTGTGAGGATATTGCGACAGTCCAGGGGAGGGATGGTGTCCGGGCAGTGGGGTACAATGAGAGCATAGCTAAGTGAGCTATTGTGGTGACAAACAGCAGGTGCAAGGCTAAGTCGCTTACTTCAGTGATTCTTTTCTTGTGACCATGCTGGCCTCGAACTCACAGAGATCTGCCTGCCTCTGCTTCCCAAGTGCTGGGATCAAAGGCCTGTGCCACCACTGCCCGGCCTTTCTTAATGTTTTAAAAGTTATATGCAAATTGTTGCAAGAAGACAGAAAAAGGCCCAGCAGATTCTACTCAAGGGAGTCCAGGATGGAGATACATCCAGGGAGGTCACCCCTGCAGGGTTTTAAAATAAAAATCAGGAGAGGAAATCAGCAAATGGGTGGAGGAAGCAGTGTGTGGCCGGTGGAGGTAGGGGTGGGGACTGAATGACACAACTTGTGTGACATAGTTGTAGTTCTGGGGTCATGTTGAGAGGCTAAACATAAGACCTGGCAGACCGCGGCCACCTTCCAGGACATACTAGCAATTAGGTCTTTGTCCTGTGGGAACAGGGAGTCGGTGGTGAGCATGTCACATGACATGTCCATATTTTATTTTGTGCTACTCTGACTTCAGCAAGCACAATGCATTAGTAGTGTCAAAGCTGAAGTGGGGAAAGTTGAGTTCAGAGGCTCTTGCTCAGTCCAGCAGGGAAATGACAGTACACTGGAGTGGAATCTCACTCTGGGTCCTGCCAGGGTTTAAAGTTTGGTCCAGGAGGGTGACTAGTTGGAGAAAACAGCTTGTCACATTAGGAATCCCTGTGGAATGCAAACATCCGTGTTACCAAGAGTGGGAGGAGGGAAAGTATAACAGACAGAGAAGCCTTTATAAACAGGAGGTTTCACAAGCTTCCTGGAGTACCAGCGACACTTCGAAGAGTCCAAAGGCCATGTACACATGCTCAGGGCTGTCTGCTTTGCATTTTAGCAACCAGGTTCCTGACCCACAGGCATCTGGACCCCTAACAAACTGCTCTTGGCTACAAATGGGGAGGTAATTCCAAGAAAATCCTAGTATGTTGGTTCAGTAATTATTTTTCCACAAGGTTCAGGTCTCCTGCAAACCAATGTGTCTAGAATTTATGGGGTAAAGTCAGAGTCTCCCCAGCAGATGCTTATAATGCCAGCACCTAGGAGTTTGAGGCCAGCCTGGGCTATAGAATAAGAACATGTCTAATATAAAACCCAAAATGCTCTATGGGGTGATCTGCTACCCAGGGGTCTCATTCATTCATTATGGGATGTTTTTGAGCACTTTTGGTATGTCCCATATGACATAGCCCCAGTCTTAGTTCTGCAACAAAACTAAGCAGGCTTCTTGGGCTGGGGAGATGGCTCAGTGGGTGAAGTGCTTTCCATGCAGGCATGAAGACCTAAATTCAGATACTCGGCTGCCATGTGAAAAGGCTGGATGCAGCTATACTGATCTGTAACCCCAGTGTCGGAGAGGAAGAGACAAGTAGATTCCCAAAGCCTGTTGACTAGCTAATCTAGCAAATTGGTGAGCTCCTGGCTCAGTGAGACACTCTGACTTCTATATGCACACACTCCCTCACATACACTGCACATAAGCACCCAAACAGGTGCATCTACCCACAGAGAAATACAGATTTCTGGAGTGAGCTAGACTCTGTAGAGTTCCACAATCCAGTCTGGGGCCTGAGAAAATGCTAGCAAAAGAAAGAGACTCAAGAGCAATTCTTAACCAAAGGATAAAGGTTGGAGATATTTGATGCCACTGTGGCTGCTGTGGAGAGTCTAGGACTAGTGAATCTGTGTGTCTAAGGGTATGTCTGTGCGATGTGCCATGGCCATTCTCTAACTGTGTGCTTCTAGAAAGTCTTTACATGATTTCTGTCTATGCTGAGACTTTGAAGACTATAATGAAATCTAATATCCCCTGGTTAAAAAATAAGTTGCTCATTTTTTGGAGTCAGGTGGTGGTGGCACATTCTTTAATCCCAGCACTTGGGACCCTGAGGTGGCTGGATCTCTGTGAATTTGAGGCTAGCCTGGTGTATAGAGTGAGTTCTAGGACAGCCAAGGCTACCAAAGAAATGCTGTCTCAAAATAAATCTTTTGAACATTCAGCAGGATTATCAATATTTTGGATTTTTTAAATAGACTTCTAGAAATATAAATACTAGCTGAATAAGGGGGTAAGGAGACCAGCGGGCAAGGGACAGGGAAGACAGTGAGGTAGGCAGATGTGAGCCTAGAACAATGACATGCACATATGAAAATGCCATAATAAAACACACTCAGCTTGCTAACTAAAAATCTAATGAAATAAAACATTGCTAGATTAGGGTAAAGAAATGCTTATAAATGACTTATTTTCAAGTAATCCATTGGCACAGTCATTTAGTGGGTTACAATGCTTGACTCATTGTACACTGAGCACCAAACTTGTTCTTTCATCTGGAACATGTTTATGGTTTTACCTCATAGTTTTAATTCATAGTTAGATGTTTTTCCATGCATTTGTTAGGCACTTTTACATCTGTTTTGTGAATCCTCTGATTATCCCACCAGCAAGACTGGAATTTGTTAATGTATTTGAACTCTCATTTATTAGATGTTTTCTGGTTCTGTTCCTTGGGGTGACCAGAAAACTTCAAAATCCTTTAACTGAAGTGCTTACAGCTTCCTGCTGGACAAAATAAAACAAGTCGTCTAAAAGAACAGCTGAGCCCACAAGAAAGGAAATGGAAATAGCCAGAAACAAGAAGAGAACTGAAACCACGCTGACCCTGTGGCTTGCTGGGGACAGAGCCACCCTGTTATCTGGAACTAAGTGTTTGCCTTCAGTACTCTCTGAGAGCAGCCTTTGAGCCCTTGGCAGAGCAGACGCTGTGCTTTGTGTGGAGAGCAAAGGCCTTCTAGGGACTGCCTTGAGGTAGATCTATACAAGGAATAAGAACTCTCACCCACCAGCCAGCAGAGAAGCAAAAACAGAAGCTTGCCTGTTTCCCCCTGTACCCTGGGTGGATACAAACTCTTCTCTCCTTCCTCCTAGGAAAAGTGCATGAGTAACAACAGTGGTGCAGTCTGTGGATAATCTGAAAGGACGGCAGGATACTGTCTGTCTCCAGGAATAAAGTCAGCCCCCACAGAGAGGCACGCCCTGCAGCAGGACACACAAAATCCTCCACAGGGCATGGATGAAGACAAGTTCACAGTGAAAAATACACAGTGAAACAGTCCACTTGGAAAACAATCACTAGATCCACCAAATATAAGATTACACCCTAAGGACACCAAATAGTAATTAGAATTTTAAAATCAGTGTAGACAAGAAAAAGCTGACTGAAAACACAAGATCAAGCCGGGTGGTGGTGGTGCACACCTTTAATCCTAGCTCCCGGGAGGCAGAGACAGATGGATGTCTGTGACTTCAAGGCTAGCCTGGTCTACACAGCAAGTTCCAGCATAGGCTCCAAAGCTACAGAGAAACCTTGTATTGAAAAAAACAAACGAACTAACAAAAGCCCTCATAAATATATATATATTAGAACTCCTCAAAAGGGGAAGTCAGGTATAAGGGAGACTTGGTAGGTGTGTGGGGGGGGTGTGGTAGTCATGGTAGAGGGGGTCTTTTAGTACTGAGCTCCTCCTCCCCACCCCATCTTATTTTCCATCCCTTAGACAATAGACCAGGCATTGTGGAGAGCTTTGTGGTGAACCCCATAAGAACTAGCCTGCACGTGGCTCTGGTTTTCCTCCTCCAGATCTGATGGATACCTGTCTCCTAGAATAGTAGCCTGTTCATCTTGTCTGGGGGATTTGAGATCGTTATCTAAAGTGAAGTTGAAATGGATACAGTGATTAAAATATGAAAGAAGGTTCTGGGACACAGGATGTGGAGAAGAGCCTACAGTCCATTAGCCCTGCAGTCCCTAAGGGGGAAGTAAGGCACATAAAACCTTCAGAGAAAAAAGCCTAGCATCTTCCATAGCTAAAGAAAGACACAAATTCCTCAATTCAGTAGTATAGTGAAGTCTATGGAAAAAAAAATACACATGAAATGGAAATGTCAAAAAAAAAAAAAAATAAAATAAGAAGTGGAGAGATGGCTCAGTGAGTAGAGCCCTTGCTGTGCAAGCATGAGGATCTGAGTTTGGACCCCCAGCACCCACACAAAACTCAAGTATGGTGACACACCTGTAACTCCAGTGCTGAGGAAATGGAGACAGGCAAATCCCAGGACCTCTCTGGTCAGCCACTCTAGCTGAAACATCAAGATCCAGCTTCAGTGAGAAATCTTATCTTAAAAATAAAGGGTCAACAGAGATAGAAAAAGATGTTCAATGTTGACCCCTGGCATGTATGAGCGTGCACACATATGTGTGATGCACATGTATGCCCCCCCTCTCCCTCCCTCTCTCTCTCTCTCTCTCTCTCTCACACACACACACACACACACACACACACACACAAATAGAAAAGGGAAAGAAAAATTTTAAAATGACGAGAAGAAAACTTGCAAGTAGACAACAATTCTCAGGCAACAATAGCACTAGAAGGTAGTGGTCTTTCCCCTAAAAAAACTAAGGGGAAATAAATGGGTGGTCATGCAAGGCTGAGGGCTAGGAAAAGCTGTAATAAGAGAAGGTCCCTTCATATGTCCTTGCTGAAAGAACAATTAGAGAATGTACTGGGATGGGGATGGAATGGTGCACAATTCAGTAGGATGCAAAAAAGGATGGTAATCAAGGATGATCATAAGCACGTGAATGAGCCAATAAACAGGATGAATACTGCATAACTTGGGGATACACAAGGTGACATAAAAATGATTAAGGTTGGAGAGAGGTATTGCTTTGAGCTCTATTTAGGAAAACTGGAGATCTTGATTAATTTTAAATTTAAAGACAAATAATATCAGAAGTTAAAGCCATGTCTCAAAGATTAGAACTAGAGTGAATAATTTCTCAACTGATGTTTAGAATGGGAAAAAATAGAAATAAATCAGGCTAAATAAAATATAGATAATGAGATGTAGAAATAAATATAAATGTGTTAATAATCACAAGAATTATAGACAATGTAAAGCTGTTGGTTGACAAAGATCCTCAGATTGAAATAAAGCACACAGCTATGTGGTTTTCAAGGGCCATACATAAAATATGGGACTATGGAGGACAGACAGACATATGGACTCCAGGATGTTTGTAAGACTGAATCAAATTCAACTGAACTTGAAGATATTTTCTGGTAATTTTTAGATAAATCATATTTGGAAATAGATTCAAAAGAACAAAATTTACACTTTCAAAAAATAAAAATGTTTTTCATGTATCCAGCACTCATACAGATATGATATATATCTGAATATAAATTGGGCCATTTAATATACATTTCTAAGGAGAAAAAGGTCTTAAGTGGTAGCTCCCTTGTGCTGTGTAGGTAGCACATTGAGACTACTTCAGTTAGCAAATTTTCATTCTGAACATCAAATCTTTCTTGTATATAGTGTTTCCAACCGCCCATCCTTTGAGTGAACATGGAATGAGTCCCTATGCTTCAAGCTTACTTAGGTCTGTTCACACACCTCCTTGGGTGATCCCAGAGGCTACAGTGGTGTCAAATGAAGCCCACGGCTGGGGATCTTCATAGTGTCCAGTAGAGTCAGAATAAACATTTTATCAAGAGGGTCCCTTTACTGCAGATAATCTTAGAGGGTGAAGCGCCGAGATCCCTAATGTCCAGGACTCTGAGCCATCCCTGCAAAGCCAGCTAAAACCCACAGGTAGCTTGATTTAATTTCTGCCTGTCTGTGTCCTATTGGACACCAACCTGAAACTCACACCCGTTTTCTTCTGTTCTTTCCTACTATAGAGGATGGGGTCCCCCGCACGGCGCGATCTATGTCCCTCACGATGGGCAAGGTATGCATGGTTAGGGAATCCCAGGACTCCCAGAAGAAGCATGACAGTTTCATGGTCACTCAAGAGCTCATTCACTCTTGGGCCTATGGGTTCCATCAGGGTATTCACACTTGTTCACATGGCCTCTGACACCCCATCTTTCTTGCTCACTTGTAGTCTTGCTGACAATGCATTTGATGTATACACCTTGGCTTTGCCATGGGCAGTTTTTGCACACTATCTAGCATGCTACTCAGAGAATGGGGGTCTCAAAATGTAAAATGGAGATGTATTGAGAGACCACTCATGATCAACAGAAAAGTTGGGTCAACTTTGGTTCACTCTTTCCATGCTGATTCCTAACACAATCACCACCTCCAAACCAAATTATCAACTGAATGTTAAAAACTAGCAAGCCTTTCCAATACCCTCAGAACTATGACTGTTGTTATTCCCAAGACAGGAGGCCTGAATCGCTTCTCTTCCCATAGAACATGCCCCGCCGGAGGGTCAGTGTTGCTGTGGTTCCCAAGTTTAATGCCCTGAACCTTCCTGGCCAAGCCTCCAGCTCATCACCCATCCCCTCCCTACCAGCTCTGGTGAGTATGATGTCGCCTGCTTTCTGTCCTTTTCTACATTTCCCTCATATTCAGATGGGGACAGGGTCAGCAGGAGCAGGAAATTTCCAGCAGAGAATATGGATGGAGGTACACAAAGCAACCCAGTGTAAACCTTGCCACTGTTCTGAGACTCTGTCTCTGGGCTCTCAACCAAAGCCCAGATGGCTCAGGAGGTGTACCTCAAAAGCAGCCACCCCTTTGAACAGAAACCACAATTCTTTAAAGAGGGGATGTTTTAAAAAACAAAACAAACAAATGAAAAAAAACCAAAAGCAAACAACAAAAAACAAGCAAACTTTACAGTGGGTTGTGTCAGCTAGATCTGAAGCAAGGCTCTGACTGCAGAGTCTGGTCCATGAACTTAATCTCATTCTGTTTTAACTCATTGCAGCCTTGTTTATAGTGATGAAACCCTGAGGGTAACCCACTGCTTATCAACAGGAGATTGGCAAGCAAATTGTGGATAGCATCATAAAAAATTCTATAGAATATCACCCATGATTTATTATGAAGAAAAAGCAGTTTCTATGTATAACAAACATATACGTTGGAGTCGATGTATATAATTCTGTTTTGTACTATATATATATATATATATAATTTTCATGTTATATTATGTTATGTTCATTAGTGTTTTGCCTGCATGTATGTCTGTATGTTGGTGTCAGAAGTCTTGGAACTGGAGTTCAGATGGTTGTGAGCTGCCATGTGGGTGCCGAGAATTGAATCCAGGGCCTCTGGAAGGTGAAGCACTCTTAACTGTTGAGCTGTCTCTCCGGACTCCTGTTTTATACTTTTAAAAATGGTGTCTCTGGGTAGAACATAGAAAAAACTATGGAAGAAATCCTTTCAAATTTAATCATTGTTCTAGGTTCATTTCTGTTGTGATAAAATATCCTGACAAAAAGAAGTGAGGGAAGAAAGGGTTTATTTGGCTTACAAGTTCAGGTTATAGTCCATTATTAAGTGTATATCAAGGCAGAAACTCAGCCATTACGTCCACAGACCACAGCTGGGTCTTCCTACACCCACGACAGCCTGGTCCTTCCTGCTTTAGTTGGCAATTCCCCATGGGCATGACCATAGGCCAAGCTCATCTAGACAATCTCTCAATTGGGGCTGTCTTTCTAGGTGACTCTCTGCTGTGGCAAGTTAATAATTAAAAATTAACCATCACAATAATGGTTATTTATGGACATTGATTAAACAGATCACTTTAATTTTCTTCTTTAATTTTTATATTTCTATAGGGTATAAAAAGAAAGGCAGAGGAAAAAAAATGTCTGTTTCATTCTAGATGAAGGCAATTTCTATATATAAGAAAATCTTTTCTATACCTAGGGTCTTTGTGGATCTAGTGGCTTGTTTCTAAAACTTTGAAACATCTTTCTCCAGTGGTTTCTCTAATCGTTGTGCACACTAGCCCAGGGCTACAGAGAGACATTCAGTGTGCAAGAAATCAGCCAAGTCGCTTCAATCTCCACTATACCCATAGCTAGCAAACACTTAAGTTTCTTTTACCTTGTGTTTTGTCTGTGAAATGAACTTAAACTCCAAAATCACTGAAACAAAGAAACCTTAAGGACCTGGAAAGATGGCTCAGCAGTTTAGAACACTGGCTTCTCTTCCAAAGGACCCAAGTTCAATTCCCAGCACCCACATGGTAGCTCGCAACCATCTGTAATTCCAGGCCCAGGATATCTAGTACACTGTTATGGCCTTCACATGCAATGCAAGTTTACAGTGCACAGACATACATTCAGGCAAGCATTCATTGCACATAAAATAAAAAATTTTTAAACTGAAAAATTAATTTAAGAGACTAGAAAAGGTTAGTTAGCAACAGGTCTTTTTAATAGAACTATGGTTTCAGAATGTAAATCTTTAGAAAGTGGTTGACAATGATAACTATTTTTCTTTTTAAATCATAAAGGCTGCATTGAAAACATTCTGATTGTGATCAGATCCCACCCCAAAACGCTGGAACACTTCTGCACTGTTTACCCAAATCTGGGTGATCCTAGTGTAGGCACAGAACTGAAAGTGTATGCTTTAACAATGGCTGCTGCAGCAAAGAGCAGCACAGGGGGCCAGGTAAGCTGTACAGAAATGTCTGCCAGCTTGAGAACATTGTAACACCAGGCATCTGGAACAGCACCTGTGGGAGCAGACCCACATTTGGCAGGAGGTCTAACAGTACTCAGGAAAGTGGACAGGAAAAATGAAGGCTCCCTGTTGGAATGGAGCCTCAGAATGCATATTGCAAAGCAGTGGGGGGGGGGGTGGAGAAGGATGGAGAGAGAAGGGACAGCAACAGGGCAGCCCTCTACAGCATCACTTGAAGCCCAGCAGCCCTGGCTGCTTCCTTCATCATTCATCCTCAGTTCTGGCTCCTGTTTCCATCCAGTCTGAATCGCCCAATGGAAAAGGCAACACATCTGTCCCCCCAGTGCTGCCTGCACTTTTGGAAAAGTAAGTTTCTCTATTTTCCACTTAATATTGGGGATCCTTGGGGGGAAACCCTTTCTTTAATCCTCAACCCAAAAATGAAATAGAAAGAAAATCAAGTTCTAGGAGAAATGAATAGTTCTCTGAGACCCACAAAGATTTTAGATACTTTGTAAAATTCTTGGATCAGGAAGATACTATTGCTGAGGCCAAGTACGTGCTGCCTAAGACCCTCTGAGAGGGAGAAAGCCACCTCATTAGTTGGGGTTCTCTGGGGCTATGGAGACAAAACAAGCTCTAATTCAACAGGGCTTAGATAACGAGTCCAGGGTAGGCTGCTCCAGTGTGGCAGGATGCCAGCTCTCTGTGGCTCCTTTCACTTCGGCCACTTCATTTTGATGCCATCATCAGGCCTGTAGCAAATAGCTGCTAGTCCCCAGAACCCTAGACAAGACTAGAGGAAGATGAATACATTTCTTCCATTTGGGTATGGAATCATTATATGGGTTTAAACTATCCTGGAAAGGGGGAGATGGTCCCCGAAACATGGTGACTTTGGGAAGGGTAAATTGCTTTCTTCCTTTTAAATCTTTCTGTCAAGAGGTGGGAAGGAAGATACATATTGGCTCCAGAGCTGAGGGTCTCCTGGGCCTGGCTCTCCCAGGCACCTATGCAGTTTACAGCCAGAGTGTTAAGGCTGTTCTTCTGCACCTGTGGGGTGGGGGGTGAGATGGGGGAGAGGGAGCTGGGGAAGGGGGAGTGTATATAGCTTAGTTTTTTAACTGTTTTCATTTGCCTCTTGAAAAACATTTGAATCACAGCTGCCACTTCTTCCCTCAGCTGGTGGAGCACAGACCTGGTTTCTTTCTTTGCCTTGAAGCAGCTTTAGTCCATTTTCTGTTGCTGTTACTAGGCCTTGTGTTATCTGAGGGAATGTGACTGCTGGGCCCTCTGTCCATTCAGATATTCCTTACTCTCAGTGTGTGACTGCCAAGTTCTCACTCAAGACCCCTCTGGTTACTATCAATATTTGCCCAGTATTTACCTCCTTTGTTACCTACCAGCATATTTGCCCTTTTCATCATGAGGTGTATCCTCTTCCTTTTTCTCGATTCTTGATCACTCCAGGAAAACTGTCAAGAGATGACAAATTAGTCACCAAACACAAGTATCTAAGTCTACACAATCTTACCACATAGATCCACAATGCCTAACTCATGGCCTCTGAATCTACCTAGAAATGATCACTTAGAGTCTCCGAAGTTCTGTCAGCCTTCACTTTGAGCTCATCAGCCCATTCCAGAGCACTTACATTAAAGTGCTCTAGGTCTACAGACAGACTCAGCCAAGGCAGATCTAGGTTCCAGCTGTTCTTTATAGACTCTCAGAACTAACGTTCAGGCCAGCTGAGAGCTCATGTCAGAATTCAAGATGTCCTCTGCAAGAGAATCTGAGGGACAGCCCCAAATCTTCAGTATCAGTGAGTGAGGATCAGGGATGGTAGCACCTTTCACAGGTTTAGAACCAAGAGCTAAAAGGTCAAAGTGAAACTCAGAGTCAAGCCAGAGGTTCCCAGGATGAGTTTGTAGCTCCCTCCTAGGCTAGTTAGAAATTGTTATCAGTCATGAGTATACTGTGGCTGACTCACCAGCTGGAAATATTTCCAAATAAAGATGACTGCAAAGAGGGGAGGGAGGTCTAAAGGAAGGAGGGACCCCAGAGACTCCAAACAATAGCAGCTCCTTCCCGTGGACTTATACAAGATATTAACTGATTTTTCCTCTAAATGCGCAGACCCAGAAGCATCATAAACTCCCAAGTGGTCAATAATGAAACAATTTTCAAGTGAAAATTAATTCATGTCCTCTCTGTTTATATATAGATGTACCAATTCCTGTTAGCCTAGTCACATTATTGAAGAGAAATAATGTGTTATAATTTATCAGATATTTGCAGTTGTATTGAGCTTTGTGTTAAATGATTCCCCATTTCCTAAGTGTTCTACATAAGGAATGGAACTAGCTAGACATGTGATAGGACGATCAAGTAGCCCATGGCCAGTCCATAGCACAGAGCTGCTGACTGTGCTGTCTGTCCCATGTGAGCTTAAAGAGCTCCCAGTCTTGCTCTTGTAGGCCATTTCATAACAAAACAATATTCAACTGGACACAAGTCTAGAAATGTATAGATTTAAACAAATGGCCAGAGAATAGTTTTTAGTTATTCTTAAAGGTACACATAGGGAGAGCTGTATGCCTGTGGTCTTTTCCTCTTTCCTTCTTTTGACAAGTGCTCGCAGGGTCAGTCCCATGGAATGCTCTCAAGGAGTGCTAGCCTGTGGGAAAATCAGACAGGAAGCAGCCTATTTTTCCATAGTGTGATGAATGTTGTCATAAGGAAGTGCACGTTGCTAAGGGACCAACACATGAGAAAATGTGCCCCTAACCCTGTGTGAGTGTAAGATGGGGTGGGGCTCAGAAAATGTTTCCACTTAGGAATCTGCTTTTAAAGTTAAGCCTAAAGGTTTTATCCTCAACTAGGTGAATAGGAGGTTGACAGCATTCCAAGGTAGTGGTGAATTCAAAGAAAGATGATGGCCATGATGGTAGTGATGACAATTGTTGTTTTTAGTTAAAACTTATTCCTTGTATGCCAGGCACCTTTCCCCCTAATTGCTGTCTGTTCCTTGTTAATTCTGCCAGGGACTTCATAAGGTGGATATATTATTAACATCTCTGTCTGAGGAAGATGATGCCGGGAGATATGCTCCCTGAGCTTACACAGCTAGAAGATGGCCTGGCTCATGCTCTTAACCTCCTAACAGAACAGAGGCCATTCAGAGGAACTACAGAGTAAAGGGTGGGAAAGGGAATTCTTTGCAGGAGGACCCGGTGATCGGATGAGCATGGAGAGCAGGACAGCGGGGTATGAGAGGGTGTGTGCAGGGCCACTCACTAAAGCATCAGCAAAGCCCGGATGTGGGAGTTTTAGGGGATTATTGTTATGGATAGGCCATGAGGCTGATGTGTCACAGTGCAGTGTTAGCTATTGTCTATAAAATCACTGTTTTCTATGCTTTTGAAGCAGCCAGGGTCATTACATTTGAACAGCAAACAATCTATCCCCTTATTGGTTGTATTCTGTAGAAAATTATATCCCAGAATAATTTATCACCCAAGAATTTGGGACTGGATGCAAGGGGATAAGGAAGGCCTCATAGCTGAGATCCTCTGGGATGGGCTTATCAAAAGAAATCACTGAATTGGGATGATTTAGCAACACTGATAAGTCCAAGAGGCAAGATCTGCCCTTTGGAAATGCTTGAAGTCACTTTCAAATGCTGCTCACCAATGTACTGATAACCAGCTTGGCCAACAGTTTACTTTGAACAAACAGAACTCATGTGACTGAGAGCTGAGCACAGTGATAAACACAGCCACAGTTTAATGAATCATTCCAGAAAGAAGGCATGTTGCCACAATCCACCCAGCGATCCCTGGGATGAGCACAGATTGTGCCCAGCTCTGGTCTACTGAGATGAATACAGATTCTCTTATCCCAAGCCAAATTCTAGGTTCTCAGGAAATCCTCATTTACAGATAGGATCTGTTCATTTCACTAGCAGGGGTTAGACAAGTGGCTGTGAAGCTGGAGTAATTAAAGCACTCGAGTCTGCACCAGGCACCTTGCAAACACAGCCCTCACCATGTGCTCATGATCAGAGGGAGGGATGGGCAGGTGGGAGACCATTATGGAGGTGAGGTGACAGATCCACTTTATTTAGCCAGTTGGCCTGGGAGACAGTAGCAAATCAGCAAAAGTCTCACAGGGGAGAAGGATTTGATCTGAATCTTAGGGGTGCACGAGGAGAAAGTTCCAGGTACTTGAAGATATTTAGGGAACTCCAAATTTGGTCTAGAAGCCAGAAAATAACCACAAAACTTACATATTACTATATATGTCCCACTTCCAATCCCAGCATCCTGCTTGATGGTAAACCGAGGGCTTCGAAACCTCTCATACTTGAAGAAGTCTATGGAGCATTGCTGGCTATGGGAATGTGGTGGGGATAGCTTCATTCAGCAGATGCCTTGGGCCTTCCACGCCACTCAAAGGCCCAGAAGAGAACTGAAGCAGGGACCAAGGAAGACAGCTCATCTTTACATGAAGCTAGTGGGCCAAAGTGAGCAATCAACATCAGTAATGAGAATGTAGGCAGGTAGTAAGCTTGTGTTTCTTAGCTGCTGGGAAGGAATGCCCCACAAGGACAGTAGATAGTACAGTTAAAGCATGGGTCAGCATCAACCTGCAACAGGGCCAAATTTGAGCCCTCCCCCACACTAATTATTACTGGAGTTAAGGTCATAGCCCCACCAGCCAATTAAAATGGCCAAATTAATAGTAGAAAGCAGAAAAGATTTATTCAATATGGTTATATTGGGAAGAAAACCAAAGAGATCCAGTGACCCTCTACCCAATACATCTTTATTTTCGACAGTGGGGAGGGTTGGGCTTAAGTAGAGAGCCAGACATAAGCATAAGTAGATAGTTCTGGTCAAGGTGTGGTCCCTCCCATCCTTGGCCCCACCCGCACACTCTAAGCTCCAGTCTGTCCTGCAAGTTGATCTGGCAAGCTACAAGGCTCTTTTTGGGAGACAAATTTCCCCTCTAGTTGGCCTCGGCTTCTACTGGCATGAGATTCCTGAAGAGATCTCAATTTCTTAGGGTACATTGTTCTGATAGTCTGTTAGCTAAGGGGAGGCCACAGGTGTCTTTTCCATTAGGATATCCTCATTGCTGCCAGGCAAGGGGGTTACAAGATTTCAAAGCCTCAGGCTACTATTTAAGGTTTCTGAGCCTGGAGTGTTGGGGTTTGAACCAGGTCCATCTCAGGTACGTTCTCTTCATATTTGTTTAGCTTTAAGGACCCTCTAAATGTGGGCAGCTATGGAAAAAAGAAAGTAAAAGTGTGGTGACCATATTTCCCTCCTAATATATAAATACACTTCGTGAGATAATGGCTGTCCCCACCCTTGACTCTAGTTGTGTTTTTCTTCGCTTGCTCCAGTCATTGGACAAATAGGAAAGTGCACATTAGGCTAAGGTCATTGGGAAGGGAGTGGAGAGTATAATTTGCAGGAGGAACAATGTTATGAATAGCTGGTATTTTTAGAGCATTCTCTTTCTTGCTCACAATGGGGTTTGGTTTTTAACCTAATGAAAACATATTTTTAAGGTCTGAGGGAAAGCTACCACATAGGAAATGGATGCTAAGAGTAGGGAGCAAGCTGAAGGTTTGGACTCTGTCTAAGGAAAAGCAGCGGTGACCCCCTAGCTTCCTACTAAAAGGTTCAGCCTGGAGTGGTCTTGTTTCTGGGCTCCTCCATGATGTCACCACTCCCAGTCAGATTAGGGGCACCAAGGTGGCTGCAGAATCCATCATATTAGGTTGCCAGGTTGCTTCCTTTGAAGTTGTGGTGCACTCATACATTTGAAGGGCTCCAAGCACTCCCAGCCATCCTGAGGTGATGCATTAGTGAGCCTGTTTTTCTACTTTCCCACATGATGCTTGTACTTTCTGCTGCTTCTCAGCCTTCTCAGATCCTCTGCTCTCACTCTCAGTAAAAGACCTGGCCTTGTTCTTACAAAGAGCTTTGCCTTTTGGGTAGGAGCCTGCTCATCTTTGTTCATCAGGACCCCAACTCATTGTCCTTCTCTTCTACTATTTGTCCAATCAAGGAGAGCTTTCTCTTACTTTTTAAGGGTTCCTTTAGTCAAAGGTGCTGTCCCTTTGGCCATCTTCTCTCATCGCCTCCACTGGGCCCTTTCTACCTGTGTCTGAATATGCTTGCAGCCCTTGGCCCATGTATTCAGCTGAGCAGTCCTGCCAGTGCACTCCCTGTTCCCCTTCCCAGCCCAATCATGGCTGTGCCTTTCTCACTTCCCCTTCCTTGACAAGCTTAGTCATCATTACCTCAAGGCTCCATGTGACCCTTGTATTATCAAATCCCACCAGGTACACAAACTTTCAGAAGGCACAGTAAAATACAGTGAGCCCTTTCTCCCTGCCTCTCAAGCCTCCACCTGCTTCTGGATTGCACCTACTTCTCTGTTTCTCTGTCTTTTCATCCTTGTCTTCCTCCTCCACAGGTGAGTCTGAAGGTAGCTGGGGCTTGGTCCTGAGATCTCTGCCCTTCTTTCCTCATGATCTATCCTTAGGCCATCATCCATCCTTTATATTCTTACAACATCAAGTGATCACTTGGGCATCCTCAGCTGACCACCCAACATTTCTTCTTGGACACCTCATGAGCATGACAGTTTATTCTGCTCAAAATTTAGCTCCTGCTCAGGTCTTCCAGCATCCATTGCATCTCCAAGTCTATAAATCCCCATCCTCGCCTCAGATGATCTTTGTATGCATATCTCATCTTTGAGGCTAGGGTTCTGTTTCAGCACCTCAGAGAGGCCTTTTATTTTTATTTTTTTAACTATTCACCCTCTTTTAACTACTCACCCTCTCCTTTTCATTTTCTGTCACTGAATAGTTCTTTTTGCAAATATTATAATTCATAATTAATATGACTGCTTTTTCTTTCTACAAAACGCTACATCAACAAAAAAAGAGGTTTATCTTTTGCTCTTCACAATTCCACACTGCCTTGTATGTATAACATTATCACACTCAATGCCCAGTTGAAAGAATAAATGAAAGTCATAGACACAGGCTGTGAGAAAGGAAGGAACTAGGACTCTTCAGTCGCCTCTTCATGGCAGGGGTCTGCTGTCTGTGACACTTGCCTGTCCACTCACAGCACTTCCTAAAATAAGAATAAAGTTGGATGTGGCTAAGGGATTGGGCTAAGGGAGCTGTTGTAGTATCTGCCTCCTCAGTGGGCTGGGGAAGAATCATGGAGCAGGTCTTTATAAAATCTTGTCTCAAGGTAGATATTTAAAAACTCCAAAGCCAGTGAAGGAGCCCGAGTTCCCTCTTTGAATCAGAAACCAGGCCAAAAACACGGTTCTGTCTGTAGACGTGCAATTTCTCCGTGCAATGATGCCCTGTACTTCCCTCCTCTCACTAGTGGAAAGACAAATGCAGAGGCTGACTGTGAAGCTTGTGCCCCCGTGCCACTCCCAAGCTGCCTGGAGGACACGAGCCAGGAGACCAAGGCCAGGGCAGAGGAAGAAGCCTACAACAAAGGGTGAGTCAGACCATGCCACCTTGCAAGGGGGCCTGGCAGGTCTCAGAAGGGAGCTTCCCACACTCTGGCTTGCTTCTGAGGAGTTTGGGGGAGGCAATCAATGGGCCCAGAGCCCAGTGCCTCGTCTCAAACTTACACAGTTCTGCCTGCCTATGCCTCCTGAGTGCTCAGACTAAAGGCATATCACTACCCTGGGCTACGCAAAGCCTCTTTAGTCAAGAAAGCAGGACACAGGATGTACTTAGACAATGGCTAATCAGAGCTCCTCCCTCCTGCCCTTACCCCACCATTTTCACCCTTGCCGATCTCTAAATGAGCTACATTAGCAATCGGAGCCTGCTCAATCATGGGAGAGAGAGAGCACTGCAAGGCCCAGGACTCAAGATAGAAACCCACTTTCCCCAAGATAGAAATTCACAGTGTCCCATGGCTCCTGAGGGAGGTTCAGTTTACCATGGGCACAGAACCCCATGATATGTGTGTGGCAGTCACCCAGTGGTGGGTGGGGTCATCCTAGCCAAAATAATGAATAATGAAGTTAGACACCTGGCTGTCAGACAAGTGAGCAGATCTGTTCTTCCTTCCGTCCTTCCTTCCTTCCTTCCTTCCTTCCTTTCTTCCTTCTTTGTTGTTTTTCTGTTGTTTTTTGAGATGTGTTTTCTCTGTGTAGCCCTGGCTGTCCTGAAACTAGCTCTGTGAGTTCTGGCCTCAAACTCACAGAGATCCACCTGCCTCTTCTACCTCTTGAGTGCTGGGACTAAAGGTGTGTCACCACTGCAGGGCTTCACAGGAGGGGGGGCAGACATTTCTGAAACACACCCCAGCACCCTGAGATGAAGGTCCCCCTAAAGTTAAAGCTCTTGGGTTCCACAGGGGAAAGTGCACTCCTATCTCTGGGGAATGTTTTGTAGGATAACAACCAGCAGTAGACCTTGTCCCACATTTTTTCCCCAGTCAGTTTGTCACACTGTCACATAAACAGGAAGGATGGCTGAGGAGTGAGGGGAAATGGTACTGACACGAGTCGTATTGGGTTCAGCAGAGCTTCCCAGCTTTTTCCTGTTGTATGGAGCTACAGGAAGTGCGCAATGACTGGAGGTTCTTCAGTCCCCTCCCCCAGCCCACCCCCACCCCGACCCCTCCAGGGTCTCAAGCAAGCAAGAATACCCCACCCCCAGACTCAGCTGTTCCTTGCTGCTCTCCAGATACCAGGAAGTGGTAAAGAAGACCGAAGAACTTCAAGACCTGAAGGAGGAGGAGGAAGAACAGAAGACAGAGAGTCCTGAGGAGCCAGTGGAGTTAGAAGAGACTGAGGAGGAAGCGAAGCCTCAGAGAAGCAGGTTGGAAGCCTACACTTGGAGCCCAAATGGGTTTCAAGTCACTTAAACTGTTGAATTGCACAAATGGATGGAAATGCCTTTCCCAGATGGCAGTAGGTCTGGGGCCCAAGTTATTGGCCAGCAAACTCAAGAAGGCACTAACTGGAGAAAATTAAGCTAGAAATGGCACATTTGCCAATGCTGAAGGGTCAAAGGTCATGAGCGGGACAGAAAGCCATTACTTGGCTCTTAGGAGCTGAGAAAGGGAGAGGGACTTTTAGTGGACTCTCAGACAAGCGGTGGTCAGGCGATTCCACAGCCACAACCACAGCTGAGTTCAGATCAAAGGAGCTGGTCTGAATTCCTAGAGAGGGTGTGGACAAAAACAAGCGCAGTAGAGGGAAGCAGAGGGAACATGGGAGGCAGGGAGCTGTAGCTCAGTAGCCAAGTCCAGTCTCTAACAGGTTCCTGCTATGTTGACCAGACACTCGCATTTGCACAGTCTCTTCACTTTAGGTTGGAAATAAAATCTTTTCTGTTTCAAGATATCTGCTTCTAAGGAGTGGAAGAGGGGATGGAACACAGAGAAAGAGTCTGTATCCCATGACTTGTTCCACGACAGCTGTAGGTCTCACTTTACCCTACAGAACAGTAAATTAAAAACAAAACAGAATTGGCACTAGTGTTTGAACCCAGGACCTTGCAAATAGTAGGCAAGCACTCTTCTGTTGAGATACATCCCAGACCAACAATAAAAGAAATAACCTTGTCTAGTTGTAGGGTATTCCATATGATAAAGTCACAATGCTATAGGACAGGTCTATCCCACATAGGAATATGTTTAAGGACAGAATAAACTATCCCTAAGAATCAATATAAGGAACAGATCAACAGCCTAGATTTAAAAAAAAAAAAAAAAGCCTCAATTTCATATATTCTGCCCAACGATTTCCATTAGTACATCAAAACCATAAGTCTTGTTTTGCTTTGTTTTGTTTTGTTTTTCAAATGTAGTTATAACAATCTTGGAACACTTCACTGAAATCTTCTTTTAGGTACCCTAAACCATCCTGGGGTCCAGAACATCTCCAGACCAAACCATTAGCTTATGATCACCTGCCCCTGATCCCTGACACAGTGTCTGTAATCTGAGCCTCCAGCTGCCAAGCTCCAGAATCCACTCACATGTAATGAATAAGGTAGTAAGTGAAGATTAGAAAGATGATAACTATATTTCCAAGCCTGTAGATGCCATCAACAGAGCCCAGTGGTGGAAGATGCCATCAACAGAGCCCAGTGGTGGAAGATGCCACCAGCAGGAGGGGACTCAGCCTGGGTCAACCCCATTGTCAAGGAAAGAGCATTCTCAGAGTGCCAGGGGAAATGCTTCCTGGAGGTGAACATGCCTGTGCCAGTTACACCACCCTCTCTGTTGAAAGGACCTTGAGTTTAATCATGGAAGCACAACCCTGACTCTAAGCAATTGCATCGGTCCTCCTTACATCTCACCTTCCTCTTGTGGGTCATCTGCATTTATTTTGCAGACCACCAGGCTCCCTTTGTCAAGTCCAAGCCTGGACACAAGCCCTTCCTTTGGCACCTTGAATTCATCTAAGACAGGCTAGAATTTCCAACACTTCCACACACAGAAAAAGAACGAAAGAGAAATGAACTGAGCAAGCATGTGATTATAAACATCCTGGCTTACAAAGCACAGGCCTTATCTAGCTAACTCCATCTCTGGCAGTTGGCAGCTCCCTCCTGTCTCATGAAAAGTCCGGGGAAGCAAGGTTTTGCCTGGTCCTTTTCTGCCCACCTTGTGAGCAATTCTGGACAATGGCTGCTTGCTGCACCTGAACCTTTAGAGGCCTCATTCAGATTTCCATCCTTCATGCCTGATTAGCGTTGTTTAGGTTCTGAGGAGATAACTTCCTCGGCTGACTGATACCAAACCTGAGCAGGACCCTCCAAAGGGTCCTTAGCCTTCAGCACAGGGGTACATCTTCACTTTCTTAGGCTCAGCCCATCTTCTCAGGATTTTTATCTGAACTTCTCAGGATGTTAAACTGAACATCCACTGGGCAAAGTCCCTCTCTCACCCATAACCCAAGCCAGACTGGTCTCAAGAGCCATCATGCTTAATGCCAGAAGATGCTCAGCCCACTGTGGAGTTCCTTAGAACCAGAGTTGCTTGCAGGAACCTTCACTTGAATATGAGTACCCTGTGAAATGTTGGCACCTCACTAGCAAGCAAAGTTCGATGTTATCAAAAATTCCACGGGCTAGAAAAATCGCTCAGCTATTAAGAACACTTGCTACTCAATCATGAGGACCATAGTTTGGATTCCAGCACTCAAATAGCAAGCCAGTCATCCCATGGACACTTTGTAACCCCAGCTCCAAGAGTGGCAGAGACAAGAGGATCTCTGCAGCTGGCTGGCTTCTAGCAAACTACCTGAGCAAATGTGAGCTCCAGATTCAAGGAGAGACCCCATCCTCACAGGTCTTCCTGCTTCCATGTGCACCCATAGGTGTGTACACTCATGTACTCATGCCTGTGTGTATCTGCATTCGCGCGCACACACACACACACACAGAGAGAGAGAGAGGGAGAGAGAGAGAATTTTATGCCCTGTTTCATACATTTTTAAACAACACTGGGGCTGGAGAGATGACCCAGGGGTTTTGAGTACTTGTTGCTCTTGCAGAGGACCTAGATTTAGTTCCCAGCATACACATCACGGCACACAAATATCCTAACTCCATTTCCAGGGATCTGATGCCTTTTTCTCACCTTTATAGGAACCAGACATGCACATGGTGCACACACTTACATGCAGGCAAAACACTCATACACACAAATTTAATAAATCAAAAAAATTAAATTAAAAAGCATTGAACTAAGTAAGCCCAGCAACTAGCTCCTTATTTGGTTTCAACATCAAACTCTAAGTCTTGTAAGTTTCTTCTCTCTTATATGTAATGAACTAGTATATTTGTGCTGAGCAACCGACACCTTCTTAATGTGGTCTGTAGCATCATTATGTAACACAGCTGAGATCCACAATATGTACCAGAAAACCGGCTCTTTTTTCTCACCACTGGCTCAGATGTACTCAACAGGCTTGAGTAATAGTTAAGCAGGTGCCTTTACTTTTCCAATAATGCTCCAAGAACAGAAGCTTTAGCATCAAAAATTGACCCAAAGAAATTCTATTTCTAGCTTAATTTTGTTTCTAGTTTCTCTTATAGTCTAAAAACTGGGGTGACCACTTAAGGATCATGTACCCAGATCTTGACTGCCTCTTCTGTAGACTGAGGATGGATTAAGGGGCTGGAAAGATGGCTTGGCAATGAAGAGAATATTCTGCTCTTGTAGAGGACCTGAATCCACAACCTCCTGTAAATCCAGTTCCAGAGGATCTGATGCCTCTGGCCTCCACAGACACCTGCGCACTAGTGGGCATACTCCCTGTTCCTGACACATAATTAAAAAGAAAATCTATAAGTGCATATTTAGAGTGAGCTTCATCCCACACCCACAGCCTGTTTGGGAGCACAAAAGTAAAGATCACAAAAATACACAAAAAGTTATTTCTTTTTGGATTCCAGCTACATCACACTAGGTAGGATCTAAAGATAAATAGGGCTAAAAGGAAGGAAGCTTGTTTTTCCAATCTCTCCCTTCCCAATAGTTGCATAAATAACCAATGACTTTCCTTAGAAGCAAAAGTACTAAGCTGTCATGAAATAGCTTGTACAGCTGAAATTGATCCATTTCCAAGTTATATAATGACTTATACAGCTGAAATTGCTTGCTGGGTTCCCACACAGACATGGGACCAGATGCTATCCCCTGTGGCCATGGCATCCTAGGCAAGCATTTCAACGAGCTGGCCCCTTTCTTAGAAAGCGCAACCCATCTACTTCCCACCAACTCTCTATCAAGGTTCCATCTTCCTGAGCAGTTGACCTGAGCACTACAGTGTCTTTGTGAGCCATGTGGTCTACAGGAAGCCCTCAGTCACTCTCCCCACCTCTTTGGTCTGGTAACCCTCAGTAATCTTGCTTTGCAAATCACAGAGTTGGAATCGGACACAGAAGAAAATTTTAGCTTGCTTAAAGTGCACAGGATACCTCCAAAAACCTCTAGGATGGGACTCTGATCAAATGTCTTTTTTACTAAACTGAAGAGAGAGAGCACATGGGCTGAGAGGAAGTTGGGAAATAAACAAGAGGGAATGTGGTAAAAGTGGAGGAGAGAGATGCAGAGGAGAGAGAGACAAAGAGGAAGGGAGAGAACAGTTTGGAAAGAGTGGAGAGAAAAGGAAGGACAAAGTGGAGGATGGGTATAATGAAGTTGACAAACATCTGCATGAGCCTCCCACCGTATGGACCAGTGGCATCAGAATCACTCGGGGACTCTTAGATCTAACTGGGACCCTCATTCAGAAGGCCTGGGATATTTTGAATATGATCTGCCAGGTGATTCTCTGCATATTGAGCTTAAGAACCTTTGCCTTAGACAGCATAGAAGGTATCCCCAGACAGAGAAGTGTGGGTCTGGGCATCAGATATAAGCTCAATATACTGATCTCTCTATCTATATTTCATCGACAGCAAACTTGAAGAACTGGTCCACTTCCTACAAGTCATGTATCCCAAACTGTGTCAACACTGGCAAGTGATCTGGATGATGGCTGCAGTAATGCTGGTCTTGAGTGTTGTGCTTGGGCTCTACAGCTCCTATAATGCCTGTACAGAGCAGCCTGATGGGCCCCCTGGGAGGTCCACCTGCTCAGCAGCCCAGCGGGACTCCTGGTGGAGCTCAGGACTCCAGCAAGAGCAGCCAGCAGAGCAGTAGGGCACCGGACTCGTTAGCTATGCCCTGCTCTAGTACATTCACAACACCCTGCCCCCAAGTTGAGTGTGCCAGGCCCATGTGTGCACATGTGGTCACCCATCCCATCGGGGTACAAGGAGGCTTTGTCTTCACCCCCAGCGCCTCCATGGAAGCTACTCATACACAGTAACCTGATACTTTGAGGAGATCAGCAAATCTGGCTCAGGAAAGTGTCTAGTGGACAAAGAAGTGACTTTCACCAAGGACCCTGGCCCACGGGAAGAGTTCTGCCCCTGGCTCAGGTGGATTGGGAAAACCAAACCCCCTTCATTCAGGGGGCAGTGAGAAGCCTGTTCTCCACGCCCCCTTTCCTCCCTATGTTTCATAATCAGGAAGAATTGTACTTAATGGCCAGTACTGACCATAAGGATCAGACCTGGGACTTGGAGTCACAGCGTGGATGTCTTCCCACTTCCTATGACCAATCTTTAGCCTTCTCTCTCCCCTTCAGAATCACCATTTCTTGCTGGAGTGGGAAAGCTTGCTCACAAAAGTACACAGGCTAAAAGTAGCCCCATGCTCGAAGGGAAACAGGAAGACGTGAGTTAATATATAACTTATCTTTATACATATGGACAGAACACACAACATGTTTGTGCACAGACACCCACTCTCTGGAAGCGTGCTCTGCTCATTGGTATCCATGTTGTGTCAACCAATTGGTTTTCACTAGGTATGGAATAGTAGTCACTAGCATCAGTACAGGGAGCCCTCCACACCTCTGAAGATGTTTGAATACCCTAAGAAATCATGTCTTCATTGCACTTCAGATGCCAGTTTGGAGCTGCACAGTTTGTTCCCTGCTTATGTGCTGCATTTGAAAGTGATCCTACACAGTTAACCCACCCCTTGGGTAAGAAAAGGTGTGCCTTCCACTCCAGACTCTCACTCTGCCTTGCGCCTCAGGGCTGCCATTCTCATGTAATTCCTGCCCAAATGTGTCCTTCCCAGGACCTGTTCGGCATCAAACCGAAGGAGCTCATCCTGCCTGCAGTATGGCATCTCTCACACTGTTCAGCTGTTATCTTCATCCAGCTCTCATCAGTTGGAGATGGGTCGTCTGTTGTGGGGTGCTTTTCTGTTTCATTGTTTTTGTTGCTAACACTCAAGTAGAACTTAATGTGAGCCAGAAGTGTCTCAGTGTTATATTGGTAGTAATTCATTTAGTCCTCAAGAAAAACAAAATCTGAAATTGTATTTCTCTCTCTATGTCAAATAAGGAAACAGAAGCATAAATGATGCAAAAGTATGCACATACAGAGCAATCTCACACACACACACACACACACAGAGAGAGAGAGAGAGAGAGAGAGAGAGAGAGAGAGAGAGAGAGAGAACTTGTCAAGCATGTATAGCTAGTAAGTAAATCATTCATACTAGAGTGGTCTGGCTCCAGGGACTGTACTACTTACTGACTCTTCTCTGGTCTCCCAGCTGAGTGCCTTCCAGGCCCTTCAGCTGATCCAAACCAGCCATGGTTCTCAAATGAAATCACTCCTCCCACTGTACTTCAATCCATAAGCATCTCTCTCCTGCCATTGTCCTCTTCTCACCACTCTTGAAGACCAAGCACAAACGCTACCCTTCTCTACAGGCCTCAGTGACCTTCTTCCCATTCTTACCGCATCATGGGTGGTGCCCCACTTAGTGCTTCCTGCACTTGTTAAATTTCAATCATTGACCTGTACCTACTGTCTAACCCATTTATGCATCTGTCTGCCTGTTCATTTTCCTTAAATACTATGTCTTACCATCTCTTGGGTAGATACCTAACATGGCAAACACTTTGGAGAGAATCATTTAATGTTGCTTAAAAGAATAAGTGATCATTCAAGGTGGAGAGTAGCCTAGAACATGACATTTTGAGGTTTACAAATACCATCACCCCCAGGACCATTCCTATCTCCATGAGAAACCTGTCATGATTTATTCCTAACTTCAGCTTACTTCTATCTTTACTTACTCTGAGAAAGCAAGAATGAAACCAGACTACAGAAATCCCATTCCCAAGTTCAAGTACAAGACTCCATGCAATCTCTCCTTTTAGAGAGACATGCCCCCACCACAACTCACCCAGACTAGGCCTCACTTGAAAACACTGGTTTTGAAGGGGCATCCTTTAGAGGATAGAACATGACAAAGTGAGGAGCCCAAGGATGTGCCATTAAAGGTAACGAGGTTCAGAGTGAGGCAATGGGATTTTGCAGACGTAGGTAGATGGCTTACCTGGTATCTTTCATAGGACTAGATGCAGCCAAAGGAGATTTAACTAGTAAGCATCATATAGCCAAACACAGGGTGTAGATGAAATGCAGAGGGAACAGCCACTAGCATTCTAGGAGGTCAATGTCTAATCTCAGCCCACTCCACACCAAAAGAAGTTCCAACTTGAGTGACCCCATCATCCATTTGGCCACAGATTCCCACCTGTGTTCTAGGTGAGACAAAGTCAAGAAGAGCATGTGTATACTGCATCAGCATCACCACTGGCCTCTGAAGCCTGCAGGAGTCCTTGAGCCTAGACCAGCAACCACAATAGTCCAGATGTAAGGGCGGTTGAGACATAGCCATATTTAGGACTAAAAACATACGTGTTGATCCACTTTTTCAGGAAAACAAGGATAACGTGAAGCAGTTACAGCTGCTGCCTCACATGCCCAGTGATTTGGAAGCCAGCCTTGTGTTTCCAGACATAACAGTAAAATTAAATAGAAGTTCCCATTCTAGATGCCTCTGAAACCTGGCATTTCTGCTTAGCCTTGTGAGTCTGGTTGCCAGCCTTCTATTGCAGAGGGATGTGTTTGCATCACCACTGATTCACTTCCTAAAAAGAGCCTCACTCTCTAGCCACCATGAAGTCTGTTTCCTTTGTACAACCTGGAAGAGGGAATAGCAAGGGAGACCCTGGACTTACCTATCACTGGCTGTCAATCCCTAATGTTAAGCCTCACACAGGTAGGTGTGCTAGTGTTGAACCATAGAATGTCATGTAGCTTGAGTTTGAAAATAAACGCACATTTCCAAACCTTTGGCAGAAGTCAAATGCTTCTTTGTTATGTGGAGCTGAACCCTAATCTTTTTCCAGTGCTGAATTAGATCCACAGAGATCTGTAGACCTGAACTTCTCTCAGGAAACACAATCAGGACCTAATCTGGAAAGATTAGATCTTTCTCCAGAAATGTTTGTGTTCTCCCCCCCCCCCCATGGCTAAAATACCCTGGCAAAAACAACCTAATGGGGAAAGGGTTTTCTTTGGCTCACAATTCAAGGGTAGAGCGTGTTACGGCAGGGAATTTTTGGTAGTGGGAGCTAGAGGCAGCTGATCACCCTGTAGCTGCAGTCAGGAACTAGAGTGGTGAATGTACTCAGCTCACTTTCTCCTTTTCATACAGTCCAGGAACTCATCCTAGTGAATGGTGCCCCCCATAGTGGGCAGGTCTTGCCACCACAATTGGTCTAATCTAGATCATCCACTAGTTGGCATGCCTATAGGATCACCTCCTAGAGTCTAGGACCTAGATGATTCTAGATTTGATAAAATTGACAATGGCCATCCTCCAACTTTTGAATATGAGATACAACTCTTGTTCATATGTTACATTTTATGGGACTGTTAGTCTTAAGATAGAGTATCCAGTCCTTCATCAGTCAGTTCTCTGCTTCCACCATGTAAGTCTTGGGGATCTAACGAGGGCATTAGGCTCAGTGAGGCACACTTTTACTCACAGAGTCATTTCAACAGTCCCCTGGGCCTTGGTTGTTTTTGTTTGTTTGTTTGTTTTAAAACCAGTTCTTATTTTGTAGCCCAAGCTGGCCTTGAACTCATGATCCTACTGCCTACATCTTATGACTGATTGGATTACAGTCATGAACCCCCATATTCAACTTAAGAAAAAGTTCATTTGGTTCACAGTGCTGGAGAGTCAAGGTCATGATGCCTTCGCCAGTTCAGTTCTAGTGAAGGGCAAATGGTAGTGACAGGTGTGGATGTTGGAGCAAGCAGTCATGTGTCAAAAGACGAGAAGCCGAGTAAAAAGGGGTGGCCAGGCCAGGCTTGTTCCTTATATAACAGCCCTCTCCCAAGAGTTCCCAAAGGAACTGCACAAGGAAAACTTCCCACTAACCCCTCTTCCTAATATGGTACCACCCAGAGACCAACCATTTAACTACAATAGTGACACTCAAACTGCATCCCATCCACAGCAATGATCTTCATCATGCCATTTCTCTGGCATGCCTGAACTACGTTAGCCTGGTGATTGCTGTGACTTCCATCTTTCTCCTTGACAAGTGGGGACTTTCATTGAGATCATCCAGATCCTGCCTCATCAGCACATTGGGGAGTGGTACACACCCCTTTATACTCATAGGTTCAAGTCCACAAATTGTCTGGCTATACCTGACTGGTGTACTGGGCATGTGGTGGTCTGAATGAGAATGGCCTCCACAAACTCATCTATTTGAATTCTTGGTCCCCAGTTTGGTGGAACTGTTTGGGGGGGGACTAGAAGGTGTGGCCTCAGTGGTGGAGGTGTGCCAATGAGGGCAAGCTTTGAGGTTTCAAAAATTCCAAGCCTTTCCAGTTAGCTCTCCCTGCCTCATGCCTGTGGATCAGGATGTAAACCCCTTGGCTACTGCTCCAGCTACCAAGCTCCCGCCATGGTGGTCATGGACTCACCATCTCAAACTATAACCGTTCATTAAATATTTTCTTTTATAAGTTGCCTTGGTTGTGACTTTTCATAGAAATTGAAAATTAACTAAGGCAGGGCATAACTCTGAGATCAAGGACTCTGTGCAGGGTAGGACCTTGAGTGGCCTCCCTTGAGAAGAGCATAATGGTCTGCAAAAGGGAGAAATAGTGAGCCCAATATTGGGTGACCAGGCAGAGACACTCAAGCACTTTTTACTCTTGGGTGCATAGCTGAATTAAAACACCTTAATCAGGTTAGGTGTGAACACATGACTAAGTACTGATTACTCAACTGTAAACAGGAGTGATACATGTCAGGCTTGGCCTCAAAAGCAATCTTCAGCACCATTATCTACATTTGCTGGTTCACTGTGAAGATCTAGGAAGAGAACTCAGATATTAGAAGACAGGAGTGTCACGGGAGTCAGGTAGAAGCAGTCTCTATCTTTGAATAAACTGTGCTGTACTCAATATACACACCCACTATTACTCCCATCACCACCTGTCAGTCATTGGAATATCACATAGACCTTTCAAGTAAGTCATTGAGTCGCATGGTTGTTGGTTGCAGTAGTTGGACTAGACTACAATGACTAATAATTTGCCTACCTTTATATTTTTTGAGACAGGGTTTCTCTGTGTAGCCCTGGCTGTCCTGGAACTCACTCTGTTACCAGGCTGGCCACGAATTCAGAGATCTTCCTGCCTCTGTCTCCTGAGTGCTAGGATTAAAGGTGTATACCACCACCACCACCCACCTATACATTTCTTAAAAATAATCCTTATAATATTTGGTACCATAGAACTACTGTTATTTTTAAGTTCTTGTGACTCTGTCCTTTGACAAGCAGTGAAACCGAGGCCCAAGGACACATGGATTATTACTGTTAGTAAGATTTAAACTCAAATGCGAACATTGTCCTCGGCCCAGTATTCTGGATTGTACAGTATTTCTGTGCTGCCACTTTACAAAACCTCCATTCTATTTACATTGTAATTGTATATGTTGAATTTAAAAGATAACTAAAAAGCTTCTTCATATCAAAGCCCAGGATCTCTGAGTTATTCTCAGTCTTTGACATCAGGTCCAGCTATGGTACTTTGTGGTCCGGTGACCTGTGAACTTTTGCTCCTGGTTTTAATAACCCTGGCGTGTATATTCCATGTTTGCTGCTGTCCTTTGGAAATTAATGGATAATCCCTTCATTTAAGTTTACAAATTTCTAATTGTACAAACTTCTCTCGTTTTTGGTTCTCTTTGGTGATAGCATGAGCTGTTATTTAGCAAAGCACAGAAGGTTGCTCTTTCTCATCCTGAACATCCTCAGAAATTGTAAAGCCACGTTCTTCTATCGTCTGTGCTTCAGCTCCTGCCTCCAGGTTCTTGCTCCGAGTTCCTGCCATGACTTCCCCCAGTGGGAATGTAAGATGAAATAAATGCTTTCTTCAATGTGCTGTCTTTTCTCAGAAAAGGAAGAGGAAACTAGAATAGTTCTTTCTTTGCAACAAGGCTTACTGCACAGAGAGGCTTAGAAGCTGGTACTGAGATATTCTAACTCTGGGAGGCAGTGAATTCTAATCAAGCTGCCACTCATCCACCTTGGGGAGAGAAGCTCCTTTTTTAGGCAGGGATGGTGAGCACAGAGGCTTGTAGCAGGCTCCTAATTCTGAGTGCTCAGACCTGGATGGAACATTATGCCATTCCTCACCCCACCCCCACCCCACCCAGGACTGACTCAGATGGGGAATACAGGTAGAAGAGGGTGAAGTGCTGTCTCCGGGGCATAATGTGCACAGCAGCTGCGGTCACTTGGACAGGATTGAGACCATGCTCTTTCCATCACAGCCAGGGACGGACAGTGCTCATGAGCAGCTATTGGCAGTTACTGGCTGCCAGAGAAGAAATCATCTTTTTTCTTCAGGAATGGAGCCTCTAAGATGCCCATGATACAGGAAACAACCCCACATCCATGCACAGATAAACAATCTTAATTAAACTTAGAGGTTATAGGGAAAAGGCAGTGCAGGATGGGAACTTGCTGAGAAGAGGGAGTTGGGAAAGAGTAGGAGGAGATAAAAAGAGAGGGCAATGGTGAATATGATCAAAATACATTATTATATACATGTATAAAATTGTCAATTTCTAAATAATAAAAAAAAAGTCCAGGCCAGCTTTGGCTACATAGTAAGAACCACCTGTCTTAAAAATAATATTCTATTTATTCCCAGTCATATTCTAACAGTGGCTAAATTTTTCTCTCACCCAAGTCATTAACAAATTGAAAGCTCACTGCTTAGCCCAAGTACAATCATTCAGACTCTCTTCATCCAGGAATTCCCTGGCTGTCTATTTGTTTATGAAAGTGTATTCTGACTTCTCCTAAATTATTTCTCACATGCTTTACCTTCTACAGTTGATTTTTCTTGTCCTGCCATCCTCTCTCCTTTCTGATAATGTATTCTTTCTAACATGGTGCTAAGCATTAAAACAAATACAAAAGGACACAATTCCTTCCTCTCTCAGGCACTACAGGGCTAGCATCACACGTGTTTATGCAGTACCCAGGGCTTGTGCACAAATAAGTAACATGTTTACATTGGAGATATTCAGGGGCTATTTCCCTGATCTCTTAGAAGCTCTCAGTGTTTGTGAAGAACAGATTTTCATTGCTGGTATTTTCTGCACATATGTCTAACTCTGTTACCAGTACCAATTATGTAGAATTAGTTATCCTTGTGATTGCATGTGTTAAACAGGTAACACTCAGTCTGGAGATATGGCTAAGCATTTAAAAATAAATTCTGTTTTTGCAGAGGACCTGAGTTCAGTTCCCAGCACCATGCTGGATGGTTCATCTTGCTTGTAACTCCAATTCCTTGGAATCTGACACCCTCTTTTGACCTTCCTGAATCCCTGCACTGGTGTGCACATACACAAATATGAACATACATATGCATTAATTTAAAACTAGTAAAAATAAATCTTTGAAAGACAATACCATGCCCATAATAGACACTTATTAGACACTTATTTTGGAGAAAACTCACAAACCTTTGCTCAAGGCATTTTTCAAAAGCTCTAACTATAATGATTGAAGAAAATGAACCACTGAAAATCCAGTTTGGATATATCAAATGCATTGACTTAACACAGTTTAGGTATCTCTCATCAGATGAAGAGGATGGAGTCTAAGTTTAATTCCACCAGAATACAGCAGAAGTTACTAAGGAAAGTGTGACATGATAATCCTGGCAGTGGAGGTGCATGCCGTTGATCCCAGCACTCAGGAGGCAGAAGCAGGTAGATCTCCAAATTTGAAGCAAGTCTGGTCTATAGAGTGAGTTCCAGTTCAGACAAGGCAACACAGAGAAACCCTATCTTGAAAAACCAAAATAAATAAATAATCCCCCATGGTGATAACTGTCATACAAATCAAAACTCCTTTTATAGGGTACAAAATTTCTAATTTAAAAACTAAATTATCTGCTATTTGTGTTTTATAAATATGAATCTTAAAGATGATTTATTTATATGTATGCATACATACTTATGAGTGGGTATGTTTAATGAGTATGGGAGTTTAATGAGTATAATGAGTATGCCTGCAGGAGTCAGAAGACAGCATCAAATGCCCTGGAGTTGGAATTGCAGGTGGTTATGAGCTACCCAGTGTGGGTTCTGGGATCCAAACTCAGATCCTTCAGAAGGGCAGCAAGTGCTCTTGACTTTTGAGCCACTGTTAGGGCCCTACATAAGACCCTGTGAGTCTGGTCTCTTTGGAAAAATGAATCTCATAGCAATGTTGACATGTCCAATGTATGTCAGACATGCCAAAGAATGAGTGTTTTTCTTTAATGAGCATTTACTATCATAACAAGCTTTACTGCTATTTCTCTACGCATTACAAGGCAATGCAGCCAAGAAAGGGGGAAACAACTGATTGTAGAAAGGAAAGAAACACAATTCATCTTCAGTCTCTCTTGGAGGCAGAGACAATCACAGGAGTATATGAATGGCTCTGCAAACCATCACAATGAAGAGTGTGGGAACTGGGCCCACAGGGGAATATGGGAACGGGGGAAATCTTCGGCAGCTGACACTATGCTATCTGCCTTCCTCATGTGTGTGGTTTCTGAGTCAGCATTAGCTAAATGTTCCAGAAAGCCACTCACAAAGTACAGCCTGGGCGTTCAAGGGATGTCACTCATTTCCTCTAGTGATTTTGACAAATCAGAAGCTTGAAAGCAGTGAAATCCTCGACATATTTCCAGAACTCTCCATCCAGCCTGGTAATTGAGCATCTGTCTCTCTTACTGCTCCTAGCCAGCTACAGGGCTTCTGAAGGGGTCTGCACAATGTTTAATCACTTGGGCCTGGTGTTGCTTTTAGCCTCTACTTGGACCACTAAGCTCCCAGCTCAAGGTGCCATCCAAGTGCAAGGTAGGTGTCTTACCAGGTTTCTAAACTGAGGATAGACAAGGTCTTGGGAACTGTGCTATAAGCCCACTCTGCTTTTGACCATGGACTGTTGGGGGGAGACTCTTGGGTTCAACAGAAGATTGAATGCAGAGATGTTTTCATTATGTTGTCAGCTTCACCAAAATGACTTATAGTCACCTTTCCATTACATGGAATTTTATTTTGGGTTATGGAATACTTTTAATAATAATAGTGTGAAATAAAAAAAAATGAGAACTCATTTATTTTTAAAAGGTTTCATTTAAGAAGCAAGCCAGAGTTGTGACTATTTAAAGTAATCTCTAAGCCTGAGGAGGAATGGGTAACTTATTAAATATCACCCACTTTATACTACTGTTTTTGTAATTATTTTAATAACAAGGTTATTCTGCCACTAGTGAAATGCAATGTTTTAATTTGCAAGAAATTAACTGAAAATACAGGTTTAAATTGTTACCATTAGCAGGTATGACAGGAGGGACTCTGTGGCTTCTGAGTTTGTAGGCTCCATACATGGAAACCTCTTTCTGCATAGCAGTAGAAAACATTGGAACCACAAATCACTAGCCCTAGGCAAGTACTGTAGCAGGGTTATTAAGGAGACCCTATTCTTCTGCTGAAGATGTTCTGAGGCAGAAACTATATCAGGAATAGACATTTGGTGTTGGTTGATATATTGCTGGACTTGACTTTTATGAGAGGTTAGAGTTAGATGATTAGTTCCCCACCCCCAAATACCAGAACTGTAACTTTTAAATAAACCTATTCCTCTTAGGAATCCCATCAGCAAACGTTCACATTTCCCCCTGCAATGCTGCTACTACACAAGTTATTTTGGAGTTTGTTTTTTTTTTTTTTTTTTTTTTTTTTGAAGATGGGGATCTCATATAGCCCAGGCTAACCCCAAATTCACTATGTATCTAAGAATAACCTTGAACTCCTGATCCTTTTTGCCTTCACCTTGTGGAAGTTGGGATTACAGGTGCGTACCACCATGTCTAGTCTTAGCAATGAAGAAGAGTGAACTGAAGGTGTTGTGCCATGCTAGGCAAGCTTTCCCAACTAAGCCATATCCCTAGCCCTTAGAAACTACTCTTTGACAATGACTCTTCCTATTTGCTTCATCCTCAACAATGGCAATTTTTTCCTGAGGAGATTAAACTCTTGGAAAGAGCAGAAAGTTAACTGGTTACCAGCAGAAAAGTCTTATTGGACTCTGTGGTGATGTGGTGAGTGGGCACAGATAGGAATTTTCTTAAAGGCTTCTTACAGAGAGATTCAGAACTGAGTACATGTAGCATTTCTTTGATTCCCCTCTCAATAAAACATTGTTTATATGGAAAAAATCATAAGTGCAGCCAAGGACTTTGTCTGATGCCATGCAGGTAGTAAATATTGACACTTGGCATTGACTCTGCCCTGTATGATTCCCAAGAACATACTATTCCTGCCAATCTGTGATGTTTTCTAAGAAGTCTTATAGAAACTGTGATAGGAGTGTACTGTTGGATTCCAGTTTGATGTCAGAATTTCTAAATGAAATTGCAAAGCATGGAGTTTCTATATTTGATTGCCTCCCTTGGTTCCAAGCTCTGCTAGGTACACGTTACCTGGTATAATTCCAAACACAAGGCCTGACAAGGTATAATTTCACAGATGAATGTTTTGACTTGTCCCCAAGCTCCCAATAGTCAATTAACAGTGCGAGAGGTGGGAATGTTTTACACAGGCTTGGGAATTTGAAGTGGATTTTCACAAAAAAAAAAATTCATGATATTTTAAGTAAGTTTACAATTTTGGACCATTAGGCTATTATGCTATCTTAGGGTTCATGAGGTCCTTGGGCAGAAAACTGGACATCCCTGTCAGAGCCTTGTATAACCATTACTTACAAGGCTAAATGTCTTTTTTATGGACCTTCATAGATAAAGTCCAACAGGAGTAAGGTACTGGAATGTAATACAATATGGTAATTTTATATAGGTTCATACCAGTGGAGTGGGTCAAAAGACTTACCAAATCCACTAGATTTTTAGAAAAAAATATTCTGACAAGTCCGGCTGCTTCAGCCTTCCCAGGAAGATCAGTCTGTGTTGGATACACCAGAGTGCTTAAAGACCAAATGACAGCATTATTTATAGTTGTTTATTATGGCAGATAATATTCTGAGTCTCATAAGAATTCATTCATGTAACTCCCACTGTTACTCTCTATATTCCAAAAAAGAAAATGAACTCAAAAAGATAAAGTAACAAGCATAAGGTCTTACCATAGGTGATACCAAGCTCCACCCTAACTCAAACTCAGTTTCCTTTATTTAGTTTCCCTGCCCTGTAAGATTTCCTGCTAGCTCCTTCAGGAATTTCTGAGTAAGTCTGTCCTCCAATGGTCAGAAAGGACTGAAATGGAGAACTCACATTCTCTTTTAGTAAGCACATGGCCAGCCTCAGTCAAAACAGGAATGTTCCTGGCCATACTACTTTGGATTATTCTGTTAAACAGAGCCCTGGCTTTTACCTTCCTCCAAATCTCAGAGGCTTCCTCTTATAGACTTCAAAAACAATGTTGGAAGCATCTAAATCCCGAGACCCCACACCAGGAGCTGATAGCTAGCTAAAGCCCTGGTGTGATTGGCAGATTCCTTGGTGCAGAGTGTTCTATGCACTCTTGATCTGGAGATTGACAGCCTCCACCAGGCAGAACAAGCATCTAACCCAGCAGGCAGTCCTTGTAGGACATTCCTGGCCCGTGTTATTGTTTCTAAGTCCAGCACCAGCCTCACAGACCTGGGTCAACACAATGATTCTTTGTGAGGAAGGAAAGGCCTGAGAGCTAGGAACAAACTAGAAGCAAACTGAGGACTTTATGATTTCTTTCCAGAACTTTCCACCTCCATATGTAGATACATGGGGGTCGCCCTTGTTTACAGAAAGGCAAACACACAGATGAATTTCACAGAAGCCGAGGAGGCCTGCAAGGTGCTGGGGCTGACTCTGGCCAGCAAGGACCAGGTAGTAGCAGCTCAGAAGTCTGGCTTTGAGACTTGCAGGTAAGAAAGAGCTTCTTTAAAGCTGGTGTCCTGTTCCACAGTAGACTTGCTGCCTTCTAACCTCTGTTCAACCAATGTGTATTCTTCTACAGCTATGGGTGGGTTGGAGAACGGATCTCTGTCATCCCTCGGATTTTATCAAACCCCAAATGTGGGAAGAATGGGCAAGGTGTCCTGATTTGGAACGCTGTGCCCAGCTCAAAGTTCAAAGCCTATTGTCACAACTCATCTGGTAAGTCTGGACCCACAGCCACTTCGCGTGGCACATCTTCTCTGGGTGTCTTAATATCTGGGACCTGTCTGGGACAAACAACCTAAGCAGCTGCAAAAGCAGCAGAAGCAGTCACAGGTCTTCTAAATGTTCCAAGACAAGGCTGGGGGGGAGCAATGTGCCTCTCAGAGGAAAACGTTAAAGATATGACTGAGTGATAGCATAAGGACAGTGTGTTTCCAGGGACTTGGGGTTCCTAAAAGGAAACAGGAAGTGGAAAAGAAACAGATGTATGTGATGCATCCCCTCTGGATAAAGCAATTGAGAGGTTAGCTTTCTCAAAGAACCTTGAACTCTCCCTAAGGAAGCCTTCTCATCCTGTCTTCAAACAAGGAGATGTATCTATGGGGACTTTGGTCCACTTGTCTAATGTTTCTGTGTTGGACATTCCCCATTTCCATGATAAAATAACTGTAGCTGAGCAATTTATAAAGAAAGGGAGGTTGGCTCGCAGCTCTGGAGAGTCAAGGTCATGGCACAGCAGCAACTTGACAATGGAGAGGTAGCTCTCCATGTCATCACAAAGGCAGGGCTATGTGGGAGAAAGCATTGAGTGTTCATATGCTGAGACTGGAAGCCAGAGAGGGATTCAAGAATATTATGACTCCCAGGTCCAACCAGGGTCCCAGGAAAGCTCATTGATTTCTTCTATACCTTTTATGACTTCCTGTTAGGCTCCACCCCTTAAAGGTCCCACCACCTCTTGGCATTGCCACACTGGATTCTAACACATAAACACTGGGGAATAATGGAACTTATATTCAAAGTAGAGTCTCAGATGGAAGAGGTTCAAACGTGGGTCTAACTCTGACATTGCCACATTCTTTCCACTGTCCCACAGAACTCAGATGTATAGCGAGGTATTCACCCCACACGCAAATGGGCGTGGTCACAGGTGCGGATGTGATGGGGGAAAGCTAGGTTTGGAGTCCTGGACCCCAGCTTGCTCTCTTGTTTCCTGGTCGGGGTTCGGAGAGCATCCGGGTGGCAGGGTGGCATCTGTGGAATGGGAACCACAGCGGTCACCTGTTTCATGTGTAAGTGAATTCTCCCCGAATAAACCGCACTTAACCTATACTAAGTCCAGTGAATCTTAATTCCCACCTATTAACAGATGCTGAACCTGACATCTTGAAAGCAAGGCCTCATCTCCCTTTTGAAGGAAGAAGTCGAAACTTAAAGCTTAGGGCTCATTGGCTCGTGCAGCCATCTTGATGGTCTTGCCCACCAGCCTTGGGCCCTAATCCAGTGGTTTTTCTAAGTCATTCCTCAGAACATTTACTTCAATTAATACCCAGCTGTTTTGTTTTTGCTTTTGTGTGTGTGTGTGTGTGATAAGAAAGCTGCTTGATTCATTTCTTTTCACATATACTCCTATATCTCACTGTGTACATCAATATTGATTTGTAGATCTGAGAGAAAAGTAGTGCTTACCAGTCAACTTCAGCGAAATTGAATTCAGAAATTGCAAGCACTTCTCTGAACTAAAGGGCTTTGAAATGGGAAGGGCTCTTAGAGACGTCTGTCCAGCTTTCTGTCTGTGCCAATAGTTCAGTGTGTGTGTGTGTGTGTGTGTGTGTGTGTGTGTGTGTGTGTGTGTGTGTGTGTGTGTGTGTGTGTTGGGGTGGGGGTTTAGTGGCAGAGTCAAGACTTCCAGTTGATTCTCCTGCCAACATGATGCCTTGTCTCCATTCTTCTCTGTCCCTCCAGCCGTCCTAGCTAGAGAACTTAGCGGTTTGTGTGCCTGCTTCTCTCATTAACAGGGTTCCTGGGAGCTGGCCCCGCCTCCTAACGCCTTGCTTCTCCACCTGCTGGCAGTGCAGTGCTATGGTACCCATCCGGGACTAACAGGAGAGGAAGGGGACTCAGGCTGTCTGTTTCCTCCTGCTTTTCTTTACCGTGTAATCTCAGCTCCTGATATTTCCCACACCCTGAAAGGTCAAGAGGCTTCATTTTCTGATGTAGGTAGTGTTGTGTAGTTGGAATCTCATCACAGTAAACAGCATCAAATGCCAGCAGTTCCCATTACTGATTGCTCTAACTTTGAGTATTTGATTAAGGCAATGACTGAAAAATTAAATGAGAAGGTAAGTTTTCTCCTTTGTAATTAGTAGGCAATCTAGCATATTTTAGTGCCATGTAAATATCCTCACTTCAAACTACCTCTATGGTCCTTGCTGAAAATGGTTTATTACTTAGGGGACGACAGAGTAGGGACTTTTCTACATCATTCCTCCTCTCTACATGTATTAGCTAGCCCCACCCCCACAGCATACACATGCATGTGCGTATACATACTCTTTCTCCACCTTATACTATCACAGACATGTGATATTTGATTTATTCAAGTTGTCAAGCACATTACAATAAATTTTATACTCATTATTCTTTTAAGTCCTGTACATGTTCCATACCAGGCTTTTGGGAGTCCTAGAGGTGACTACTGCTTCCTAGTAAGCCCTGGCTTACTTTGTGTCCTATCTGCTCCTGGTGGAGAGGTAACAGTTCATTTCTCTACCAAGCTCTACAGTGCAAAATGCTAACCAAAAACAAGATCTGCATGAGAATACTAGTGGTGTTTTTTATTGAGTCTCAGCAATGGAGCGAGCGAGCGAGAGAGAGAGAGAGAGAGAGAGAGAGAGAGAGAGAGAGAGAGAGGGAGAGGGAGAGGGAGAGGGAGAGGGAGAGAGAGAGAATGAATGAATGAACCATACATTTATATTGATGTTTCCAGCTCAGATTTAATAATTTTCTGACGATACCTTATCTGTCTTTTCCAATACTTTAGTTCTTGGTAAAGAACACACTTTCTTGTACTACAACAGTTTCTAAATAGCAAAGCCAGTATCTTTAGGAAACAAATCTATTGAGTAAAACTGAGGATTTCTTCACTGGCTCCTAGAAGAAATTTCTGCCAGGATGGATCATCAGGGAACTCCTTGTAGAAGTGACTGGACAAACTCCACCCCCATTGGGATTAGAATCTCATTTGAAATAGAAAAGATTCATATGCTTCTGTCTGTGGTCTGTTATAGGGTACAGATTTTATTGGTTTAATTTTCTTAAATACATACAACATCAACATGCTGCAATTGTCCAAAACAGTCAGGGAGGATTTACTCCTAGTCATTCCGTCTTTTTCATTCCTGGGCATATAGAAAGATCTGTGGGATATAGTTTACTTTTCTCACAAGAAAAGAAGCTGGAATAGCACACACTGCTCTGTGAAATTAGTCTGGCTTTGGCTATTAGAGGCCTTTCTAATTTTTAATGGCTGCGCTTTCAATGTACTCCAGTGGCTGGCTGTATAGTGATTTCTTCAGTCCATCTTCTATCAGTGGACTTTGTGTTATTCCTAATCTTTCTAAATTTTAGAAACCAGACATTTCTAGATTTTCCTATTTCTATGCAATTTGCAAGAACCCTCCTTCTCTGCTCCTGGATGTTCTCCCTCCCTTTGCAACTGACCCCTCCCCCACCTCATCAATTTGGTAACTCTTTCTCTTCTGTTTGCACTACAGCCTTGGGTGACTTCCCATATATTGTAGTATGTAGCATGTGATGTCTTTTGCATTTAAAATTAGATGCATATGAAAACTCTTGAATATGGTTTAAATGGGTTTCAGATCCCAGCAGAAAAGACCCTCTCCCACAGAGTAAATCATAAACCCTTTAACAAGACAACTAGCAATCCTGATAGCCTGCCCAGATCTGTCTCTTTAGCCTCACCTCCTGCTTGCAGGCTTTCTCCTACCAGTCACACTCACACCATTCTCTGGGGCCACACTATGCTCCTTGTCATTCTCCTGACCTGAAGATACCTTCCTACTTCTCCATTCTTGGATCATGCACATCCTGTTGACCAGGATATCCTGTTCCCTCCCTACAGATGAGCTCCGCTCTGTTTCAGCCACATTGGCTTGCTTTCTTGTTCATGGAATAGGCTCAGCATAGTCAAGTTTTTGCTCTTGTACTTTTTGTTTTCTTCCAGCATCTGCCCTACATCTCTAGTGACTGGCTACTTTTAAGCACTGGGTCTCAGGTTAAGTACTGCCTCCCCAGGAGACTTCCTCTTGGCACTCTAGCCAAGTATCCATCCTTCATCTCCACCCTTACCAGTTTAACCCCCACCACCTTAAAGTTTCTTTTCACTGTTTATTATCTCTTGACATTCATGGCTTGTTTATCTTTTGTTATCTCTGTTCTTCTAATGAATTAGAAGCTTTGTCTCTGTCATTTAGATCACTGCCTGGCATGGAGATGGTACCCCATAAGTATCTGTGGAATGAAAACCATCAACCCTCCACACTCCACCCAAGTTCCTCTGGCCAGAAGCAGGAACTGTTCTGATATGTCTGTGTGTTTTAGGACTCAATAGTGTCTATTGAGTTCTCTATGTTTTCTACCCTTGCTTTAAAATAAATGTTCATTTTCTGGAGGAAGAGCCTAGCAAAGACTAAAGAATGAGAAACACGACTAAAAGTCCAAGGCAACAAAGTCAACAAGGTTTATTTGAACAGGGCTATTTTCAAAGTACCATGAATAGGATAAAACATTGACTTGATGCGTGTGTAGTCAAACATTTTATCAGCAAGTTTCTTGACTGGTGATTCGTCCAACTTCCAAAATCAAATCAACTTATTGAAACAATTTCCTGCATAGCTTTAATTATGGCCATTGGTATCTAGTGCTATAAATAATCAGGGGTTTAAAATAGATGTGAATTTGTGTTGTAAGATATTGTGCAGTCCTGCCATTTCCTAACCGTGATTGAGCAAGCAAACTTGATGTGTATGAACTTCAGCATCTTCCTGTAAATGAAGGCTTGATAAATGCTGCATGAGATAGCTAAACATCTGGTACCATGGCTGACTCAGACTTAGAAGACAGACAGATGTGTTTCCTCGAAAGTCTATCCAACAGCTTGGAAAACACTTCTCTTCCCTCCCCCTCCTTCCCCTCCCTTACCCTCCTCCCTTCCTGCCCCCATCTCTCAACACCAAGAGATTTTATTTTAGATCTTGTTCTAAAGTGATATCATTTGACTCCCCCCCCCAAGTTTCTCCTTCCTCTCTTTTGTCTTTTCTTTTCTTTATTTCTTCTTTATGAGATATTCACTGTGCATACACTGTATGCCAGATACAACAATTCAGTCAGACAAGTGTGCTATTGCCGACAGTTCACAGTCAGTCCAGAGGAGGACACAATGATGGGAATTAAAATCAGGCAAGGACAAGAATATGTGTCTAGAGACCTAGTCTAGAGAAGTGTGGAGCCTGGAGGAGAATTGGCTAAGTAAAGATCAGACAGAGGTTTTAAAAGGAGTCACTGAGAAAGCCAGGGAGATTAAGAAAGTGTAGCAAGAACTGAAGAGCTATCGGGAGGGATAGCAGGACCGTTGAGAGAGAGCTAAGGCTTTGTGTCTCCTAGCCTCATGCTGTCATCTCATGCTGATCATCGAAGTCCTGATCGACAGTCTAGAGTAGGCAGATGCTGCAGTGTGCTAAGGAAGGAAACTGAGATTAGTTTTGAATCTTGGTGAGACCTGAGTTCTGACTGTAGTGAGGGTCCTGGTAGGGTCCTGCTGCTATGCTTAATTCTCCTTTTCCTTCTCCCAACAGACACCTGGGTTAACTCGTGCATTCCAGAAATCATCACCACATTCAACCCCATGTTGGACACTCAGACACCCGAAATGGAGTTCTCTGTCAGCAACAGCGCCTACTCAGCTTCATCCCCCGACTCTACAACTCATGTTCCTGCTTCAACCCGGGCTCCACCATCCACCTCCATGCCACGGAAGACAAAAAAGATCTGTTTTACTGAAGTTTATACGGAACCTAACACTGTAGCTGCAGAAACAGAATCTGTTAAAAGTGGAGCAGCATTCAATAATGAAGCAGCTGGGTTTGGAGGTGAATGTCTTCTGGGACTATTGGGCATGGGCAACTGTCTGTGGCAGGCAAATGCATATCACCCAGCTCATCCCCAGGCTGATCACTCAGCACCTACCAGGCACAAACAAAAGCTTAATGAAAGCTCAGCTTTCATAGAGCTAGCTTTGTAAAGAGCCTCATGGACCACATCACACAGTCACACATCATGAACATAAAAGAGCTTCACTGCTTTTCACAAATAAATTATTATTCTTCACTGTGGACACGAAAATATACACCTGCATGGCCTATCACTTCAATCCCATCACCCATTTCTCACATGAACCTGTGAAACTGGTCTCAGGGCTCCATGAAACAAATTCTACTTTTCACATTGCAATGATAAAGGAGAAGTAAAGAACACCCTCATTGTAAACAGAGGGATGGTGAGATGGCTGGGTAGGTGAAGGCACCTGCTGCCAAAGCCCAACAATGTAAGTTCAACCCCTGGTACTCACCTAATGGAAGGCAAGAACTGACTTCCACAAGTTGTCTTCTGACCTGTACATGTGGACAGTGTCATGTTAGAACCCACACTCACCTACACAAACACACACACACACACACTGTAAAAATTAAAATTATATGTGCATGATTGAAAATAGTCACAGAGAAGGGTCTTCTGCACTGGCTCTCATCTGCATCTCATGTAAAAATAAACCATTATGTGCACAGACAACAATTTGTGCAAGCAAAAGACCAACAAACCTGTCTTCCTCCAGGTGTCCCCACAGCCCTGCTGGTGCTCGCCCTCCTATTCTTTGGAGCTGCTGCTATTCTGGCTGTTTGCTACGTGAAAAGGTGAGGCTGTTGACACATCTCTGATCTTGTCACTTTTGTTGTGCTCCACAGTTGTTACTGGCACTTGGTCAAAATGGAGATGGCACCCCCTCTTAGACCTCCCTACCTTATAACCTCAGCACAAATGTGTCATTTAGATAGACAGTAGATATGGATCAATGGGTGCAAAACTCAAGAAATAAAAAAAGGAGAGAACAATAGAAAAAAATCTTAGGCTGTATTTGAGTTGGGGGTCTTTGTTTTAGATGAAGGAGTCGGGAAGACATCCAGAGCTGGCTCTATAAGTATCCAATAAATCCACTAAAATGGTGGTGGTGGTGATATATCAAAGTATATCTGTATTACCATTGAAATAAAGCTGTCCAGGGGACTGCGCCACCTGTCCAGGGGTGTGATGTGTGTCACCTGAAGTCTCTCATTGTGATGTATGTGTACACCTACAGGTATGTGAAGGCCTTCCCTTTCACAAACAAGAATCAAAAGAAGGAAATGATCGAAACCAAGGTTGTAAAGGAAGAGAAAGCCGATGACATCAATTCTAATGAAGAATCAAAGAAAACTGATAAAAACCCAGAGGAACCCAAGAGTCCACCCAAAACTACTGTGAGATGCTTAGAAGCTGAAGTTTAGATGACAGAGAGCAGAGAGGTTCCGCCTGGGACAAGTTTCACACCAAGCAACCAAAGAAGCAAGCCACTGTTGGTTCCTAGTTAGAAAAAGACTACAGAGTCCTCCATGCAGAGGCCTCTCCTTATTGCAATCATCTCTGGACTCTACCCTCCTACCTCCAACCTGCCCACAGCCTCCCAAAGAGTGAAGGGAGCTTTCAAAGCGCCTAAAACAATTCCTCAGCTTACATTCATGTACAGGCCTCTGGGCTGCCTGACACTGCAGAGGGCCAGACACAGCAGGGCCCCATAGTCCAAAGCCGTCCTACAGGGAAATGTGCTACAAGGCCAGATCCTTTGGAACCAGGCACAAGTAAAATAAGGAAAGGAAAGCTACAGGAGGTCATGGAGAGCCAGATGACTTGAGACCTAATTAATCTCTAGGAAGCCAAAATAAACAGCACTAGAAGGGAGCAGGGTGGAGTGGGGGTGGGTGGGGGGAGTGGTATTGATAGCAACCTTGTCAGCAGACTGTAAATACAGGCCTGGGCCAGGAAGCCACTCTGAAAACAGACCAGAGGCACTTTTTAGAACACAGAAACACTTTCTTTTCTCTCTACTGTGGCTGCTGTTCTCTATAGATAAATACACTTTTGTAAGAAACAAGAAACGAAGGAGCCTGGGGGATGTCTCTGTGGTAGAGCATTTGCCTGGCATACACAAAGCTCCCAGTCCAATCCCCAGAGCCTGCCCACCCTCTTATATACACAACAAAGCAAACAAAAACACACATTTCCATTTTTACCCATTACAGAACCCATTCTGAGAAAGCAACTATGTATAAAGGTAATAAAGGAAAAGAAAAATGCCAGATAATCTACTACAAGCTGAGAATCCTTTACCTGAAATGCTTGGGACCAACATTGTTAAGAGTCATTTTCAGATTATGTTTGAAGACTAGAATTCTTGCATCTACATAATGATATATTAGAGGGACTCAGTCTAAATATGAAATTTAGTTATGTTTCATGTATGCCTGTACACAAAGCCTGGAAGTAATTTCATAGAATATTTTAAAAATAACTTTGTTCTTGAGATAAAGTTTCACAGTGTGATTATTTTTCCCCTGGGGGTGTCATGTCGACTCTCAAGTGGTTTCAGATTTGGTAAAAGTTTGATTTTCAGATTTTGAACTAAAGATGTCAGGTGCTAGGTAATGTTTGACATTCTGTAATTGAATATTGTTCATCAAATAATTGTGTATAGTGGAGTGTTGTCTGAAGCTAATATTTTTCCATTTTGATATACCTAGTTATCTACTTCCAAACTAATTGTTTGTTGCTGAGACTAATCCATTCACTTTTCACTAATACAGCAACTACTACAAATTTAATTTATTATTAACGTATTTGAAAGTGTATTCTTACCTCTACATACCGACACATACCTTTGTGTGCCTTTAACAAACATATTACCAGCTCTCATTTTCCCAGAAAGGAGAACCTGAGAGGTGAAGAAATGTTGTGGCCCAAATAAAGCACTTAGAAAACTCCTCGGTTCCTTTATTTCCATAGAAACACCACTTGTGCAAAATGTAAGGGCTACATCATAATCCATACTTAGCAAAGCTAAAATGGACACAAAAGCATATCCATCACCCTGTGGGTTGTCTTTCCTTCAATTTGTCTCATTAAGTTGGTCTGTGTCATGATTTTAATGTGAAATATGTCTCATGGGCTTGTGTGGTTGAACAACTGGTCTCCTGATTCTGCCTTTCTAAGGTACTGTGGAGCTTTGGAGCTAGGCTTTATCTAGAGGGAATAGGTCTGGGGGGGGGGGCTTTAAGGTTTATAGTCCAGCCCTACTTCCTGTCCTTTCTTTGCTTCCTGGATCATAGTGGCATGAACCAGCAGCCTGATGCTCCTGCTGCCACCTGCTCTAGTTGCTCCCACCACCATGCAAACAAATTCTTCCTCTCTGCTCAGGCATTTGGTCACAGCCATGAGGAAAGGCCTACATAGTCAAATTCACATACAGTAGTCCTTTACTTGGGTCCTACACCCCAGGAAAAGCCTGAGAACAGAACAAGAACCAGAGTGAAAGCAATCATAATCTTTTAGACTTAGTGTTGGAGATGAATGGCAACCCCTTACTCAGAAATAAGTCTCTTGTTCGTTCATGCTTGGAAGGAGAGACTTATACAAGTGCCTGCACACCAGGAAGCAGGGAGCTTGGGGAGCCAATTTAGAACATTGTCTCCTACAACAGTTGATGAACCCTTCTTGCTCCTTGTACAGCTTGCTCCTATATGCCACCTTGTGTTACTATAATTACACAAATTATCTTTCCTTTCATTCTTGCCTTCAGTGCAGATACACAGAGATACCACGTACAACAAAGGCTCTCAGAGGGCTGGAGGGGTGGCTGCTCTTGAAGATGACTTACATTCTGACCCATATGGCAGCTCGCAGCTACTCCAGTTCCAAGGGATCCAACACTGTATTTTGATCTGGGAACATCAGGCATGCATGTGGTGGTGCACAGGCATACATGCAGGCAGAACATTCATGCACATTAATAAGTAAATTCTTTTTTAAAAAGCAAAGTAGCTCTCAGTACATGCTGAATGAGTGAGTGTATATAAGCTTTGAGGCCATGTATCTGTATTATATGCTAAGAATATTTTCTTTTTAATTTTTCAAGACAATGTTTCTCTGTGTAACAGCCCTGACCGTCTTCGAACTCACTTTGTAGACCAGGCTGGCCTTGAACTCACAGAGATCTGAACTTAATTGCCTCTGTCTTCCAAGTACTGGAATTAAAGTCAGGTGCCACTACTGCCCAGCAAAGTGCTACGAACATTTTCTATAGGGGCAATGGCCCCTGCCCACCTAAGTTTTGTCTCGATGGCTTTCTCTTGGTGCAGAATGCAGCTGTGAACTAACCAAAGAATAAATTAAGACTATTAAACATGAGCTTTTTCTCTCTGAGTTGAAATTGACTCACCTCTGTAATCAAGAATATAATAAATATGTGAAAAATGGGTTTTGTTGTTGTTGTTTGTTTGTTTGTATTTAGGTGTATGGAACTGGTAGACATTGGAAACAATGTCAAAGACAAGAGACAAACCTGATCCTAACTTGGATGGAAGCAAGGCTTTGTCTGCTAGGAATCTTGCCCTGCTTGGGAAACCCCAATGCAGATAAATCCAAAGACAAAGCTGCTCACTCAGCATGACAGGAATTCAGTGGGTAAGCTGAGCTTTGTGTCTGTGTGTGGGAAGAGTCTTGTGGGGTCAATCAGAACTGAGAAATGAGGTCTGTCTTAGTTACAGTTTCTATTGCTGTGAAGAAACACCATGAACACAGCAACACTATAAAGGAAACATTTAATTGGGGTGGCTTGCTTACAGTTTCAGAGGTTTAGTCCACTATCATCATGGTGGGGAACATGGCCATGTGCAAGCAGGCATGGGACTGGAGAAGTAGCTGAGACTCCTACATCTTGCAGGCCACTGGATATCAACTGAGGCACTCAGCAGTATCCTGAGCATAAGAAACCTCAAAGCCCACCTCTACAGAAACATACTTCCTCCAACAAGACTATACCCACTCCAACAAAGTCACACCTCTTAATAGTGCCTAATAGAGCCACAAGGTCTAGTAAATGGATCTGTAGCCCCAGTTACATATTTCTCATTGTGAATCCTACTTAAGTCTCCATCTGTGTGCACAAAACAGCTTCCATAGAGACCCCTGAACTGAAGCTAACTGGCCACTTTAACACAGCATGGCCAGGAAAAGAGGTAATTATTCTTGTTGTAATGCATAGACTACCTTTACTCTCCTCTCCCACAACTGCAGTTTGAGAGGCACTGCTATGGTGTTCATTCCCCCTGGAGCTGTTAAGGCAGAAGTGCAACCCTTCTTGTTTGCCTAAAATCAAAAGGGAACCCCTGGAGCAATATGACAATCCTCCAGGATTACCTACAAGTGTATTACTCACTGTGCCCACAAGCCAGTGTGCCTACCACCCACACACTACTGAGTTTTCCCCATTGCCCTTGGCCTAATTCTACTCTGCTCACAACTACTGTACTTTCTGTAGAACCCACCACCTTTGCTGGGCTTTCCACTTCCCACCAAGCACTGTGACCCTTTCCTCTAGGTGTCACCTCATCTGCCAGGTCCACTGTCTCCACTAAGCAGTTTCTATATCTTCCTGTCACCGCCACACTCATGAGGTCTGCTGACCTTGTCAGCCTCCATGCTGTGTCCCTGGCACTCTCCTAGACATCAATGCTCCCTGTCAATGGCACCTTTCCCATAGAGACTGGTATCTGCATCTCCCACCACCACAGAGTCCTCTGGGCACCGCCATCTCTTCAGCTGTTATTGCTGACCTCAGCACTGATATTTGGATCCCGAAGCCACCTTGATTTGAAAATTGTTGACATTTGGTGCCATTGCTACAGCTTGTTCATACCTGTAGACGCTCTTCTCTGTAAATTTGGCAATACATGATTGGATTGCAAAAGAAATACAAGAATTAGCAATACATAAAATTAGAGCTAGGAAGGCATGAGCTCCCAAAGTGTCTAAAAATAAAATCAGAGGCCTAAGGGCAGACCATGCCTCAGAGTGCAGCATCCTGGAAGATTGGGACTTGATTTTTTGTTTTAGGGTTTTTTATTTATTTATATTTATTTATTTATTTTTGTATAAATGTCTCCCCATTCACAATACCTCAGAATGAGGAGTCTCCCAGTCGGTACCCCAAGAACTCAATGTCCAGTCCAGTTGCTGCAACACGCAAGAGGCTTTAACGAACAGGAAACGTTTGCACAAACGGGCTCCTCCAGCAGGCAGGCTAGAGAGACCCCCCCCAGGTGTTTTTAAAGGCAAACCCACAAGCTTAGGGAGGGGGTAGGACCCTCTGTCCATTGAGTATGTAACCCTTTGAGGCCGGATGGTTTGCTATTAGGGTCAACAGACCTTAGGGCCTCAGGGTATGCTAATTAATCTTGTCTGGGCAAACCTGAGGTACAGTTATCTCTTTGTTTCTTAAGGACCCTAGTTACCACCTGCTGACTCACAAGAAAGGAGGGGCAGTGTGAATTTTTGGTATCTTGTTATCTCAGGGCCTTGTGAGGGGAAGTTAGCAAATTCTAAGGAACAGATATTGGTCTGGGTTAGCTTTCCAGGTTAGTCTGTCCTTAACTTTACTTTTTTGTCTTTCATTTCTATACAGTCAGTGTAAGAACACAGCCTACGGTAAGCACAAGGAGGCTTGTTTTTGTTTTTTGGGTTTTTTGTTTTGTTTTGTTTTTGAGACAGGGTTTCTCTGTGTAGCCTTAGGCCCTAGGCCCTGGAACTTGCTCTATAGACCAGGCTGGCTTCGAACTCTGGAGATCCACTGCCCAGTCAGTGATTTGATCTTAACGGTAGATAAATAGTTCCTCTCTATTTCACACTGAGAACTGAAGGCAGTACTGTGCTCAGAGGGAAAGCACTAGACTAGAGTGGTGGTCAGAGAAATCTGGAGTCTAACCAATTTTTATCTACTTGCTCTGTAGTTCTTGGGTGAATCGCTCCCTACCTCTGGATCTCTGTTTCCTCGCCTATAAAAAATGTTGTCATCCTTGTCAACCTTGCAGTTTCAGCTAGTCAGGAAGTTGATAATGTTTACCATCCACAGCCACCCCCAGTCCTTCCTTCGGTATTCCCACAGTCCTGTCACAGATGTTTAGTGACCTTCCAGATTGAAAGGAGGCCGAGGACATACCCTCAGGGGAAAAAAAAATACATATTTCAAAAGGCAAATGCTTCCGAGCGTCCCTCCTACTCCTACAGGACTATATGCACTGAGGTTCATTCAAGCCTCAGGTTATCATTCACTGGAAAATTCCTAAACTGTGGAGCTCTGAGTACTTATGACATATTACAAGGTCCTTTTTCTCATAGGAAGAAGAACTTGGAGGCTTCTTCTATAACTTATCATCTATATGTATGATTTCCTAGAAATATTTTGAAACTTTTGTTTTACATAAGAAAAAATTTCCTTGTTCTACTATAGAATAACGTTAGGACACTTATATTTTGTGGTGATTTGGATAAGAATGACTCCCATAGACTCATGTATTTGGATGCTTAGTCACCAGGGATTGTCACTGTTTGAAAGGTGAAGGATTAGGAAGTGTGGCTTTGTCAGAGAAAATGTCTCACTGGGGGTGGGCTTTGAGGTTTCAAAAACCCATACCAGGCCCAGCCTCTCTCTCTCTCTCTCTCTCTCTCTCTCTCTCTCTCTCTCACACACACACACACACACACACACACACACACACACACAGCCACAGCCTGTGGGTCAGGATGTAGTTCTCAGTTATTTCTCCATTACCATGCATATCTCCATGCTCCCTGCCAGGATGGTAATGGGCTAAACCTCTGAAATAGTAAGCAAGCCCCCATCCCCCATTAAATACTTTCTTTTGTAAGAGTTGTACAAGGTCATGGTGTCTCTTCACAGCAATAGAACAATGACTGACATATGTTTAGGCTAACACTTATTAATTAATAAGATAATGATCTTATTTTGTTCTACATTCTAATTAATTCATCATACTTATGCAAAGTTAAGAAGAAAACTTATGCTAAGCAACAACTATCTAGAGTTGTCATTGATGATATTAATTTGATTATTACCTATATTATCTTGGTCTTGTAATCTCTCTTTTATTCTAACGCTCATTGTACTCACTATAAAAAAAGGAGTACTGGCCTCACCTTATAAAAGTGTAGACAATATATAGAGAGTGATTTTTCTGTCTTCTGGACTCAGATTAGGAGCCTTTTCTAGATTTTTTTGGAAGGCCTATCTTCTTTCACCTGAGTATTTCAGGTTCATCCACATTATTGAGTGTGTCAATAATGTATTATTAGTGCTGAGTAGTATTCCATTGTGTGGATTTACAAACTTACAAAAAAAATTAACTGTTTTCTATTCACTTGTTGACAGGTGTCTTTGTCAGTGTTCTATTGTTGTGAAAAGACACCATGACCACATGACTCTTATAAAGGAAAACTCTTAATTGGGGTTGGTTTAAAATTCAGAGGTTCACTCCATTATCCTCATGGTAGGAGAAGCATGGTGGCATGCAGGCAGACACGGTACTGCAGAGTAGCTGAGAGTTCCACATCTGGATCGTCAGGCAGCAGGAAGAGAGAGAGACACTGGGCCTGGTTTGAGCATCTGAAACCTCAAAGCCCACCCCCAGTGACATACTTCCTTCAGCAATATCTACTCCAACAAGGCCACACCTCCTCATAGTGTCACTCCTGTGTACCTAGGGGGCCATTTTCATTTAAACCACAACAACAGGTACCTGGTTGTTTCTGGTTTAGGTATATTACAAATAACTCCAATTTTGGTATACCCAGATTATATGGTTGGCCACAATCTCTTTCCACAATGATTGTGTCATCTTACACACACTTTACCTACATGCAACAGGCAATCTATAATAATAATTTCAGCTGTTTAGCATTCTTGTCAACATTTAATACAGTCCTTGCAATTTTAGCCACTCTTGTGGTATTGCTTTGACACTTCATTTTCCTTCTGATTTACATTTCCTTAATGAATAATAATGTCAGGCATCATTTTATGTGCGTATTTACCATCCATAATCTAGAAAGCTGGTCAAATTTTCAGCCATTTGAAAAACGTGCTTGTTTCTTTTTTGAGATGTAAGAATTGTTTGTGTATTCTAATTAGAAGTCCTTTGTTAAATATATTTTGCTTTTCCCAAGTCAGCGGCTTGCCTCTTCTTTTTTGCCTTTTTTTTTTTTTGTTGTTGTTGTTGATGATGATGATGATTTTTATATATGTGCTTGCAATTGTGTGTCTGCAGCCTTGAGCCATAGAGGCCTCCAAAGCCAGCAGGTGGGGTGGAGCTCTGTCTCCAGGCAACGCGCGAGGGCGTGGCCTTGCGTCACTGAGGTGCGACTGGGACTGCCGCTGCCGCCTAGCGGGTTTAGCTAAGCAGCAGCGGCTGAGGCGGCGTCCCTGGCGCCGGGAGAGCGATGCCTTGAACAGGGTGAGCCTTGCATCGCCGCCCCCTCGCCGTGTCCTTTCCCAGCCGCTCCACGGTCCTGGAGTAGGGAGTGGAGGCCCGGGCAGCACCGGGCTGCGGAGCCGGGCTTCGGGGGAGCTAGGCCGCCCTGGTCTGGGCCTCGACTGCGGGCTTCCAGGGAGGGTGGATGCACTGGTTCCGCCTTCGCGGTGGTGCTGAGGAGAGGTTTCCGACCAGCTCTGACTATTTTGAATCTTGGCGCTGGCGCAATAAGCAGTTTAGCTGTTGGTTAGCGGAGCAGGTGCACCGAGGAGGGGCCGAGGGGCGGGAGCGGGGGCCGAGGCGGGAGGGTGGCCACAGGGCAAAGCTCCTGAGAGGGAAAGCGTGGGCCTGCAGTGTTGGCCAGCCTTCCTTCTGAACCTGCCCTGGATCTCCACCTGGGCCTTTGCTTGTCAAACTAATTGCTACCTTGAGAACCGACATTAAAAAAAAAAGTTTCCTTGCTAATCGTAATTGTAGGGTAAAGTCGCCTTCTGTGTGCACTTTCATTACAGAATGTGGGTTTACCATTGTCGGACTTCCTCCAGCCTACCTATTAAATAAATGACAGTGTGCCTTCATATTCTGACCCAGCCCCATTTCATGATGCCCAGGATCTCAAGTCCTTCTATTGGATATAGGTAGCTGCAGTTGCTTTTAATCCATATGTTTCAAACTAAGTTGATGGTTTCCATTCCCCTGCCATTCTTTCTCACTGGCCTGGGGATAGGACTTGGGTCCTGGTGCCTCCTGTAAGCACTTCTCAGCTGAGCACTCTAGCCCTCACCCAGTCATCTTGCACTTTGATTGTCTTAGTTTCCCTCCAGTCCATTTCTGAATGGCTTATGATTTAAAATTTTAGAGTCCCTGTGTGAGAGAGTTATTAGTGATGCAGTTGTTACGTTCTAATAAGGAACACTTGGACTACAATAACTCACTTGTTAGAAAAAAGAAGTGATCAACTGGCTGTACCACCCACTGAAGAATGTGGCATTTTTGGAATCCTTGATGTTCCTGTGAGTTTCAGAATAACAGGTCTTATTTAGAAAATCCTCCAGCTGCTTTCAGGAAGCACAGCCATTTCTTGCTAGAAGGGGCCATGCTAGAGGCAGCTCCGTGGTTTGAGAGCCACTAGCTCTTTGAGGAGTCTTGACCACTAACGTGTCTTTTGATGAATTTTATTGCCAGTGGTTTGCCAGCATATTGTGTCTGTAAGCAGCACTACTGTTCTGTGATTTCAAGGGATATATTTTGTTGTGAAGGTTTCCCAATGTATATAAATATTAGGGATAAGTTTTTACATTTTCCATAAAATATATTTTAACTTCTACTCCATGTTAGTATGGATGCATGACTGAGCTAATAAAAAATACTAGATGAATGATTTTAAAAATTCACTATGTTGACTAGGGAAATATTATACACTTATCTATTGTCCAGAAGTGAGAACACAGGTAGGTATCCTGAAGAAGTCATGGGGGAGGTGTGTAAGTGACTTAATTGAATGATACATGCTGTAATAGCAACACATAGATCATCAAAGAGTGATACTGAAAAGGTTGTGGCTGGTGACTCAAGTGAGACCAGCAGATTGCTTTTGTGGATGCTCCTGTCAGTGGCTCCATATCATGCATAAATAATCGCCATATTTTCACATAAGTGATGAAATTGGTTAAATGCAAGGCCCTCCCTTCTAACCAGTGTGAAGGCCCTGGTTTCATGCCATGAGGTAGGTTGGAGTCACTGATCCAGTTTCCTGGCTACTAGGTGCAATTACAGGAAAACAGTGTGCTGCCTCACACTATAAACTTAGCCATTCAAAGTTAGGATGCCAGTGAGACAATGCAACATTTTCTAATTCAAGAAGCAGCAAAGGCTTCTTTTCCAATGGGGTTTGATGAGCAGTGTAGGGTATCAAAGTATGACACATTAGCATACAAAGTCTATACGGTACAAATACTTTATAAAGTAGCAGATAAAAGAAGTGTGTGGGGACCTACTTTTCTTCCTTAGAGAGGGGGATGAAGCAATCATGTAAAAGTACCAGCCTTTTACCTGGCAAACTTCCCCCCGGCTCCAAACTCTTTGTCTAGTGAGTATCTGTGCTTTGGCTCCTATTTAAGGTCTTATTTTTCTTGTGAGGACTTCCCCATACATATAAACAACAAAACCAAAATGTGTATTGTTTTCTCCTGTTAGTTTTAGTTAATCTTGGGAAGAGTTGGGAACCCTGAGGAGGTAGAGGAGGGGACTATTGCTTCCCCTACAAATGTTGATTGGGTTGTCATGAGTTCTATTAAGTCTTGATTGAGACCATTTCAGAAGTTGATTTTTCTCTGTTAGGCAATGTAGTTGGAACTGGAAGTATCTGGCTGGCTGATTAGTCCATTTATTAAACTGGTACAGCAAAGTTTGAAGAAACTTAAATCTCATTTTGAGAGCAAAATGTTAGGTTAGAGCCGTGGTTCTCAACCTTCCTAATGCTGCAACCCTGTAATACAGTTCCTCATGTTGTGATGACCCCAACCATAAAATTATTTTTATTGCTACTTCATAACTGGAATTTTGTGACTGTTATGAATCGGAGTGTAAATATCTGTGTTTTCTGGTGGTCTTTGGGATCCCTACCCTCAGATTGAGAACCACTGGATTATAGGTTAGCACCTCCATTTTGCACCTGGAAAATTCTCTACAGCATCACTCATTAAAAGAACTTCCAATCGTTAAACATTTTCATATTACGTCATTGAAAAGTTCACATGTTACAAAGCACTTTCCATTGTTGTGTTGGTAGGGCATTCTTATATAAGTCTGGCCCTCCCCTCTGTACTCATTGGCCAGTCTGCTGTTTGTAGGCATGCAAAAACAAAAATCTCAGTTCTTCCTTGTGACAGTTCCTCAAATACTTGAACAGGCCATTGTGCTGCACAGGTTATTACATAGCTGTACCCCAGCCACAGTCAGTCATGTCTGTTTCTGAACCATGACTCTTGATGCGTTCTAATGTATTGGTACTCCTTTAAAGGTGTGGTTGCCTTGAGCTGAATAAACCCCTGTGTGGTCATCCCATGGTATAACAGTAGAGTGGGAGGCTCCTTGCTGTAGACATCTGCTTCTAGCAAAAGTTTAGGGTTATTTTGACAGCTCTGCTTAACTTACTATACTGCTAATTTTAATCTAAAACCTCAGGACTCCTATTTTTGTGCTGCTCTAAAGCACATCTTACCTAGGAGCTTTTGTGCAGTCAGCTTTTCAGCATACTTTGAAGAATTAACTTCTTGCTCTATTTGTAGACTTAGCAAATCAGGGACTTATTCAGTAGATACAGTTCACTCATTCTAGTCTTGGTCAGCTGGATACCAATTAGCTGAGAAAAATCTTTTTTTTTTTTTTTTTTTTTTTTTTCCAGGCAGAACTCGAGTTTTATTCAGTGGGTTTCTGGGTCTAGAAGAAGGTGTTAGGCCTCTTGGTGGTGAAGCGTGGCTTGTGCTGGCGCCGCAGTACACGGTGAGGCAATGGGAACTTGATCTTGGAGTCATGGAACTGTTTTACAGCGGGCCGACGGCACTTGCCGGCTGCGATCTCCTCCACCTTCATGATCTGGATGGAGTGTGCACGGGCACGATGTCTGGCACCCATGTCTCGGTAGCACTGTGTGACAGCACCAGCTGTGGTCAGGTCCCGGTACTCTCGGTACATGTTATGTGTGCCGCTGCGGGAGTCATAGCGCAGCCAGATGCCGAAGTTCTTCACACGCAGTGGTGATTTCTCAAACACCTGTCCACAATACACTATCTCTCCAGATGATTTCTTCATCTTCTTCAGCTGTGACACGAAATACCAGAAGCGGGACTTGGCCACCACATGGTTTGGTGCAAAGATGCGCATTCGGTATAGTGGTGGTGTGTGGCACTTCGGGGTGGGCAAGCAGCGTCCCACCACCTTGTATTCCCGAAGCGTGCCTGAGGCCTTCATGGCGGTGCGTCCTCCTTGGCCGCCAGTCACAAAAGGCGAGAAAAATCTTAAACTTGATTTTGTTTTGGTATCTACATCTCCCTTCTCTGGTCACCCCAGGATTTTAATTTCCCTCAAAGGCACCATGGTCCACCTATCTCAGAGACTTTTGAAAACCTCTCCATAAAAATGCCCTCCCACCATGTCCCAACTCCCTTGCAAACCCAGACTTTCTTTCTGGACTCAAGTGTTTGCCCAGGATTTCTTTTCCAACTCAAGACTAGTGTCTCTCACCCTTCTAGGCTTTCAAGACACTCTGTACTTGTTTGGTTTAGTGTTTCTCATTTTGTAGTTATATACTTACTTGTATGACAGTTGCTCCATCCCTCACATTATTGGATACCTTGTGGTGCCAAGAATCCTGTCTTTTGTTTGCTCACCATCCTGTCCCCAGGCCATAAATATCACAAACAGAACTTGTTAAATATAATTTTTATTTATTTAGTTAGTTAGTTTTTTAGATTTTAAGACAGGGGTTTTCTATGTAGCCCTGGCTGTCCTGGAACTCAATTCATAGACCAAGCTAGCCTGGAATGCAGAAATCTGCCTGTCTCTGCCTCCTGAGTACTGGGATTAAAGGCATGTGCCATCACAGCCTGGCTAAACAGAATTTTTAGAAAGACCATGTGTGACAGTGATTTCCAGCTTCTCTGTAGCCATTTGCTTATGTTTCCACACATTTGAATCAGAACATGAAAAGTAAAGATAGGATGTGTTTAATTAATTATTTATATTCAGTGTCAGGGTGTAGTTATTGCTTTTCTTGATAGGGACTTACTTTACTTTTCATGTTATAAGTTGTTTTTTACATTTTTCTTAGGTTTTTTGCATTTGGAAATTTTTGTTTGGAAACTGTCTTTGCTTAGGATAAAATGGAGTTCAACACTATTGTGTTTTGGGATGTCACTAGTCTGTGCTGCCCAGAAACCACTAAGGTGAATTCCCTGGACAACTTCTCTAAGCTGAGAATTTTAATGGTTCATCTTTGGATATTGTTGGTATGAGTCTGTTATACTTGGGTATATTTAAAATTAAATATTTTGCCTTTAAAGTTATGTTTTAGTAGTCTAGGTTTCCTTCTTTTTCATTATTCCACTAGTATGGTATTTATTGCTACCACATAGGTTCCGACCCAATATAGTAGTAGGGGAATTTATTTTTTTAGTGTAATTGTACTTTTACTATATTTCAAAGTAACTTTAAAAAATATGGTACATTAAATTTAATACTGAAAGTGATATATATTTATGGTTATATACTTTAGTTTGAAGTCTTTTTTGTTGTTTTTTGTTTTGTTTTTTGAGACAGGTTTTCTCTGTGTTAACAGCCTTGGCTGTCCTGGAACTCACTTTGTAGACCAGGCTGGCCTCAAACCCAGAGATCCTTATGTCTCTCTCTCCTGAGTGCTGGAATTAAAGGCATGTGTCAGGGCCTGGAGAGATGGTTTAGAGGTTAACAGCACTGACTGCTCTTCCAAAGGTCCTGAGTTCAGTTCCCAGCAACCACATGATGGCTCACAACCATCTAAATGAAATCTGATGTTCTCTTCTGGCTTGCAGGCAGAATACTGTATACATAATAAATAGATAAATAAATCTAAAAAATAAAGAAAAAGAAAGAAAAAAAAAAAGCTACACAGAGGAACCCTGTCTCAAAAGCTGCATTTTTAAAAACATTTGTTTGTTTTGTGTGACATGTATGTGTCTAAGGGTGCACATGCTACAGTATGTATGGAGGGCAGAACAACCTTCAAGAGTTGTTTTTTTTTTTTTTTTCCCATCATGCAACTCCTGTGGATAGAACTCAGGTTGTCAAGTTTGGCCGCAAGTACAGTTGCCCACAAGCCACCTTGCTAGCCCTAAAGTCACATGTTTTTTATTTAAAGCTATAATGTCATTTTTTGATTAAATGATAAAGCAAGTTTTCTGCTGAAATTCTTTTCTATGTAATTGTTGCTATTTTACTTGCTTTATGTGGTAAGGGTGTTAATTTGAGTAAAAGCAAAAGATAGATTTTTTTTTTATGGTAAATAAAATGGAATTTCCTGAGGTGGGAGTTCAAAGTTCACATCTATCCTCCATATTGTAGACTTAACCATTTCCTTATCCATATAATGAGGATATAAGATAAAATCCATCTACCCTGTAGGAAGCTGTGAGTAATAAATGATGTCATAGACAGAAAGCATTTAGTTTGGACTCTGACATAGACAGTCTGGAAATGTTTTTAGGAAAATGCAGTCACTTGACTGCCTGTGAGTGTGTGAATATATTGCGTGGGTGACTTTTGTTTTTGATAGTTAGAAGCCCATCACTCTTCCATTATCAGAAGTGAATCATTTAGCTGTATGATTTTGAAAAACTTAACATAAATTTTTACTTTGAAAACTATGGTTAAATAAATTACATCTCAGATTCATTTGAGTTGATTGAATCCCCTTCAAGCTGTTTGTAGTTTTTCTTTGCTCTTTGATGGACAAGTGTACTGGGTTGTTTTATGTCAACTTAACACAAGCTGAAGTCATCTGAGAAGGGGGATCTTCAGTTCCATAAGATGGGGCTGTAGGTAAGCCTGTAGGTCATCTCCTTAATTGGTGATCACTGGGGAAGGGCCCAGTCCATTGTGGGTGGTGCTACCCCTGGGCTGGTTGTCTTAGGTTCTGTAAGAAAGTAGGCTAAGCAAACCACAAGGAGTAAGTCAGTAAGCAACACTCCTCTGTGGCCTCCACATCAGCTCCTGCCTCCAGGTTCCTGCCTTGGGTTCCTTTCCTGACTTTCTTTGATTATGAACAGTGATGTGGAGGCATAAACCAAATAAACCCTTTCCTCCCCAGGTTGCTTTGGTCATGGTATTTCATCACAGCAATAGTAACTCTAACTAGGACAATGAGTATATTGGTATTTTTTATAATTATGTACAAATGACTTCTGCATTGTATTTAACAGAAACTATGTGAAGCAAAACTTTCTGAATCCTGAAAGACACCATTTCACCATGGGACAGCAAATTTCGGATCAGACGCAGTTGGTTATTAACAAGTTACCAGAAAAAGTAGCAAAACACGTCACCTTGGTTCGAGAAAGTGGCTCTTTAACTTATGAAGAATTTCTTGGGAGAGTAGCTGAACTCAATGATGTGTAAGCCTTGCTCATCCTCATTCTGTTTTCCCTCATGTATGATCCCATTTGTAATGAATGTGCAGAAGGTAACCATATGCACTGGCGGTAAGAATGAATTTTTTTAACATAAGTTAGAAAATACTGCATTGGCTGTCTGCTCTAAGTAGACTTTAATGTAGCTATTTTAAAATATGGAAAGGGAACAGAGGGGTAGGAGGAACTTAAAATGAAAATCGGAACACAGGCAGCAGGTATGGCAAAGAAGTTAGAATGTACTTCAGATCAGCAGCGGTGTACTGAGAGGCTGTCGCTGGCTGATTCTGGTGTGGCAGTACTTAAAGGGGTATGTAAACAGAAGAGAATTTACCATGGGGACACCCTAGCAAAAGAGTTGGACAGTCGGAAGCACCACAGAATACCAGTATGTGTGGCTGCCTGTTTCTTCACTGAAGAACTTAACTCTCCCGGGTGGGTTTCTAAGGTAGTGTAAATTTCTCCACCTTGAACTTAGTCTTTCTTTATAGACTTCACCTTAGTTTTTGTGTGATCTATGTAGAAGCTTTTTAAAGTACAAAAGGCTCTTTGCCCTTGAATGGCCTCAGACCCCTATACTTTCTCAATACTGCTGGTTTGTCCCCCCATTCCCTGCAGCAGGGGTATGGGTGACACTTTTTTTTTTCTCTTAAACCTTCCTCTGGTAGCACCTTCTACTTTTCTTTATTCTTTCTCTTGGGGAATTTAATTAAAACTTGCCTAAGGTACTTTAAATGATATATTTAAAAATATTTATTTTATCTGTATAAGGCTTTTTCTGCATGTATGTTTGTGTACCACATGTATTTTTGGTACCTGTAGAAGCCAGATCCACTGAGACTGGAGTTACAGACCGTTGTGGGCTTCCATTTAAGTGCTGGGAATTGAACCCAGGTCACGTGGAAGAGTAATTGGTACTTGTAACTACTGACCCATCTTTCCAGACCCCTTAAGTGATAATCTTAAAGATTCTCGCTAGTCTCTTCAATCTAACCAGTGTTCCATGAACACAATATGCATAAAACACTGTGCCACGATTTGAACATTTTAACTGATTGTCCATTTTAATTGGTTACTCAAATATTGATGACACATCCAGTTGTTTGTGAATCAGAAGTTCCTTCCATTATTTTACATTGCTTCTCATTCAACCACCTCAAAGCCCAAGACCACTATATATAAATTTATAGTAGTGTAGTCACTATTAATAGCTCATGCTGATATGTTTGCACCTATGCTGGAGGCTTTTATGACAACCGTGTTGGATAAGAGACATATTGGCAATATGAAACATGTTATGCAAGTTGATCATACTTCTTTATGAATGTAGTATCTATTATTTTCAGTCAGTTATGAAGGCTAAAGGACAGTCCTAAGGTTTTATTGGAAGTTGCTTTTTTTAAGAACACTGGATTTTATTAATTAAAAAAAAGATAAATAGCTTGTTTCTGGACTCATATTTATAAGGAGTAAAATGGGTTTGAGAATTTAGTAGCATTGGAAGAATAGGGTAATTTGTTCTTATTCCAACTTTTAGAAATATTACATTTACATTTATTTATTTATGGAGGCAGTGCACATGTAGAGGTCAGAGGTCAATTTGTAGGTATCTGTTCTATCCTGCATGTGTATCCCAGGGATTGAACATAGGTGATCAGACTTGAACAAGTGCCTTTAGCAAACACTAAGCCATCTCTCGAGTGCTTTGCTCCAGCTCCTAGGAAGAGTAATTCATAACATTTGCCATCCTTTAGTCCATTATATATGTAAACTCAGACTATTTAATGTAATTATGCTTATTGACCTGAAGTTTTTAGAAGGGAAAAAAAACTATGTCCTGTGACATCACCTGTGAATTAAATTACTGGGCAACAGTAAAAATATATTCCTTTTACTTACTTGGGACAGGATGCTCAAGTGAATTTGAGGGTTTTGTTTATTTTTGGTGAGTTTCTTTTGTTGTTTTGTTTTAACAGTGTTGAGAATTAAAATTAAGCTCTTGCTGCTGGCTGTACACTAAGCAATACCAGCAGTATAGTTTGAAACTCATCTCCATGGGCTAGAGTTGGGCATTTCATGAGTACAGTGCTCCCTAATGTCTGCCAACCATGAAGTCAGACCTGCATAGAGGTGTGGCATGGTATCCAGGAAACAACTGGAAGTCAGCATGTCTGAGTTGTTCCCTTTGGCTGGCTTGCTGAGGCCAGTTGCTTTACTTAGCTGGAAAGCACTTAATTGTATGCAACTCTCCTGTTGCTGGTGCTCAGAGAAAAGTCAGCAGTGGTAATGGGAGCTATAGTCGCAGGACTTCAGATCCATTTTAGTTGGTGTTGATAGCAAGATTCTGAAAGTGTTGTGCTGTTCTTATGCTAGTGTGGCTCTTGTAGCTACTTCTTGAGGAAAGGGCAGTAGAGCTATTTTTACTTAGCCAAACCCAAAATTAGTACAAATTAAAAGCTTTCAAAAAAAAAAAGTATGTTAATGTGGTTATGTGAACAGGATACAACCAAGAATAAGGTATTCCTCAGAATTATGTGAATTTAGTCAGCATTTATATAAAGTAAGCCAGCAAACTCTTACCTAAAGTACCAGGTTTCTTGGGCTATATTTGGTCTAGGTTAATTGTTTTGCATGTTTTCTTTTAGGCAGGACCTCATGCAGCCCAACCTGGCTTCAAGTTCTCTTAAACTCCTGATCCTCCTCCTTTCCATCTCCCAGGAACTGAGATCACAGGCTAGTGTCACCATCCCCAGCTAAGGAAGAAGTTTTCAAAACATGTTTTAGGCACTCAGGGGCAATTAAAATAAAGATATGGAGACGAGTATTCCACAGAGCTTTTGACTTTAAAAATGTTGGAAACTAAGTGGGTGTTCAAAATGTTCTCTGTCCCTGTGATATAGGAATATACTTATTGCAATAATTTCTGCTTTTTTCTTTCCCTGTTGGGAAGTGTTTCTTGAATTTGGTTTTACTTTTCATAAAAATAACAAATGTGCTTGCCTCTTTTCAGAACTGCTAAGGTAGCTGCTGGCCAGGAAAAACATCTTCTCTTTGAGGTACAACCTGGATCTGATTCCTCTGCCTTTTGGAAAGTGGTTGTACGCGTGGTCTGTACCAAGGTAAGATTGGTAGAGTCTTCTTTTTCAGAGCTGCTACTGTTTTGGTAGTTAGAGACATATTTAATAATGTAATTGACTATAAATAAATGTTATTGATTTTGTAGTCTTATAAAACATAGGGTGTGTATATGTGCGTGTGTATACACTCAAGTACTATATGTGTTAGTCTGTGTGTGCATGTGTACATCATGGTTGAGGACAGACATCTACATCAGGCATCTGCCTCTCTGTCACACTTCACCGTATTTTTTGAGAACCTGAAGCTTGCTCACCATTTTGGCTAGACTGACAGGCCAGGAACCCCACCACATGCTCAGGATCTATTCTTCTCTGCTCCCCTCATGCTGGGTTTACATATACACACCTTTGTACTCAGATTTTATGTGGGTCCTGAGTATCTGACCCACATCTTCGTGCCTGTGTGGTTGGCACTTTGCTGAACCATCTTCTTGGCCCTGAAAACATTGTTTGATTCTGTTTTTTCCTTTGAGCTGTATGAATCTCACTGTTGTCTAATTGCCAAGTCACAGAAGAGTATTATAATTGGGAGGTAGTGGTAGTAAACTCTTCACCCAACATCTGTCTTTTGAGACTTATCCAGCTATGGACCCTCAGAGGACACCATAGTTAGCTCTGAAGTATTACCTTAAAAATTAGTTGTTTTAGGAAGTTTCTTTTTTTGAGATCATTGTTGTATATTCATTTAAAAACAATATCCACCAGACAGGCTGTGCTGATTTTGAGTTATGGAGAGGATTTTTGTCAGGAATGTACTATCTTGTAGTTGAGTTTTTATATTTTAGGTAACTGCTAAAAATACCTTGGCAGCTGTTACAGAGTATTAGAAAGCTTCCTGCTCCCAGTAAGTTAATTAGAATAGCAATTCTTCATCACAGGCCCTTGAGAGGAAATGAATTTTATTAGCTCTCTTTCAGTTTCAACCCCTCTTCGAAAAGCTAAGATAAGCCATGTAAGCTATAATTTACACAGTTGTGAATGCCCTAAAGTCCATTCCTGACCAATCAGACTCTCCCCCAGGTGAGTCACTTGACTGTCTGAAGTACATTATAGAAAAGATAACACTCTGTTTATGGACATGGATGGAATCTAATATTGTTAGGCAAATCTTGACTGCCTTAAGACAAAGGGCAGTCTTAAGAGAATTATCTCAGAAGATGATTTAGTTTAAGAACATTGGATTTCAATCATTACAAAAAGGACAAACAACCTTTTTTGATGTGTATATAATACACTAGAATAAATGATACATTGCAAATAAATGCTAGTGACTCACAGACCACAGAGACTGTCTCATTTCCATAGTGAGTTGTCAGGTTTACCTCTGCTGTGTTTTATTTCCAGTTCATTCAAGCAGAAATGTGAGCAATACACTAGAACTAAGAGTGCAGGCAAATGCCATGTCCTTAAGGAAACTGTGCATAGTTCAGGCCCTTGTCCCTTCTGAGCAAGAATGTCATAAACTTTGCTAATCTCCACACCGCCAGAATCCTCCAAATCCCAGTTTATGCTGCTGTGAAATGACTTTTCTGATGCACAGTTCTCCTCAGCTCTCTACCCTGCTTAACACTCCACAGTCTTCGCTGCCTATAGAACTCCCCTGCTCTTGTATGTGGTGTTCATGGCCCCTACTACGACCCCAAACTTCTTTTCGCTTTAATCACTGTTCCCTTTTGCATTCTGCATGCCCACTACTGTTAATTGAAGGTGTTACTTTTACAGCTCACACCCTCTGTTTATTGAGTTCCCTCAACTAGAATATCTGTTCCTTCTGTTACTTTAATGGCCATCAGATATGAGTCAGAAAACACTTGCTTAAACTAGTTTAAACAAAAGCCATTTATTTTCTCATGCATCAGCAAATCCTGATATAGTGGTCCCAGAGGTGGTTACAGGCCCAGCAGATCTCCTTAACCCATACACACACACACACACACACACACACACACTCACACACACACACAGAGAGAGAGAGAGACAGAGACACAGACACAGACACAGAGAGACAGACAGACAGACACAGGGATGATTGGCTTAGATCAGACTAACCAGTATTGATTCCTAAGACATTTTAGGGAGTGAAGAATGCAAAAATAAAAACAGGTGGGAACAGTACTTTGACAGTCAGCAGCTGTTCCCATCACTCTTGCATGTTTAAACATGATGTCTCCAAAGGTCAATCTCAGATACCATCTTATCTATAGTCTCCCTTCACAGACATTTCCTAGCCTTTTCTCAGTTTCTACTTCACCACTAACATTCAGTATTAAGAATACAGTTGTCAGGCTGGGGAAATGGCCCAGCAGTTAAGAGCATTGCTCTTAGCCTCTGCTCTTCCAGAGGACCTGAATTAAATTCCCAGCACCCACATGGTAGCTCACAGTGTCATTAACTCCAGTTCCAAGGGATCTGACACCCTCAGACAGACATATATGCAGGCAGAAACACCAATGCAGATGAAATAAAAATAGATTTAAAAAAAAAAAAAAAAAAAGACCAAAGTAGTCTGTTTAGTTCTTAACTTCCCTGTGGCTCCTTGGGCGGGAACTGTTCCTTGCAACTATGTGTCATGGCTGAAATATGTGCTTTGCATCTGGCAGCTCAGCTTGTATTACGTGACCAAAAACCTGTTGGAGAAATACTCTCCTTTGCATGGCCAGGGCTGAGGCTTTCATTTTGTTTGGCAAGCATGTAACCTAAATTATATTCACTCTCCATCCTTATTTCATAAAATACTTAGTTTCCAAAGAAGAGACCTCTGTAATTATCAGAATATAAATGTATCAGGCTTCCGATCCCTTGGTTTTCTGTTGCTTCTTTTGATACAAAGTTAATGTTTGATATTACTATTAGTCAGATTCTTTTTTGCCCAGCAACTTTAACTATGTTACTGTGTAGTTAAGTTTGTGTGTTCTATTGAAAGTCTTTCTTTCCTTTTTTTTTTTGGTTTTGTGTTGTTTTTGGAGACAGGGCTTCTCTGTGTAACAGCTCTAGGTGTCCTGGAACTAACTCTGTAGACCAAGCTGGTCTTGAACTCAAGAGTTCTGTCATTTCTCACAAGCTTTTTTGCCTGTCATCTTAGGCAAGCTTTTTTTGTTTTGTTTTGTTTTGTTTTGTTTTTGAGACAGGGTTTCTCTGTGTAGCTATGTAGACCAGGCTGGCCTCAAACTCACAGAGATCCACCTGCCTCTGCCTCCAGTGCTGGGATTAAAAATGTGCACCACCACAGCCTGGCTATTTCAGCAAGCTTTATTTGCTAGAGTATAAACAAGATACCACAACATTCTCCCTTTTTTATCTAAAATAAAAAGGTAATTAACATAAAAACTATATACAGTAAGTACAATATATACATAAAATATGAAGACAATAAATATATTAACAGTGTTTAGTCTATTAACAATTGGCAAATTCAGAGAAAATAATCTATATCTATTCTATTTTGGTGAGTCCAAGTCACTTTTTCTTCTAACTTGCATTACCACAACTATTTTTTTTTTTTTTATGTCTTTTAAACTTATATACTTTACCTTTTTTTTAAATGAATTCCTTTTCTGAATCTGGTAACAAGGAAAAGTGTGGTGATATATTATTTATGATTTATTAAAGCTTGCCTGAGGGTTCAGAAAGCAAAATCAGCCACAAGCCATAGAAGCTAGGCACACACCTTTAATCCCAGCAGCTAGAAGCTAGGAGGTGGTGGTATACACCTTTAATCCTAGGACTCAGGATTAAGAGATAGATGAATCTGAGTTCAAGGCCACCCAGGGACACATGAGATTGAATCAGTCTAAAAGAGTAACAGACCACATGCCTTTAATTCCAGCACCAGAGGGGTATAAAAGATAGAAGCAGGGTTTTCAGTATTCAGTAGGAGACATTTATTCACCAGCCATGCTGAGAGGCAACAGTCTAAGACTTGGTGAGAGCTTGTGGAGACAGGATCAGCCCTTTCAGTCTGAGGTAGAGGTAAGAAGCTAGTGGAGGCTGCTTGCTTTTCTGATATTCAGCTTGAAGCTTGAACTCCAATATCTGTCACTGGGTCATTTATTTATTCATGTTACAGAAAACTATAACCATAAAGTCTTCAACTCCATCAAAGACCCGAGAAGGAAATATTACCTGAGTAATAAGGAAGTACAAGCAAATTACTTAAAAAAAAATGTGAGATATGACAGAAACCTGCCTCTGCCTCCCAAGTGCTGAGATTAAAGGCATACACCACCATACCTAGTGAAATTCTTTCTAAGTAGAAAAATAAAAGTATTTAAGACGCTGTACATGCCTTTAATCCCAGCACTCAGGAGGCAGAGGCAGGTGGATCTCTGAGTTCCAGTCCAGCCTGGACTACAGAGAGAATTCCAGGACAGCCAGAGACTACACAGAGAAACCCTGTCTTGGAAAAAAAAAAAAAAAAAAAAAAGATTAAAAAAAGTATTAAAGACAAAGACCATTAGCACCTTCTTTTGTGTGTGTATGTGTGTGTGTGTGTGTGTGTGTGTGTGTGTTTTCCTTGATGGTAGAGCTATTCAAATGATTTTTATTTGCATTTCTTTGCAAAGGATCTTGAGAAATTCATATTTGGGTTAGAAAGAGTTAAGTCTAGTGTGGAAAAATGATTTGAGGCCAAAAGTCTTCTGTTTTTCTCTTTATTTTTATTTCTTTTATTTTAATTAAGAAATGTGCAGGGTGGGGTTGGCAGTCGCAGTGTGTAGCCCCAGGCTGTCCTGAAACTCAGTTACTCTGCCTCACTGCCCCAAGTGCTGAACGTACAAGGTATGGTCACACATTTGCCTGAAAACTTCATATTTATAATTCTTAAACAATCATAAGAAACGTTGTATTTTAGCTTTTGAGTTTATAGCAAGACCTGTCTTGTCCATCTATACACTACTCTAATTATCCTTAAATAACATTTAATTCAATTTTAGATTATGTTTAGGTGGGATGTTTTGTATGACATTAGAAAAGCTGTTAGATTAATTTTAAATTATGTACTGGGGATGGAAGAGTACTTGTTGCTCCTGCAGAGGTTGCAGGTTCAATTCCCAGCAGCCACATGGTGGCTCTATAAGTCCAGTTCCTGGGGATTTGATGACCTCTTCTGATCTCAGGCACCAGGTACACACATGGTGCACATACATACATGCAGGCAGACACTGATACAGATAAAATAAATAAATATGTAAAACCCCAAAAGTTATGGACTGAAGTGGCTGTTAAGAAAACTTCATTAGAGGACTGAGTAGAAAGAGTTTAATCAGCAAAACCCTTGCAATGCTATCGTGAAGACTTGAATTCAGTTCTTAGAACCCACAGTTTAAAAAAATCAAAAGCCAGGCATAGTGGTATCATCCCAGCACTGAGGTGGGAAGGGGGCCAGGCAGGCAGGAGGATCACAAGATTCCTGATTCAAAAACCAGGTGAAAGGTGTCCTGAGGAGCAAGCGATGTCCAAGCTTGACTGCCCTTCACTCATACGCCCACACAGGGATACACCTGCATGTGGGGGGCAGACAGGTCTTCATGTAGTACGTGTCTTACACGAACTTAGTTTTCCTGATCACTCATGTTCAGAATCTAGAGGCTCTCACGATGTCCTCTCTACTTTCAGTTACTCATGATGGCATCACTTCTCACCAGGAATATTCCAGTCACCTCCCAAGTGGTCCCTGCTTCTGTTCTCATGTTGCTGTGTGTATTCTTGGCACAGCAGCCATCCATTCCTTACCCCTTTTGCAGTGTAAAGTAGATCGTGTTATGATTTGGCTCAAAGTGCTCCAGTGGCTTCCTATATACTTGGAATAAAAGTCAAGTCATTGTTGAGATCAGCAAAGTTCTGTATGTTCTGTCTTTCATCACCTTTCCCTCTGCCTCACCCACTTCTGGCTCCTTGCTGGATTCCTTGTGCTTCTCATCAGGTGGACATGTGTCAGACCACCTTTACACTACCCAGTGCTACACTACCCAATACTACACTACCCAATGCTACACTACCCAGTGCTACACTACCCAGTGCTACACTACCCAGTGCTACACTACCCAGTGCTGCAGCTGTAGCACTTTACTCTTCGGTTTCCATCTCACTGATTTCCATCCCACATCTCCAGGTAACCATGTGACTCCTTTCAGTTCCTCTTCTAGTTCTTAAATGTTTCTTTTGCCTTGGGACCTTCTTTGCTCCTCAGCATCCTCCCTTCCCACCTTGTCTACCATACTGATTTCCATCTACCCTAGTCTGCTTTGTCTGTCTTCCCTGTCATGGTGCTTACACACGACAGGAGTTTCTGTTTTATGCTCACTTTGTCTTTAGTTCCTAGAGCAACACACATCATGTCCATAACACCTGCATTGTGGACACTGAATAAATACAAGGACTCTGTGATTAGAATAGTTACTGTAGGACCCACTTCATTAACACAGGGAGACCCTTATATGAATCACTTCATAATGTATTTCTTCTGTGTTGTGCAGTTTCAAAAGAACACTGGCCCACTTTTCTCAGTCCTGAAGGATTATTCTAAGTGTTTCTGTAAATTCCCTGTCATGTTTTATTTGTTCTCTATATATAGTTTTTTTATTCCAAAGAATCTTGTATGTTTGAATCTCCACACTGGCCCACTTTTCTCAGTCCTGAAGGATTATTCTAAGTGTTTCTGTAAATTCCCTGTCATGTTTTATTTGTTCTCTATATATAGTTTTTTTATTCCAAAGAATCTTGTATGTTTGAATCTCCACATAAATATTAGCTTCCCAAAATTTAATCAGGTTTTTGAGTATTAGTTATGATTCCACATTTTCACAGTATAGAATCTGACCCATTCTCAAGTCTCAATATTTTTTGCTACTTTCAAAAATAGTAAACAATTAATAAATGATTAGTTATACCTTAGTAGTTTCATTCAAATACTGCTGTGATTATTTTAAATATATGTACTTTCTGTGTTCTCATATTTTCCTTTCCATGAGCATATTTAACAATCCTAAGGCTCACTGTTACTTCCCCTGCCCTTCTCTGTCTTTTTGAGACAGTCTTGCTGTGTCATCCAGCCTCCTGGGTCCTGGGATCATTCAGGTGTACACCACCATACCCAGCCAGTTCATCTCTCTACATAGTTTCTAACCTTGTAGTTCCATTTATTTTGATGCTCATATAAGATTTCTCGACTTAATTCTGTTCACACTGTCTTTGGAAATTATCCTTTGTTTTTACTTTTTGTTTGTTTGTTTGTTTTTTGAGTCAGGTTCTCATAACCCAGCCTAGCCTTAAACTTGAAGCAGTCCTCCTGCCTCAGCCTCCTATATACTGGGATTATGGGAATATACCACCACTCTCAGCTTCATATAGCCTTCTCTACCACCTCATCTGCTGAAAAGAAGTCTTCCTACCTCCAACTAATCTCTGATTTTCACGCTCTTCAAAAGCATTACATCTTCATTCTACTGACTTCAGTTATTTCAAAAGATAATGTATGTTCCACTATGATTTCCTGAAATCTTATGAAAGTGTCCTCTATCATTGTCTCAAGTATCTTGCATCAGATTGTCATGCGGAAGGTTTGTACAATCTACAAAGGAACTATCTCTAGGCCACTGGCTCCACTTCATAGGAAATGAAATTTTGTGAAATCTCAAAATTCAATAATTTTTTATCATTTAATGTAGCATTTAGGTTGTAGTTAAGAATACAAAGTAGCATAAAGATGTTCAAGAACTGGAGCTGAGGAAATAGCTCAGTTGGTAGAGTGCACTGTGCAAACATGGGAACCTGAGTTTGATCTCCAGAACCCATGTTGGGAGGAAAAAAGCCAAGCATTACAGCATGCTTGTAATCTCAGGAGCAAAGAAGACACAGGTACATGGATCCCCAAGGCTAATTTGTTGCAAGTTTTAGGCCAAGTGAGAGAACTTCAAACAGAGCAAGTAGCCAGTGTCCTACCCTGTTGTTATCAACTTCATACAGGATGCCTGACCAACTTTGAATGTCAGGTGGGAAAATTTAGTTAAGTTCTCTGATGAAGTCCACAACTGAAGAGAATGTTTGTATTCTTTAATCAGACTTTTATTCTCCTAGGTACATTCCACACCATGAATATCTGTTTCCCAGGATATTTGACTGAACTGTGTGTTTGTGCCCTCCCTCCCCCATTATATTTCTAGATTAACAAAAGCAGTGGTATTGTGGAAGCATCTCGGATCATGAATTTATACCAGTTTATTCAGCTTTATAAAGACATCACAAGTCAAGCTGCTGGAGTGTTGGCTCAGAGCTCCACCTGTGAAGAGCCGGATGGGAACCCATCCTCTGTAACATCTTGTCAGGCTAGTCTGTGGATGGGCAGGTATGTATGTACGATGTAACACAGTTACAGTGAATAAACAAAGCTCTGAGATCACAGTGGCATCATCCTTAGTGCTCAGTGACACCTCAGTCCTGTTGCCTCTACTGTGTAGTAGCCAGATCAGTTTTAGGTTATCCTGTCTTTCCATTCATTTCACAGTCCCAGATTAAGGTGGCTCACAACAGGAAATGTTTCAGTCAGCTCACTCTCTGGGAACCCACTCTCTCTCTCTTGATTTTAATGACATTAATGACTGATGCCTCCCTTTTAACAGGTTTTTGGACAGTCAAAGCCATTTGTAAAATTAGGGCCGAGAATCTGGCAAAATTGTTTCAGAAATTATCTACATGCTGTCTCCAGGTGGTCTACTCAGGAAAGAAGAAGCACTTGTATGCACGTGGACACTGCATTAGCAGGAGGAGATGACGTCAGCTGGAGTTTACCATGATAGCACCTGCTCACTCAGGCCTCATATATTACTGTTCTGTCTGAGCTCTCCTTTGTCCATGCTTTTGTAGTTGCAAGCTCCCACCTGCTGCTGCTTGACATGCCATATTTGAATTTGTAAATGCCTCTTTGGAAAAAGACGTCTGTGTTTGCAGGCATGATGATGTCCTGTCTTACTGGGACACTGGGAGATGGCAGAATCTGCATTGACTATGTCCTTAAGTTAAGACGGTGTTTGACAGGAGTTTCCCTTTCATTGCTTTATTCACAGTTGTATTTTTGATCCATTCTGAGTGTTTTGAAAGGTGAAAGTGGTTTTTACATCGGTAGCCCCTGAAAAGCAAGTGGCATCTTTCTTCCTGTTGGGGTCATCTTCAGGAAGATGTGCAAGGGTTACTCTTAAAGACTAGGAAAGCTGTGCCAATTGCTTAGGGAAGCCAGCACTGGCTTCATGCATTGTGGGCTTCTAGTGGTACCCTGGTACCCAGGTCATAGAAAAGGACTTTGCAAGTAGGTGAGCCTGGGGGCTTCTGCAGTCCCGCTGCACTTAGATGCATAGTTCTGTTAGTAGCTAGTGTTTGCTGAGTACTTGCAGTTCATTAAATCCTAACAGTTACTCCACAGGAATACAATTGGTCAGATGAGGAAGTGGATTTAGAGGAATAAGTGTGTGACTAGATATTGATTGACATAGCCAAGACTCACATTTAGCCCATTGCAGCTCAGTGGTTTGGAGGAGGAGCTGGAGATTGTCCAGCTCTGAGAAGTTCCAATGCCGCTGATCCTAAGCAACTGCTCTGTCTGTGCTCGACAGTATCAAGACTGTGCCATAGTTCACAGCTTGTACTTTCAAGTTGCATTGCCACTAGCTTCCCCACCTTTGTGAGACTCATTGCCTCAGAGAAGCAATCCTCTTCACATCCAGACAGCTTTAACTACTGTGAATGTTTTCTTTTTGCCTTCTATCCTCAGAGTAGTCTTAGTCTGAACCTCTGAAAGCAGCACAGCAAAGGCCCCAGAACCAACCTTAACTCCCCCTCTTTTGTCAGTTTGAGAGCAATGGCATCTGCCCCAGAGGACTGGTGAGAGAGTTAAGTGAGTTAATAGATGAGACACGGAATAGTGCCTGGCACATAATGGTATATGTGGGTACATTAACTGTTGCCATTATTATTAAATTATAGCATGCCCTGCTCAAGTGCAGTGGCCATGCATGGCCTCTGGAATTCCACCAAACAAGTCCTTCAGATGTTGAAAATTAATCAAATTCCTACTGAGCCTTGAACTCTAGAATAAGCGGCTCCAGCCTTTGTTTCCTGGGTTCTTCCTGCACTGGTGTCTTGTGTGATCCTCATCTGTCAGCATGCCTCTCAGGGACCTCAGTAGGAAGTGGCACCCTTCCAGCTCCAAGTGCTCAGATAGAGCAAGGTTCCTTCCTCCTCCTGCTCATTGTGCTACCAGGAAGGGAGCAGAGAGTAGGCATGGAGCAGCTTCCGCTGGCAGTCAGTCTCCATTTTCTCTGGCTACCATGCTATTCTTTGTAATGCCCTCTGCTCCTGACTCTGGAACTTCCCTGTCAGGACACCCTGTCACTCTGTAGTCTGCTGTGTTCTCAGCTGCTGACACTCTCGGATGACAATTGGAAGCTCATAAGCAGAAATGCTAAACTATATGGATCTGGTGTAGATCTGAAAAGGCACTTAAATGTCAATATATATGTGTAAATGTTGATATGCATATTTGTATGTGGCTAATGTATGTGTGTATAGGTGTGCATACACAAGTGTATATATGAATACACACATCAGATCCACATGCATGTAGGTTTCCACCCATTTCACCGTTTCAGTTCAATGAGCGCTCTTTTCTCCATGATTGAATCAAACATTAATCTGTTACCTCACCCTAGTGGTATGTCTGTTGTAATTCTCCTTAAACCAGGCCCTAGCTGTCTCTCAAGTGTGCTGTGAGATAAGATACTACCTCATTCCTGCTCTCTAGACTGCTCCTTGCTGTCTCTACTCTCAGTTAATTTTCCTGAATTCCTGTCTGTATCAATGGGGATTTGTGTTCCCTTGATTAGACACTACTTCTAGTTTGCCTCTTAAAGCAAATTCAGATTTAGTATTTTAACATTCAAAAATCAGATTGTCTTTGCTATATAATCAGTTTTTTTTTCTATCAGTTTAATGCCTGAACATCATGTAGCCTTATACACAGGCATGTGCGCACACACACACACACACACACACACACACACACACACACACACACCAGGTTTCATGTTTTGTTTCATGCTTCCGTGGTTTACTTTATGCTCCTAGAATGTTCTATATCAATGTTCTGTGATTTCTCTCTCATGTTTCAAAAGTGCTTACTTTACTTAGCACAGACTATATGTGCTGCAATTTGATACTTGTTTATAGTATGTTCATATCAACAGATTCTGTTATTGCCATGCCTTACATGCTATGCTATAAATACAACTCCTGCCTTTAAGAATGGATGTACTTTAAAACAATAGAAAAGCACAAAGAATACAACATTTAAAATTACTTTAAGGAAAAAAAAAAAAACTAACCTATGGGGTGACTCACCATGGAACAGCTGTATGCTATTTTTAAATCATTTAATTGAGGCAAAATTTGGTTTTGAGAGCAGAAGGAGATGAGTATTTTAAGCTGAGCTACTGGAGTTGGAGTTGACTAAATTCCACACTCACAGGAGCATGGTTCCTGTGGCTCTGGGTTGTTGGGGGAGAAGGTTTCTTCCTGGGAGCTCCCTGAGACAGGTGGGCTCCGGCCCTTTTGTGTCTCCTATGGCATCTGATACTTAACCACTGTGCTGTCCCTTCTCTTCTCTGATACAGCCCTGCTAATGAGGCATCATTGTGTTCTTTATGGCAAATAAAAGATATCCTGGCTCATTTCTTGTATGTAAATTCAGTATGCCTAAAATGGACTGAGTTATTTCAGAAAGACCTGAATGTGCAGTTTTTGTTAGTTTTTTTCTTTAACCTGTGCAGAATTTGTCTTTTATCAAGTCTTTTGAGTTTCTTAAAGAAACTTAACCTTGATATTTCTTCCCTAAAGTGTTTGCTATCCCCAAAATATGTTAATTTTGGTCTCATGTTCTTTATACATGTAAGTCTGAGCTTTATACTCTGGGTGTTTACTGATGCTTCTTAAGGCAGCGAAACAGAGTAGGAAGCGTATGCACAGAGACTGTCATTGTTCCAGCTGTTTTCACACTCAGGGTGAAGCAGCTGACAGATGAGGAGGAGTGTTGTATCTGCATGGACGGCCGAGCTGACCTCATCCTGCCCTGTGCTCACAGCTTCTGTCAGAAGTGTATTGATAAATGGTAAGTTATCCACTGCCCTTGGGGATAGCAGAAGTCAGCTGGACTGTGAATAAACAACTGGAAATATAAATACTTCAGTGCTAGCCACCAGAGCTTTGCTATGTAGTACTCTGAATTTTATGGTATGCTGCCCACTAGTTCAAGTATTTATTATACCTAATGCTTATGAAGTGTGGAGATACAACTTGGTTTTTACACTGTAAGAATCTTTTTTGATTTTCTAAGCAGGATTCCTCTGTGTAGCCCTGGCTGTTTTGGAATGTGCTCTGTAGACCAGGCTGGTCTCGAACTCAGAGATCTGCCTGCCCCTGCCTTCTGAGTGCTGGGATTAAAGGTGTGCGCCACCACTGCCTTCCCTGATACTGTAAGAATCCTGATGCCTGGTTTAAATCTAGAATCAAACACTCCCCCTTTTTTGGTACCTGTCCCACCCATAATTCACTGTATGTATATAGAGGAACAAATCCCCAGCTGTATGATTTTGATCTGAAGGGATGTTTGGTCAACTAATTAAGGTAATTTGCTTACAAGATAATGGAGTATTTAGGAGAATTTATAATTGACATGCAATAAGCTATACATGTATCTGAAGTATAATCTGATATGCTTTAATTTATGTGCACACTAATGAAATATGTCACAACAAGATGAGGACCAATCCATCATGACCCAGAATCACCTGTGGCCTGATTTTTAAGCAGCCGTTAAATGCTTTCATTTGCTGAAAACACTTTGGATTTATTAGACTTCCTAAAGTGGCACCATACAGTGCTCTCTCTGTTGTCTAGGTTCTTTCCCTCAGTGTAGTCATCTTCAGATTTAACCATGTTATAGGTGCAGGTAAGTTCCAAATAAAAGGTGCTATATATGTTTGTGAATAAGTATTTTTAAAGGAAAAAACTCTTTTGTTTGTCTTTTTTTTTTTTTTTTTTTTTTTTTTTGAGATGAGATCTTGCATTGTATAGACAGGCATGCTTCAGTTGGAATTTGCAGCAGTTCTCCTGCCTCGGGCTCTCAACTCTGGAAGTATTGATGCGTGCCACCACGCCTGGCGTCTTCGTACCCTGTTTGTGTCCTCTCCAGTACTACATAGGAGTTTCCACTGTCTTTAGCCATGCTAGCCAGCGTTGTAACCAGGCATGGGTAGTTCTCTGTGGCTCTCACCTACATCCCCTGCCGTCTGTGCATCTTAGATGATGGTCTGTTTGAGTCTTTGCCTGTTTCGTTATTGGGAGTTTCGCTTTATTACATGTTTTGCACATATTTCTCCCCTCTGTGTCTTGTCTTCTTTGTCTTGAGACAAAGGGAGAAGAAAGTTTTTGTTTTAATAAAGCTAAATTTCAATTTGTGACAGAGACCCTATCTATGAAATCTTTTCCTGCCTCAAGGGCACAGACGTTATTAATCTTCTACAAGTTTAGGTTTCACATTAATTCTGTACTCCATTTTTAGTTGTTTGCTAAAAGACTGTCTTCACTAAATTGGCTTTGAACCTTTTTTGAAATTAGTTTTTCAACTATATCTTGCTTTGTGTTCCTAGAAGCTGCTGTCTCCTTATTGTTCCCCTCTGAGCAGTGTGCCTTCTTTTTTTCTTCTGCCTGTTATAAGGACTTTATCTTTTCATTGCTTTTAAGCAGTTTGAGTAGGATATGCCTTGTTGTCAGCCCAGGTTTCTTGTGCTCAGTTTGTTGAGATAATAGGTTGATGTTATGGTTGATATTGGAAAATTTTCAGTCATTATTTTCTCAAAACTCTTATATGCCCCCTTTCCACTATCTTCCTGTGGCCTCCATTATTGTGTGTTACGCCCCCTGAATTGTACTTCATTTGGGCAGTTGCTGTGTTGTTACACTCCCTAGAATTTTGATGTTTGTTTGCCTTGTATGTTTTAGCCCTCACTTCTGTATCCACTGAGTATCATGGCTCTCTAGTACTTTGACTGTGTGGACTAACGTTGCAGCTTCTTATTCATCTGCTAGTTCTGTCATATCAGTTCTGCATTGTTTTTCATTGTTTTTACACTTTAATGTGTCTTACAATATTTTTCTGCTGCTTATCTGCCTCCTATTTCTTAAGTACTAAATATTATAAATTTTACCTTTCTAGTTAGCGATTATTTTATTATTATTAACATTCAAGCTTTGTTTTGAATATGGTTTGCTTACTTAGAAGCACTTTGACCCTGTGGGGTCCCACTGTTACAGTTTGTTAGCAGGAGCAGAGCAAAATTTCGTTTCCTCTTATTCCTCACTGATGTGATGTGCTCTCCGTGATCCAAGAGTTAGAAGGGTCCAGTCTGGCCCTGGAGACAAGATCCTGTGCCCTCTGAGGCCTTTGCATACACCTCTCAAATTTCAGCCTCCTGGCATTTGCTCACATGCTCACTCACACTGGCGCACTGTCGTTCAGTGAAGGGCTGCTGTCACTTGACACTATCCTCTGTGGGCTCTCTGCTGTGCAGAACTTGCCCTGTAACTCTAGCTGCCTTGCCTCAGCTGTTTCTGCAGTAGCCTGCCAGGCCTCCACGGTCCCCTATTTCTTTTTTCTGAGTCCTGCTTCTCACCTCTTGGGAGTCACATCCTTGTCCAGTGCTTTATATGAAGCCTCATCTGACACTCTTCTTTTGGACATTGTATCCCATGTGTTAGTTGTTTTAAGTGGGAAGATGTCTTAGGTTTTCTATTGCTATGAAGAGACACCATGATGACAGCAACTCTTATAAAGGAAAAACACTTAATTGGGCTGGCTTGTATTTTCAGAGGTTTAATCCATTATCATCGCAGTAAGACATGGTCATATGCAGGCAGACATGGTGCTAGCTACATCTTGATCAGAAGGCAACAGAAAGTTGACAGAGACACTGGGTGTGGCTTGAGCATGTATGAGACCTCAAACCCTGCCCCCAAGTGACACACTTCCTCTAACAAGGCCACACCCACTCCACAAAGCTATTCCTCTTAACAGTGCCACTCCCATTGGGGGTTCATTTTCTTTCAAACCATCACAGAAAATAAATCATGTTTCTGTTGGCCAGAAGCAGAAATTGACTATTTTATTTACAGAAATTGTGATGTTTTATTTACAGAAAAGCACACATAATGATCTTGTAAACCATCTCTGGGAAGCCCAAAATCAATGGAACAATGTACCCCAACTCCAAATTTCACATCTAGTTTTTGGAATAAGTTTCTCACAAAAGCAAAAGAACAGTTGCTAAACTGGATATTTTGGCCCTAGATTTCACTAGAAGGGAAAACATTGTCTTTTCCTTTCATAATGCATTTCAAGCTCAATTATGGTATTTTAATTTCCAAAGTAGTATTTGATGAGGAAAATCTCTTTGAAAAACATAATTTTAAGCAATCATATGTGTATTCTATATCAGAAAATTATCCTGCATGTGTCTTCTCTTGCTTTAATCCTCAAAGCTCCATCTTTGTACAATCTTCTAACATTTTCTTGGTTTTAAACCAAAGGATATTTTATCAGACCCTTAGTTATTAACTTGTCAAAAGTCTTTTATTTTCCTGCATGTGGTTTAATCTCAGCACTTGAGGAGGAAGAGGCAGAGAGATCTCTATGAGTTCAAGGCCAGCCTGATCTACATTGCAAGTTCTGTGCCAGCCAGGGCTGCAAAGAGACCCTATTTTTTTTTTTAATGGCCTTCATTATTCAGAATAATAATTAGTAATACTAATTAGTAAATACTAGTAATGCCACCATGCCTATCATTGGCCAAACATGAGTCCCAAGGCACAGTGGCTTCTGCTTAATAAAGATAAATATTTAAATGTTACACTGTGATCAACTCTCCCACTGGTAAGAGGTAGCTTCCTCTTAGGATGCATAAGGAATTTTTATTATGAAGGAAAATATGTTTGGGTACAGTAATAAGAATTAAAGACCCTGGCTGGTGGTAGCAAACAAGATGGGGGCTAGGTTCTTTCTGCTGGAAATTAGTTGGAAACTTTATGGCATCTCCATACAGTACATGTTTTTAACAAAGAGTAAACTAATGTCCAGGTGTGTTGATGTGCACTAAAGTCCCAGCACTGATCAAGCCAACAGCAGGAGGATGGCAAGTTCCAGGCTAGCCTAGGTGATTATATAGCAAGACTTGTGTCTCAAGGGAATAAACAAAAAGGCTAACATAAAATATGCTGGTACAAAATGGTTTCAAGATATTTGGATAGTAGTACAGGGTCAGTGAGACACATACATACTTCCTTGTTTCCTACAAATTTGAGGTTTTTAATTCATCCCTAGTAAAATATGTAGACAACTAGTTGGCCCTGGGAAGAAAAGTAAAGGTTGGGATGAAGAGAAATATTAATTATTCACTGTGTACCTTTATGTTCTCATTTTTTAAAGCTGTGTACTTTTCAAACAAACTTATTTTTTTAGAAAAAGAAAGAAACTTGTTTTGCTTGGGCTTCCCTGACAGGAGTGATCGGCACAGGAACTGCCCCATTTGTCGCCTACAGATGACTGGAGCAAATGAATCGTGGGTAGTGTCAGATGCACCGACCGAAGATGACATGGCTAACTATATTCTTAATATGGCTGATGAGGCAGGCCAGCCCCACAGGCCGTGACTAGGGGAAGACTTGTTATTGTGAGCTACAGACACACTGTGGTCATAGAGGGGGAGTAGAGGGATTGTGGCACACAGGAAGATCAGTTTCCCCACCCTCTTATTTTGCTACTCTGATAATAGTCCCATTTGTAAATAAACTCTCATGTCTTCCATGTAGGGTGGGCTACACTTTGCTACTGATTGGCCATAGTCCCCACTGCCCACCTGTTCTGTATTGCTCTTGATCCCTTTGCTACAGATAGCAGAAATACTTGATATTACTACTTTTCAGGGAGGGGGTGTTTTTAGCTAGGTTTAAAATTTAAGGTGTTGAAAGTTGTAACCATCTGAGATAAACGACCGAAACTAATGTCTCAGTGGTTGTTGCACTCCGCCCCCTTGTGGTTTATTCTGGATCCTCCAATACTGTGGCCCACTATGGCCCACTTGCTTCCTGATGTTATATGTAACTTCGGCAGTGTTTCTGGAACTACTCTTTATCATTGCCATGCTGCTGCGCTCAGAGGAGGACGTGGAGGTTGGGACTTCGTCTTACAAATGGACTCTACCGGAAGAATCTTGGTGGCTGTTCTCCAGACCTGGGGAGGTGTTCACTGGATTTTTAATAATGCCCATGTAGCTTGGCACTTCAGAGGGAATCTTTATTCTCAGACACACATTTTGTATTTCCAGGTTACACTGAGTCATCCAATCCTGAGCTAGAATGTATTTATTTTAGGTAAAGGCAACTTTCAGAGGCTTCGGTTTCCTCAGATCTCTTAGATTAAAAGAAAGGGAAGATCAGGTGAAACTTTTCACCATGCATTTGTAAATCCCTGAAACCCAGAGATTGGCTTTCTTCCCATTTCTCTGCACTCCTTCAAGAGTCTGAAGAGAATATGGTAATAGGAGTGCAACCCTCAGCCCACCTTGGCCATGGCTTGTGGAATAAGAATGTTGATATTAACAGTTCAGCCTATGATAAAACTAGTGCATGAAATCAAGTCACCTTTAAGAAATTTTAGCATTCCATAGAAATTTTCTCACTGGATGAATTGCAAATGTCCCTCTTTTCCTAAGTACAAAGGTACACAATTGAAGTTGGTGTTTATTGATTTTTAATTAAGATCTTAATGTCCATGCAAATAAAATCCCTTTGAAAGGAAAAGATCTGACTTGATTCTGCCCCCCAAATACTGAAGACTTAAGCTGTCTACTGGCTGCCACAATAGAACAGTGAAGTAGAAAATGAACTAGTAGACCTGCCTGGTTCGGTGCTGTCCTCTCTCCTAGCTTAGCTGTGCAGTGATGGTTTCCCAGCCTGAGACAGCCTTACTCTGCTGTAGATTCCTATTGAGAAACTGAGACTGTATTTGTGGCTTTCAAACCTTAGCAGTGAAACTTCCTTCAAGTAAATTTTGAGAGTCCATATGTACTGACTATATGCATACATGCTACCCCCATTCTATAGAAGCTGTATTTTATTAATAATAGGTCCTTTTATAAACTTAGCATAGTGTAGTCACCATTTGGCAGTGTAGGAAAACATCAGTGATTGGTGATACAGCTTCATTAGAATTTAGTGAATAACAGATTTGTGTGATGAAAAGCTTTTGTTTTGTAAAAATAATATTTCAGGGCTGGGGGTGTATCTCAGTTGGTAGAATGCTTGCCTAGCATGTACTGAGCCCTGGGAGCCATCCCAGCACTGCATAAGAAACAAACAGTCCTGTTGGTGTACGCCTGTAACCCCAGCACTTAAGAGGAGGAAGCAGGAAGAACAGAGGTTCAAGGACATCTTCAACTGCATAGTGAGTTCAAAGCCAGCCTGGGCTACACTGAGACCCTGTTTAAAAAAAAAAAAATGTGGGTGATAAGGCTGGAGAAATGGTCCAGTGGTTAAGAGCAATTGCTATTGTTGCAGAGGACCAGAATTCAATTCCCAAAGCTTACATTGGTGGCTCACCACAGCCTTTAACTCCAGTGCCAGGGGATCCAACACCCTCTTCTTCTGATCTCCTAGGGTACCCATACACATGTCACACACATACCCAAAAAGTAAATATTTAAAACATTTTAAAATTTATATTTGTAGATGATTAATCCTCCTGTGTTGATTCTTAAGTGCTCTATGGAACATAGTTTTTAAACCGTGGGATAAGTGACCCTCAGATATTTTCCAGCCCTAAAAATTTATTTATTTATTTTGGATTAGAGTTGTTCAGTTTAATTCAAATTACCTAACTGAAAAAATGTTTCTGAAAGTGAGTAACATAGCTTTATGGGTTTCAGATCTTTTCAGCAATAGCCAAAACTTTTATTCCCCAGAATTCCTCACTTTTGAAGGAATTAAATAGTGAGTCCAGTGTCTTGACACTGCCCTTAGCCCATTCCTTACAGTGTGAGCAGCAAGATTCGAACTGCTCCACTGTGAAATGCTGGTGTCTCTGCTTGCCTCATCAGGTAAATGAACAGAGCTCTTTGTTCATTCCATCTTTCTCCAGATGTGGATGGAATAGGGCCTGCCTGCTGTTCAGAAAAGGTGTAGCCTTGTTTCTGAGTAAATAGACCCTTTTCTACTCTGTACAGCTCTGTCTTCAAAATAAAAAGTAATTAAATGCATTTACCATGGTAGGGAATCGTGTGCCTTCCAAAATGTGTGAACTGCCTCCTGCTCATTTAGTAACTGGGTTGACTGTGATGCTGTAGACACTGGGTTTCAGAAAATGAGTTTGGTTGTGTACTAGTGTAAAGGCAGCAGAACCTATTTTAGTCTTTAAAAAAAAAAAACTGATAGTGTGCGATAAGTAATCTTTGCAAGTGAACATTAGCTAATGAAAAAGACTTTTGCTTATGTAATTTCACATTCTTATGTACTAAATATTTATATTTATTAGAAGACTGTTTTATATTGTGCTCTGGGGATCATGGTGTTTGTGTGCTATGTTTTGAGATGATTTCCTTATATTAATATATATCTGGGTAATAAGGCTGCTTGGAGACCTGCTGGTTTCCTTATTTTTAACACTGGGAAGTTGGGTTCATTAAAAAAAATAGTTCAAATAATTTGCATTTGTAATGTTGGGAGTTTTCTTGCTTTGGGGGTTGTTTCTCAACTAAACGTAACCTTGTCAGTACACCACACACATCTATGAGTGGCAACACAATGGCAGTATTAACAGTGGTGTGACTTCGCTTGCCTTTTCTGCCCTACTGCCCATTAGACAGAATAGAGGATTAGCCCTGCACCCTGGCAGTTCTGCACATCTCGTGTAAATGGATGTCAGTAGAGAAGTGCCTTGAGTCTCACTGCCCAAGAAGGAAAACAGAAGGAGGTGGCAGCTTAGAGAGAGGCAAGTTCGCTGGTGCCCATCAACCACACTGTGGAAAAGTACACACTGGTATCCATCCAAAGCACAAGGTGCAGACACAGAACAGTGTGTGCATCACAACCAACCACCTTCATTTGTGTTTAAGACCCAGGGAAAGATAAATATTGTTTCATGAGCCCACCCCTCAGCAAGCAGTAACTACTGAGGAAGCCAGACAAGCTCTCAAACTTGCTTTCTTTCAGAGTGAACAGATTCACCAGGCAGGGTGGTTTTCAACAGCACAACTTGAGTCAGATATAAGGCAACCATCTGCCCCTAGGAATCAGCCAGAAAGCACCATCTGGAGTCTGTCCCTTTAGAAACCCGGGTCCATATACACTTGCCTTAGCTTCCAAACTGTAAAACAAGCAAACGCAGGGATTCACCCTCCTTCCACCTCCCAAGAGGGTCAGTGAAATATAAGATGAATAAAACAGTCTTAGAGAAACAGGAGCCTGGGAAGCTTTCAGGACATAGGACTCATCACATGCTGGCAAACAGACAAAGACAACATCCAGGGAAAGAACTCCAGGTGCAGCCCTGCTGATGCTAGACAGGTGCCAGACACCGCTGCAAGGTCTCCACTTCTCACACCTTTCACCCACCCCATCTTAATTAACTTTGCTCTACCAAGTCACAGTCCTGAGAGACTTTATTTGTAGTTTTGTTTTTTAAAAAGGTATTTGATACAATGAAAAAAAACTGTACAGTACTTGTTTATGTTTGGGCAAATGTATACAAATGGAGGCTTTTCAAAAACAATCCCTCAGATGACAGGTTTTCGTTCGGTTTCGTGATCAGCCACGTAAGATAGCACATCTGTCTAGTAAAAGGATGTCACGGTTCCCTAAGCTATGTTGACCACTGGGAAAATGACAGGCACAGGATGAGATAATCTAGAATCAATTAAGTATCTTCTGGGTAAAATTGGGTTCATCTGATAGTGATACAGAAGGACCTTTGCCTTGTGAATAGCTAGGGTGGTATTTAAACATGTTTGAGTATTCTGTACACAGGTGCCAAAAGAGAAAGTCATTTGGTTGTTTCATATGCATTTATTGAGCACCTACCATGTTCTAGGCACTAGTAACAAAGATAAAATTTAACTCCACATTGATCTTTAAAACTTTCTACCTGGTCCTGGGACTATGATAGCTTCTGAAGAAATCTGTACTTTAAAATAAAATGCACCATGTTAAAATATTCTTTTTTTACTCTAACATTTGTGAAGCCTAAAGGAAGAGTGGGGAAAGACTGGTTCAGGGACCTGGTTCTAACCGTGTGTGTCACTGCCCTGGTCTGACTCGGGAAAGTGGTAACAGCTGCAATCATAGGATATTAGAGCCACAAGGAACAGAGGTCCTCTGGTCCTGTGCTTTTCAAAGACCTTCATTAAAAAATATGATGTTAACAGCCCCGGAAGCTCACCCCAGCCTTGGAGTGGTCCATGAGATGGAGTCACAGAACATGATTTAAGATGACTCGTTGAGTCTTGGTTGAGGAAAGTAATACAACAGGAGTGATGGCTTCAGTGGGTACACTAGGCTTCCTAACCAGAAAGGGAGGAGGGTGCTACACCAGTGAAACTCATTTTTAAAAATGAGCTTAACAGATCGATAGGGGAGCCTCATGTTTTCTCTCAAGGTAGCCCCTTTATGAAAGGGGGCAGCCAGCCAGCCAGATGAGGACTACCCTACAGGGCATGCTGAGAGGAGTGTGGTGGACACCACACAGGCCCGTGTCACTTGGCATTCAGCCTCGCAGAGTCCCAGCCTCAACCAGGTGAGCACTGGCAATCACAAGAGAAATGTGGAAAATGGGGAACAAATACAAGTGCCAGCTCCCAGATCGCCCGTGGGAGGTGTTCGTAAGGTGCAACCAAAATCAGCCTCGTCACAGACAAAAGCCCTAGTTTGAGATCTTGGCCATCATTAGCTCCAGCAGCCTTGAAATTAAACAGAAAGGTGGAAGTGTGTGAGGAACGCTGGGCCTATTTGGTCAGGGCTGTGATTTCCTCTGACTTCATGGCGTCAGACAGAAAACTGAGCTCATTGCACAGGGTCTCATAGCGGAATGCCATCCGGATCTGTGCTACATTGGTCTTTCGGATATCATTGCCCTCTGGTCCTTCTTTGTAATAATTCTGTCCCAAAAACTTCTGCTTCTCCTGTAGGCCAAGAGAAAGAGAAGTGAGACCGGATTCATTTCTATATCCACACAGACAGCTTTGACCTGACTAGTGTCCCTAAAGCTGATCCTCACTCAATGGGGACATCTTCCTCCCATGGGATCCAAATCTCCCTGCATTGGACCCCCCATGTTGTGACTCTGACCATTTGGTCATTCCCTCCGTTGTGAGAGGGAGAAGCAGAAAGAATTACAGAACTGATGGCCAACACTGGGGGATAAGAACTAGGACAAGGAATCCCTGTGAGAGGTGGCATGGGCATGCAGTCATGTGTTCCTGGAGAGACTGGATCCCAGAACAAATAAGGCCTTTAACTGTCACCTCCCCCAAGACCCTGTAAGACCGCCTCATCCTGTTCAAATGACATCCCCTAAGCAGACGCCCACGTTCTCAGTGTCGGTTCCACATCCGACTCGACTCTTAAGGGGAGCCATACAAAGGTTGCTGCGTCTCGTGTGTGCACTCGGTGCCTGATCTTGCCAAGACTATTTTAGGGCCTGGAGACACATTCGAAAGAGAAGCTGGAAAACACATAAGGAAATGCACGGCATGGTGTCTGCAGTGCCACAGGCCATGGAGACAAATAGATTAAGGGGGAAGAGGAAGGCAGCTAGGCAAGTCCTGGCTGAGGGCAGGTCTGAGATGAGGGGCAGCCGTGGTGGCCTCCAAGGGGGGCTGCAGCTTAAATGTCAGTGCTCCTGAGGCCTGGCTTCCTTGGTTGTCACCTATTGCAGTGCCTAGAAAGCATGCAGTGCACAGAATTCTGTGTGCTCACTGATGAAGGGAGGAAGGACAGATAAGCCCATCACACTTACCTGATGTGAGAGGCCGCTCTGCAGCACACTGTTCCTGGCGATCTCACACAAGTCACACGTGCTGAGCTTCCACACTTGGGCTGCGATGGCATATTCCTCCATGAGTGCCTCCTAGACCCCGCCCCAGAGCACACAGGTTACTGCCTACCTCAAAAGTTCAGCACCCTGTACTCAGGTACATTTTTAATACTTAGTTTATGTGCATTGGTGTTTTGCCTATGTGTATGCCTGAGTGAGGGTGCTGGATCCCCTAGAACAGGAGTTAGACTTGAGTTGCAATGTGGGTGCTGGGAGTTGAACCCTGGTCCTCTAGAACCATCTCTTCAGCCCCCATCAGGCAATCAGGCATACTTTCAGGGCCTGCTTTTAGCTTTGCTTTTCTTCTTCTTTCTTCTCTCTTCTCCCTTCTTTTTCTTTCAGACAGGGTTTGTATGTGTAACAATCCTGGTTGTCCTGGAACTGTATTTGTAGACCAGCCTGGCTTTAAACTCAGAGATCTGCCTGCCTCTGCCTCCTGAGTGCTGGGATTAAAGGCATGCACCACTACACTTGGCTGGCTTTGCTTTTTATTTAACACATTATTTTCATAAAAATGTTCAAAACTAAAAGTTAAAATGAGTAAAATGTAACATTAACTAAGAAGAAAGACTCATTCCACATGGGGAGATGATGCAATCCCTAAGGGGCTGGGCTTAGTCACAGCCCTGATTTATCTTCTGGCTGAAAACTATCTGCCATCCATCACCAGTCCTTTCTTTACAGCCCCATCACCTCCAGCTGAGGGGCTTAAATTGTTACTACAAAGACCTCTGGGACTCAGAGACCTTTTGCCAATTCCATTTGCCAGCTATGTAGCTGTTGTGAGACAGGGTTGCTTTAGCATACTTTTCAAGAAATTGAATGCAGAGGCGGAGATGGGAACCCAGCTGTCTTCTATTAAGTGAGACATTAAAGCAAACTGCAGAACAACGCCACTCCTCTTGGGATTGTTGTTTTGGGAAATATTTTCATAACATTTTTTGCTATTTATACAATACTTAATGATTCCATTACTATTTTGGGATGGGTGAAGGTTTGTGTGTGTGTGTGTGTGTGTGTGTGTGTGTGTGTGTGTGTGGTCATTGCTTTTAGTTTCTTGGTTACTTTTGCTTTGTTTTGATGCAGGGTTTCATCTGTGACTCAGGCTGGCCCCAACTCTAGGTCCTACTGCCTGAGACCCTTGAGACCCCTAGTGCTGGGATTACAGGCATCAAACTGACACATTACTGTTTTTTAAAGGTGAAAGATTTTTACATTCAGAAGAGACAGAGTATTACATTACTGATTTTAAATGAGTTTGTAAATATTTTTGAAAGCATCCCTAATTTCTCACACTATAAAGAGCAATAGACACAACAAAGAAGAAAGGAAGCTCTCTGAGGTGACACCATTCTGGGTGTCAAGGGCCCGGGTGCTGGATGCCTGCAGAAGCCCCACCCAGGACATTGCAGCTTTTACTTTTAGCAATCAGTCAACACCAGTAGAATGTTCTGGAAACACTTGTGGCTGTTCCCTGTTCATAACATCATATTTCCCTTCTCTCTTCCCAGAGACCCAATGCATAATCATAAAAATACTATTAACAAAGCCAGGTATGTTTAATCACAGCACTCTAGAGGCGTAGCCATGGGCAGGAAGATCTCTGTGACTTCAAGGCCAGCCTGGTCTACATACCAAGTTCTAGGTTCTGGCCAGCCCTGGCTACACAGTGAAACCTGCCCTCCCCTGAAAAGGGACAAATACTACTAATTTTTTTTAAATTGCCTGATTTTTTGAATGCATGGTGTATTAGACTATTAGACTACCAATTAGACTCTACTAGCTTAAGGAAATGATTTTATGCCCACTTCACAAATAAAAAGGAATACAATACATAGAGTTCTAATAACGCTACCAAGATCACAGAGATACATCAAAAAAAGGTGAATGGAGAGAAAAATAAAGACTTCTTCTCAACACAGGCTCACCCCTTGTCTTCACCAAGCCACATTGCCCCCAAAACAGAATTGGGCTATGGGCTCACATCTTCACAGTGGCAGGGGTTGGGGAACAGGCCAGGACCGATGCCTGCTGGGGCACCACTGCACCCACCCTTACCCCCAACATCCTCACCTTGGTGTAGTGGAACTGCATGGGGTCATCAGTAGAGAGAGAGACATGCAGTCCCTTGTGTAGGAATTCCCTAAGTGGATTCTTGGAATATTCCAGAAATAGGCTATTGTTGCTGAGAGGAGACATGGCAATAGGGATCTGAGCCAGGTAGTAGAGATACTGCAATACAGGACTCTGCAAAAGACCCAACAAACACTCATGTGATATGTGCCAGAGGGGGTGGTGTGGGAGAAGAATGTGTCAGTGCCAATGGAAAGCAGAGGTTGGCCAGTGTTGTAGACCCCTCCACCAAGCCCAAGAAAGCTGGGATGCCCAGACTCACCTTCGTCCCCTGCCTGCACTCCTGTCATTGCTCTGTGGCAAGCAGGGACTCTTGCCCACTGTTTGAAGCACCCATTTTTGGCTCCAGGTTTTAGGAACTACCTCTGGGCAGGAGGCCACATCTTACCCTCCCCACAGGCCCCCTAGGTGGACAGGCCAGAAGAACCCCGTTTGTGTGTGAAGCATTCAAATTCAGACTTTCAAAGGTTTGGTTATAAATGTCCCCGGAGGCTTCTGTGTTTGAGTACTGGATTTCCAGCTGGTGGCACTGTTTTTGGAAGGTTGTGAATCCTTTAGAAAATAGAGCCTCAGCAGAGGAAATGGGTCACTGGTTGTGGGCCTTGAAGTTTTAGAATACTTCTTACCCATTTTCTACTTCCTGACCACAGCTGCAATGTAACCCGGGTATCACCGCATCCCTGCCATGATGGACTGTATCCTTCAAAATGTGAGCCAAAATAAGACCCTCCCGCTTTAAGATGCTCTTTGTTAGTGTTAGTATTCAGGCATCTGTACTTGCCTGTCCTTGTGGTTCTGACAGGGTATGCCCTCAGCTGCAGCCACTAAGAGCATCACCTGTACATATTCACTATGTTCCCTTTTAAAAGGGCCCTGCCCACTTCCCATCTCTCTCTCTCCCTCTCTCTCTCTCTCTCCCTCTCTCCCTCTCCCCCTCTCCCTCCCTCCACTCCCCTTTCCCTCCCTCTCTCTTTCTCTCTCTCTCTTTTTCTCTCTCTCTTCCTCTCTCTCTCTTTGCCTCTCTTCTCTTCTGCCGCTCTTGTCACCAGAGGCTGGTCCTCCCCCTTCTTTCCCCATTCACTACCCCCCCCCAAAAAAACTTCTACCCAAGCTCTGTTGCAAGGTGTCTTTCTCTCGCTTGCTGCTTTTTAAAATTACAACAGTTAGGTATTTGTTTAGAGAGAGTGTGAGCATGAACTTGTGAAGGGTTAAAGAGGAGTTGGAAGGGAAAGAATATGATCAAAATATATGAAAAAATTAAATAAAATTGTCAGTGAACCCAAAAAGACTACAAGTAGCTCAGCCCTCCAGGAGCCATAGCCTCCAGCAGAGTGGGGGATGGGAACCCAGCACATCCAGCCTGGCCTCAGAGTGGTCCACTCACCTTCTTAAGGAGCAGTCCATGGGAAATGTTGTCTGCAGTCAGGAAGGCGGACACTAGGTGGGTGATGGAGCCGGCCTCCCCACAGTGAGGCCGGAACAGGAATGTGCTCAGGCCACGTTCCCTGTGGAAGGGAGGTTCTAGGTCAGGAAGTGACCCTGGTTTGCCCTGTCCACACCCCCCCAGCCCAGGGGAGACATGGTCAGCAGAGCTAACCCAGTGCACCTTAGAAACAGCCCCTCCTACAACATAGAAGCTGAGACATGACTTTCGGGATAGAGGAGACTAGCTATAGAGAAAGGCCGTGGCCTTCCTTCACCCTTCCTGCCTTCCCTGCTTTCCAGAACTGCGACCTCTATCCTCCATGAGAAGCCAAGTCCAAACTCTGCCATAGAAGTAAACAAAGGCCCAGAGGGTAATGTGTGTTGAAAGACACTGAGCAGCTCAGTGACAAAGCCAGATCTGGAAAGCCCATCTCACAGCTCGGCTCAGGACCACCTTCACCCTGGTCCCAGGTCCTTCTCTCAATCCCATTCTGAACTGCCACACCACAAATTTGGGTTGACTCAGAACTAGCCAGTGAGAAGCCATGCCCCCAAAAGATGGTGTACAGAATACTAGATTTGTAGAGAAGGGAATGCAGCTGTGTCCCGTGAACCAGGTATCTGGGCCCTGCCAGCATGTACTTCCTCCAGTCTGGAGCCTGTGTATGGGAGACCACCCTAAGGCTAATGTAGATTAAATTTGCTTCACTCCCCATTTCTCCTGCGCCTGGACTGTGCCCAAATCACAAAGTCATGTGTGCAGATAGATTACCGCATAGAAGTAAATAAGCATGCATATGTGTTAGCATGTCCTAGGTCTCTCCTGTCTCGGGATCTATAAGTCCACATGGAGGTATGTACTGGTGAATATGTACATATGAACATGTGTGTGGACATATGACACATATCTGTATCGTCACGACTTCTCATGCATATGCGTGAGCAGTAATGATAAATTTAAGTATCCATTTGGGTGTTTGAGTTGGCAGGAGTGAACACAGACCCAAGGATCACATGTGTGTGGAACTCAGATGGGCTCATTCCAGGGCCACCTCACCCACCTGCGAAGGTTGTTCAGCACCATGATGTTGGCATACATGTAGTACAGGTAGTAACTGTAGGGTGGGTTCTGCTCGCTGGTCCAGAGGTCTGGACTGGGACTCTTGTCTGAGAACATGTGGTCGCTGTGCTTGGACTCATCATCCACGCTGTCAAACCCTGTCACCTGTGTGGGAAGTAAGGATGCTGACACTGAGCCAGGGTAGGATCATCCAGGACTGAGCTCAGCTCTAGGCAGGGCTTAGGAGCTCACACTTCTGTTGGGGACCCTGAGCCTCTGCAGCCTCATCCCTCAAAGGCATAGAGATGGGGTGTGACACCTCAGTCTGTCCTTCAAGGCTTCCCAGTGGGCCCAGTAGGCCAGCCTGGAGAACGCTGAGTCCCTGTGTGGCAGCAGAGAAAATGAGGAAACTGAGGCCGGGCCAGTTGAGGGTGAGCACTGTAACGAGTAGGTTTTTCCGCCCGCTGGAACTGGCCAACAGCATTATATCAAATACAGAGTCTCGGTATGTTATTTGGGGCTGGCACAGTGGCGATACAAGACCAAAAGCGGGCGTAAAAACCTACTCCTTACATAGAGTTCGAGCTGCCAAATTTTCCCTTTGCCATGCCAAAGAGGCCAGTGCTGCAGAGATGGCAGCCACTGTCAACAGCAGCAGGTACAGGCTGAGGTGGGAAGGGGCCTATTTGATATGCTACCTACTACCGACCATCACGTCCTCCTGGCTTTGCAGCTCACCAGCTAGTTAGTACTCAAGTGTCTCTGTGTAGGGAAGAATGACTGACTGGAGCCTCATTTTGTTGTTGAGCAAACCAGAACCAAAGTGATTTAGGAAGCTGTACCTTGGATGACCAGGCTCTGGACCCACATAAGCTCCAGCACTTGTTGTAGAATATTATTTTAACTGGGCAAAGATGTGCTACACTCGTTTATGCTGCAGAATATTACACTAACTGTGTAAAGGTGTGTTACTTTTGTTTATGCTGCACTTGTTTAATGATGTAAGGATGTGTGTTTAATTATGTAAAGATGCGTTTCATCTGCTTCACCTTGCCTGACTGAGGCACCTGATAAAGAGCTGAATGGCTCAATAGCGAGGCAGAGAAAGGAGAGGCGGGGCCGCCAAGCACAAAGAATAAAGAGGAGGAGAAAGCTAGGCTCAAGAGGAGGAAGAGAAGAATGAGAAAGGAGAGAAGCCAGGCAGACACCAGCCAGCCAGACACAGAGAAGAAGAAGAAGTAAGAACGGTAATAAGCTGTGAGGCAAAAAGTGGACAGAGAAACAGGCCAATTTAAGTTAAAAGAGCTAGCCAGAAAAGAGCTAAGCAAGGCCAAGCATTCGAAGCTAATAAGCCTCTGTGTCAGGGCCGGACTCTGGGCTGTAGGCAGAGCTATAGGTAGATGATTCCTTTGGGTATGTCAGGTATGATCATGAGACAACAAGAAGCCTAACAACAGACATAGAGGCCTGGGCTGGACACAGCAGTGGCCCCAGAGGCATCTCTGGTTCCCTGCGAAAGACCTGGGAAATCCTTTTCTATCAGGTACACCAGCCCCCAGGCTCAGAGCTGGTGACTCTTGCCCATGGCTGCCCTCTTCTGGGAACACACAGTTATCAGCAACTGCTACCCTGAAAAGCAGCTCCTCCTCCCTTCTTTAAACAGCTTCTTGGAGCTGGTGCTCAGGCTTAGGGTCCAGGAGCTGGGGAGGGAAGCAATGGAAGGCAGAAGGAAGCCCTACCAGGCCCCTGTGGAGCAGGTGTGCCCTCCTCTGCCTCAGCGAACTCACCAGAGGCCCCAGCACTTACATATTTGAGGAAGAGGTGAAGCTCCCGGTGGTCTTGGGGGTTGATGGTAGCCTTGAAAAGGGGCAGGAAGATGTTCTCCAGCATCTTCCCAAAGTTTGGCAGTAGTTTCTTTGACCTAAATATGTCACTGGGGAAATCAAAGGCTTGCTCGTTAGGACTTGGTCTCTCAGGTGGGCCCAGTCACTTTCTCAGCAGAGCAAACAGCCAGGACCCTGAGTGCTGTGCAAGCTCCACATCTTCCAGTGCCCATCAAGCCAGAGGCCACTCGGGAGAGAGTGAAGTGAGATTCAGGCTGAGTGAGATCTGATGAAAAGAGTCCTCACATTTCCAGTGAACAGATTCTGCTACTCAGCTGCTCTAAACCTAATGCCCAGCCCAGCCAAGCTGGGGACGAGAGAGGCACTCTGAGTGACAGTCAGGGAGAGGTCAGCAAGGACACTGCCGGTCATGTCGTGCCCCAGGCTCACCCAGATCTTCAGTGAGAAGAAGGCAGGATGGTAGACCCCACCAAGGCCTTGCCATATATTCTTCAAAAGCAAGGGTGACATGTGCTGAGAGCCACTCACCAGCAGCCCTGCCCACCCCTCAATAGCACAGGAGCCATGAAGGACAGTATGTAGTCCCAAAAAACCCAGGGCAGTCGAAGGCTTGAGACTTACTAGATCCGGGGCACCTGGATGATCCAGCGCATGTTGGGTGAGTAGACCTTGTGCTGGATGAACCAGCGGGCCAGGCTGGACCACTCCTGGGGACTTCTGCCATAGATGGAGAGCCGTGGTTCTGAGTACTGGTACTTGCTGTCCTCCAGCTCCCGGGCCACTTCCTGGTACCAAGAAGAACTGAGTCAGCCCAGGAGACCCACAGCCACATGGGAGACCCCCAATCCCCAGGTGGGCCCTGGGATCCCTTAGCTACCTGCTCATAGGTAGGAAGGCTGATCTAAATCCCTGGTGTTGCCACGTAAGCACCCACTCCCCAGCTGAGGCTTCTCCTGGTAGGGAGGCCAGGGTTTGACACCGGCATGCTGTAGAAACAGGCCTGGCTGTAGAACCAGGCTGGGCAGCAGCCGTGTCTCCACCAGCCTGCGACCAGCCGAGTTCAGGCTGCAAACAGACAGGGGTGGCACCAGGATGCTATGAGCTTTTCCCTTCTGTCCCCTTCCCTGCCACTGACCCACACAACACACCTGCCCATGCTTGAGAGCAGGAACCCAGCACTGGTCTGTGCTGGGTGGTAGAAGGGCCTTCGGGGAGAGGAAGAGACAGAGGTCATACATGCCCCTACTTGTTGAAGGCAGTTGATGTCAGGGATCTGTAGAGACTGAGGTTCACTAACCTTGACCATCCGAGCAAAGTACTCTCCTCCCAGGAAGTTTTCAGTCTTCAGGTACAGGTCCCGGAGCTCACTGGCCCCCACGGGGTTGTACTTGGAGTTGAACTTGTCAAAACGGTGGAATGTCTGTCGGCCCTGTGAGGAGACACCAACCAGCTCCACCACAGTTCTCTGTAGCTATCAACTATGTTTCTGCGGGCCGTTACAAGATAGCCACACTGGAGAATGTTGTCACCCCCATCTCCATCCTTCTATCTCCTTACCTCCCTTCCTCCCTCTTCCTTCCCTTCTTTTAGATGGAATCTAAAACTTGCAATCCCTCCTGCCTTATCCTCCAGAGTGTTAGGATTACAGGCATGTGTTACCATGCCCAGCTCTACATAATTTCCTGCATGGAACCTTGGAAGTCCTGATTGCCAGAACCATGTCCCCTCAGTCAGCCATAGTCCCCTTTGGACAGGACAGTGGTGGAGGTCTGGAGAACACAAGTGGCTTACACAGCAGAGGGTACAAGACCCCGAGTTTAGCCTCAGGGAAGATGACTGGGCAGATAGATAATGTGCTTTCTTCACACTATGGACCAGAGTTCAGATCCTCAGAAACCCACATCAACACCAGATGCGGGCAGTGGCTCTTTCTGCCTAAGAAGGCAGAAAGGGGATCCACAAAGACACTAAGACTAGCCATAACGATGAACTCTGAGTTTGATGGAGATACCCTGCTTCAATCAATAAGGTGGGAGAGCAATCCTGGATGAATCCCAGCATCTGCCTCAGGCCTCCACATACATGTACACATATGTGCCACACACATGTAAAAGCATACACCACAAAAATCAGAAAAAAAAAAGTTTTTACTGTGACGTTTATGTCTGAACAGTATTTTCTGTGTGTATTTGTTACGTTTGGGTTACTTGTCTTTGAATACTGTGTTACTTCCTACATTTGGCTATTGAAGGTAACACTGCTATGAACACCAGTTTCCAAGTATCTATTGATGTCCCAGTTTTCAATGCCTTCAAGTATGTATGAGTCAACAAGACTGAGGAATTCTGAACTTTAAAGAACTACTATGCTGTTTCTACAGCAACTACACCATCATTCACAACTTTGAAAATTAAGAAGGTTCATGATAGCAATCACTTTATAAATCTTTTTTTTTTTAATGATTTTTTTTTTTTTAATCTTCTGTTTATGTGCCTATTTGGCTGGTTGTGTTCCAAGTGCATGCAGTGCCTGTAACAGCCAGAAGAGGGCGCTGGGACCCTGGATGTGTAGTTCAGCTAATAGTGAGCTACTGTCTCTGGGTTCTGGGAATTGAACCTGTCTTCTGCAAGAGAAGAAAGTGCTCTTAACTACTGGCTCCCCAGTCCCACAGTCATCATTTTATAGACAAGGAAAAAAATCTTAAGTGAACCACCTAAGGGCACATGACTCCTAAGTGGGATTAGACTTTGGAACCATCTGACTTCATGCCGCTTAGTCTCCCTTTGACCCATATTTGTTCCCAGCCCCATTATTCAATAACACCACATTCCTTCCTCTACTACAAGCAGAGAAAGATGATTCCACAGTCACAACTATGGTGGCTTCTGTGGGAAGAGTACTCAGGGCAGCTCACCGCATGGACGTCCAGTGAATCCACGGTGAGGTCATAGGGGTCCATATGCAGGCTGTCGAACACCTGCCTTAGGGTGATCTTCCGACCCAGTTTCTCGGCCACAGTTCTGTCAGGCTCTGTCTGGTACGTGTGCTTGATAAAGCGCAGCAAGTGTTTCTGATTCATGCAGGCCGCTGCATGAATGTGCGTGTCCACCTGGAACACATCCCCCACTGGCCAATGAGCCAATGCTAACTCAGACAAGAACCTGGAGCTTGGGTTCCTCTGCACTCGGTGGAAACATAAATTCCACAGATGAGGTGCCAGCAAGGAGCCCAGTGGGCTTTTGACATCCTTGTAGAAGGTCTCGGGTCTTGAATAGCATGCTAAATTCCTGGAAAATCAAGTTTTCTCTTCACCTTTGGCCTCTCCTCCTTGGTCTCCTATGACAGCTCATCTTCACCCCAGACCTATGCCACTGTGCCTTTAGAGATTTTTATTTATATGTATATGATTGTGCCCGAATGCATATGAGAGAGAGGAGAGGGAGGAGGAGCCTAGGGGGGTTCTGAGAAAAACAAAGAGAGAAAGAGGCTAGGGAGAAGGGATCCCTGAGAGAAGGACAGAGAGGAGGCCTATGGAGGAATGCTGAAGAAGGTACTAGATCCCTGGAGATGAAATTACATGTAGTTGTGGGCTGCCTGCCATGAATCCTGGAACTGAACTTCAGTCCTCCACAAGAACAAGACCTGTAACCACTGAGCCGTCTCTCTGGGCTCCATCTGTGCCTCTAACTTTTGTCTTCACACCAACTCCTCCCAAATGTGGACCAGCAGCTGAAAGCTCCAGAACTCACAAATTGCCTATTCCTCTATTTGAGGAACTCAAAGATAATTCAGATTTAATGTACCCAAAAACTGTATTCTCCATCTCAGACCACAGCCCAGACTGACCATCTTCCAGGCCTCAGGCACATCCTAAACTCAAACGTTCACCTTGAGTGGGGGCATGCACAGTCTTCCCGTCCCCTCCTCCCATTACCAGGCAATCCCATCAGTTCTACCCTCCAAACAGATGTGCTCCAACCTCACTGCCACCCCTGACTCCAAAATGACCTCTTTCCTGGTTCTTCCAGCTTCTCTTGTCCTCTATCAACTATACCAACTCACACATATACAAGCTAGAGTTGATTTTTTTTAAACCACCATCACTAATTTTAGGGTAAGGACTGTGGTAATTTAAATGTAATTGACCCCCATAAGCTTATAGGGAGTGACACTATTAGGAGGTGGCTTTGTTGGAGGAAATGTGTCACTGTGGGGGGTGAGCTTTAAGGTCTCATCTACTTTTAAGCCACACCCAGTGTCTCAGTTCACTTCCTGTTGCCTGAAGATCAAAGATGTAGAATCCTCAGCTCCTTCTCCATCACCATGTCTGCCTGCACACTGCCATGTCCCATAATAATGATAATGGACTGAATCTCTGAAACTGTAAGCCACCCCAATTAAATGTTTTCCTTCATAAGAGTTGCTGTGGTTATGATGCCTCTTCACAGCAATAGAAACTCAATTCAGACAAGGGCACTCTTAATATTGCCTTGTCCTATCTCCCTGTCACCTCTATTCCTACCCTTGTAACTATGTTCTACCTACCAGGCTAAGGGAAGAGGCCACTTTGTCTCAGTGTTCCTGCTGGGTCACCTTTCATGAGCCCAAGAAGACCAAGAAGGGTGGGTGCTCTCAGACACCATCCTGCTCTCTGCCAAGGCTGGGATGAGGAGGCACTGACCTCAAGCCAGCGAATGCTGTCCACAGCTAGTTGGTCATCTGTAACTCATGCCAAGCCAGACATTTGATCTATTGAACCTCTGTGTACATTATCCCAGCCAGCCCATGGTGTTGGGCACATCGCTCACTCATCAGGGTCCTTCCTGCCATCAATTTCTGACACTCCTCCAAAAAAGACAGAAACAACTCAAAGTGCTGTGAAACCCAAAGCATCACACAGAGCGAGGCTGAGGCTCCAGCACTTCAGCGCTGAGACTAGACCAGATCAGTCTGAGGCATCGAGGCCTCAATCTACTATCTCAGCATGACTCCACACATTCTTCTGCGATTCTAGCTATGTCCATCAGCTTCCCGGTCATACACACTGCCTGTTGGGGCTCCTGTGAGTCACAGGATATAAAATGAAAACAGCTGGACCATCAGGAGCCATGTAGTCTGAGCTTCAGAGTCTCAAAATGACTCTTTTAGAAATAAGTCAGAAAGGTCTTCAGTAAAGACTAGTGTCTTCAATTTACCAGAAAGACCTACATGAAGAATGTCACATGAGATCCAGGTTCATACACACAGTAACATTTCAATGCAGATATTTGGGACCTGAGCTAACACTGGCCATTCCCACACCCATGCAGACATGAGTAATCCATAATACTATTCTTTTCCTCAGCTTGAGTAGCTTCAAGGAGTCAATCCCCACTGGTCACTCTTGGCCCAAATGATACCTATGGTGTCCACTTTAACCAAAGTGGACAATGCCCATTTGCATCTAATACCCAACTTGCAAGTGGCAAACACATCCTTTCTAAGCACTGGGCAGAAAATAGGTTTTTCAGTTATAGGGTCTGTTTGGCTGGGGCTCAGTGTCGTAACTCATTTCCCACCACTCATCAGACACATGCCATACCCCAGGCCCCTGCCTTCAGAGCCTGGCTCTGAACATGACAGCCACCACAGAAATAGGATGCCCCTTCCCAGGCACTGTGGATTTTAAAATCCCAGTCTTGTCCCTAGCACACAGGTTTTGAGGGGAGAAATAAAGCCTCCAGCACCCAGCAGGCCAGCTCTCCTACCCTGGAGGAGCAAGCACAGGCCTAATCCAGCAGCTCTGGACTCATGTTTATGGAATAACCAAGGTGCCCAAGAAGACCAGACTGTTGGTGTCATAGAGTAGGCATCAACCCCAAGCTGCCAGGGAACCCCAAGAATCATCTCTGTGCTCTCCCCACGGTCCCACATCAAGGCCAAGGAGCGGCTGAGGAGCAGCCCAGGGATAGTTCAGGGCAGTCCAGGGATGGCCATCAGTAGCACAGTCGGCTAGGACAGCCTGGTCCCAAGCATCAGGAGCAGGCCCAGAGCGCTCGCGCCTGTGGCCAGCAGGGCTGTGCTGGACTCAGTGAGGTGTTTTACTGGTCTTCCAGGTCTGTGCTGAGCTCTTACAGTAACTGAGGCACCACCTGACTGAACACCTAAGGTTCCCAGAGAAGGAACAGTGGCTCTGTGTCTAGGTACGTGGTCTAACCATGACCTTTCACCTCTGCCCCGGCATACTTAGGCAAGCCTGTCATAACCCTATTCTCACTTCTGAAGCCTTGTGGTCCAGACAGAGACTTCAGGCATATTCTCCATGGTTCAGAACCTTCCCACAGCCCTGCAGCCTTCGCTGCCCACCTGGCTAACACCTAAGTTCCAGCCCTGCTGTTTGTCCTCTCTCCCCTTCCTCACCCCCTCTCCTGACACCTGCACGTGCTGCTCTCTCCATGGGACTGCCACTCTGTCATTCTTTCCCTCCCCATACCACACACCCTCCCCTGCTCAGTTCTGGCCTTTCCTTGAAAGCTGCTCCCCACCCCATCACAGAGCTTGTCTCTGGGAAGTCCTAAGGGCAGGAAGTGACTCTTGCTCTCTCATTCGTGCTCAGCATGGTCCCAAACCTCAGTGTGTTTTACTTACCTGGAGAAAGAGGAAAAGCTCCAGGCCAGGATCCATTAACACACCACACACAAACACACACACACACACACACACACACACACACACACACACCTGTCCTTGCTGCCACCCCTGCAGGCAGAAGGTGCCAGAGACATTCAGCCATTCCATGGGTAGAAGAGAGATGGGCAGAGACAGAGGCATCTCAGTGATTTGCTTCAAGAGACCCAACTCTAAAGGATGTAAACCTGCCACCTCCTATGTCCAAAGAAGTCCTAACAGCTTTTCCTCTGAGATGACTCTAACACATCCACTACCCTGAAACTACCAGTGCTTAACTGTTCAGACCAATTAGCAGGCTGTGTTCTGATGATGGAGGAAGAGACATGCACAGAGGCTACCACACAGATGGTACCATGGTGTCTGAGGATGCAGTCTTCCTTCTGCACATGTGACCGTATCACACCAGGCTGTCTGGTCAAGAAGACTGACCAGCCAGGAGACCTGACACTCACCCAGCTCTGGCCCTAAACAGACCCAGGGCATCATTAGCCGGGCCCAGTGTGGAGCCAGGTGAGTGACTTGAACACTGACCACAACGTACCTTCCTCACATTATAGAAGTCTCTGTGGGGGTTACTCTTCAATTCCTTGAACTCTGACATCTCGTTTAACATCTCATGGAGGCTGAATTTGGATTCCAGAAAGTTCAGTCGCCGGTGACAATAGGTTTTCCTGCAAGTCGGAGAGAGATAGAGACCACAGTAAGAAGTCACATCAAACATCAGTTTAGCGACCTCCAGAGAGGGTAGTGACCCTTAGTGGAAGAGTCAGGCTCTGGTAGGATGGAGGAGGAAAAAGCCAAGATATTTCCAGCTTCCCTCGAACCTGGCCAGCATACATCTCATGCCTGTAAGGGGACAATTAAGACACAGGGGAGGGAATCACCAACTCTGGGACCCCATGCAGGTTTTTGTTGTCTTATGTGTTTGGGCAATTAGCACATGAATAAGCATCCTATGCATAACCATGTAGATGGTAAGACCCCCAAACTGAAGTTATGAGGCCAGTGTCTGACTGAGCAGACCTTCCCATTGTTCTCCTCAGCCACCCTAATCCTTTAAAGATAGAATCCATTGCCCAGAATATCAATACAGTCAAACTATATTGTACAACCTGACTACCTTGGGATGCAGAAGCATCAGCCATTCACCCATGATTAACTGCCCTAGATCCCAAGACCTGAGGGTTCCTCAACTCTGAGACTCTTGGCCAGGAAGGGGACATTTTCAGTGAGGGCAGGTGAGGAACACTGGGACAGAAAGCTTCATTGGCCTGACATCTCAGGCTCCCCACCCAGAGAAAACACTCACAGGGTTTCCTCAGCCAGCATAGGTGAGCCTCACTGCTATGGCCAGATGTCTCCCACAGCCAGCTCAGCTGCCCAGCCACACAGAATTGACCACAGTTCATGCCATCCTGCTTCCACGGCATCCCCAAACCGCAGCTGCCTTCTCATCTAGTCCCCTAGGCCTCCACAAGGAGCAACTTCTTGGAACTAAAAAGATGGCTCAGTGGTTAAGAGCACATATTGTTCTTGCAGAAGAACTGAGTTTGATTCCAAGGACCCAAATCACCACAGCCTATACTCAAGCTCCAGGGGACCTCGAGACTTCTGACCTCCTCAATGATAACGTTTTTGATGCCACTCCACAGCAGTGTCATCATCTATATGCAGAGATAAGCCCTGGAGTGAGCACAGGGGTCTCAGGGTAGGACAGGAAAGTTAACATTACTGTGTCCAGTGTCTGTCCCAAAAAGGACTCTCCTTGACAACTTTTCAGACAACAGTCACTGCTTACAAGCCTGGTCAAGGAAGGCTTCCCAGAAATTGTTCCTTCCTCTCAGGGGTCTTAGTTCTGGCCTCTGATCAGTGAGGACCAAGAGTTAGCTGCCCACCCTCACCAGACCTACTATTTTCTTTCTGAGACTAGGCCTGCATCCTTCACAGCAAAACCCAAAAGGCAGGAGGCATGAGAGAGGGGATACTTGGCACTCTGGCAGCCCCTCACCTCCCCCAGACTCCCATTCCCATGGTGCAGGTAAATGACCCTTTACCATTGGTTAGTTCATATCTCTACCAGAAAGAGAGCCACCTGCCCTGTCAGCTCCAGCCAAGCCCTCGAGCATGGGTGGGGATACAAAGGGCCCCAGACTCCCCAAATGCTACTTTCAAAATCACAGAAAGCCCTACAGGTTCCAGCAGTGAAACTCTAACCCTGTGCCACCCCAACAAGGAAAATCTAGGATGGCTTGCATGGACCAAAGCCTGCTGTTCCTTCCCATAGCACCCACACAATGAAATGAGGAGTCGGGGGAATTAACTTACGTGGGGCCATCAGTGATGAGTGCCAGAATATGGCTCATGTCCACAGTGTAGGTTTCCAGGTCAGGATAGGGCAGGCTGTGGGGCTCCTGGCGTTCTAGCATTGTCTGGTTGTCATACACGAAAAGGATGCCTCCCTGCATGCGGACCAGGTAGCCCAGGTTGGAGGGTGCATCATCCAGGCAATAAGGGTCTTCTTGGGGTAGTGGGGGAGGGTGGAAGTCTGCAAAACAGGATGAGGTGATGACCAAGTGACACTACCGACCTTATGCAGTCTGCCGGCTCCCCTGGTTTGGTCTGTATAACTCTCATCACTGTGAGACACAGCTGTTCTTTACACCTCGGGTATCAAAAGGCACACTGATTTGTGTTGTTAGCTGCTAGAGTCTAGTCCCTAGAGAAACCCTGTCCTCGGCCCTCAAGAGTATTTGTTTTATTTTAGTTTTAGTTTCAGAACACAATGGCTGAGTATTCTCCTAGTAAGAGAATGGACAGCACTGGGAATGTCTGAGGGGAATAAATGCCTCCTCTTCCACATTTTTTTCTGAACCCAAGGCAGACAAGGAATTAGACAGAAGCCACCCTGTCCCCCCAAAAAGCAAAAGGAGCAGGGGCCAGGCCCTTGCCCCATCCACCCCCACTTCTCACACCCCCAACCTCCCATTCACCCCATCTCCCCATCCCCAGGAACTGCCCAGGATGGAGTTGCTTGCCCAGCAGGGAGCCTGGCTGAGTCAGCCCACCCCAAGCAGTAACTCGCCTTTGCTGTTTCCTCTTTGTCTCCCAGCCTGAGACACTCCTTCCTTATGCAGCACCCTGCTGTGAGGGCTGTAAAAGTGGGGAGGGAGATGCTTTATGAGCAGGTGGCCCTGCACAAGATCACAGGGCCTTGCTTATGATGGCTGACTTAATGATTTTCCTTTTGACTTTAGGATTGTGTAGAGTGTCTCTGTCGGCCAGCAAAATACTCCGTGAGTTATACGGGATATTCAGCACTTTGCTTCTAAGTAGTTGGATGATTTTGCCCAGCTGTAGGCTGGCAGAAATGTCCTGAGGATGGTTAACACAGGTTGGATTTTTAAATGCATTTTCAACATAGGACATTTTCAGCTTCTGACTGGTTTACTGGGAACACAATTGTCAGCAGCTGTGAGCATCTACATTCCCATTAGTTCTGGGGCTGTTAAGCAGCTGTCTCTGGCCAGGGAATAAACACAGAAAGTCAGCCAGCACCTTGCAGGTGATTGGAAGATGCAGGGCTTAGGGCTGGGCATCCTGCCTCAGACTCTGGAACAGGCTGACCCTGAGCTTTGATGGCCACAGGGAAAGCAGAGCACAGCAGAGCAGGATGCTGATGGTCCATCAGACCCAGCAAGAGGCCAGCCCAAGAGCCTCTAAATAGTGCTAGGATTGTGAAGGGGCAAATACTTGGAATGGCCCTGTGAAGCCACAGTCCAACCGACCAGAGGCTGTGTCAATCATGCCCAGGACACAGGGGCCTTCTGTCATATAAAGCACATGTCTGACAGTCATTCCCACCTGGCCCGCAGGCAGACAGGGAAACAGCCTTGGGAAGGCTGAGATTTACCCAGGCCTCTCCCTGGGTGTAATGGATGCTCAACACAGAATTGAGCCAGAAACAGGGACAACCTAGCACCAGCTACCCCAAGGCAACTCCAAGTTACCGGCCTGGATGTGATCCTCATGCCTTTATATGATCCCCATCCCTGGATTTCAAAGGTGAGGGTCCCCTTGCCCTTGTTTTAGTGACTTCATTTCCAATCTCTCCTGCTCTTAGGTCCCTCACCACATCAGGAAGATACCCTGCCCTTTCATCTCCTGTCCCTGAATCTGGCAGCATAAATGTGGCTGCCATTTATGGAACATTCTAGATGCCAGATATGTACTAAACACTCTATACACATTCACACAGTCTCACTCAGGGAGACAGTTTTCACTGGCATTCCATTTTTTAGACCACAAAACTGAAACTTAGAGAAGCAGTTTGCTCAAGGTTCAAGAAATTGGCATGTTCCAGATACAAACACAAGTGTGCTTTGCTTCACAGTCTGCTTCCTCTGCCCAGGGCACTTGGGTGCCACATCTAACCCCACACAACTCATCCTGTGCTGTCCATTTGATTGTACAGTTTTAAACATATCAGGAGCTTCACCCAAAAAAACACCACTGGTGAAAAATACACAGCCAAAAAAAAAAAAAAAAAAAAAAAAAAAAAAGCCCAGCCAACTTTTGGGTCAGGCCCAATAGGATCTCACTTGCTCCAAAGACACCATACCTGGGAGACCTTCTTCCAAAGATACACTTTCCCCCTGGTGAGCCAAGTACTGGGCTGTGGTCCGTGGGAACCGGTGGTAGGCAAGCCGTGCATACTTCTCCCGGATCATCAGGGCCTTGGCCAGGCTCTTGGCAGCCTGTTCATAGTCTTCTACAGTGATCTGCAGCAAGAAGACATGCAAGAAAGAGTCTACACACAAGACAACTGTGCTTGGAGAGGTCTTGTGCAAGCCTGGCCCCCATGAGCCTGGATTTCCAGACAGTACCCATCAATTGATAAGAGGGGCCTCATTGTGTGTGGTCTATTTATACAAACACTAGGATTTATGCTGGGTACCTGAGTTCCTCCTAAGAGTCTGGAATTGGGGATGTGCTATGCAGATGTGCAAGTAAAGCCTAGTCTCTAATGAGCTTCCCTGATGGACACTAGGTGTTGGTGCCTCACTAGGAGAGACTGTTGGAGTCTGTCTTGGTATCCCCTGTCTTGGTATCACCCTGTGTGTTCCTTCCCTTCGCTGACTTGCTTTATGTCCTTTCTATAATAAATTAAGACTGTAGGTACAACCAGTTTCTGCATCCTGAGAGCCCTTCTAGAAAGTCCCAAAGCTTGCAGGTGATCTTGGAGACCCTGACACAGAAGACACAGGAAGAGAGATGGGGTTGCTAGAAGGGAGACGGATACTCAGCCTGTGCACCCCAGACTGGCCCCAAAAATGCTGACTGAACCAGAAGTATGTGGATGCATGCAGCATACAGAGCCTGGAACCTGTCCCTGGTAAGAATAACCACCATCATTTTCAGCTGAGAAAAATCCATGGGTCCCCAGATACTAAAAGCAAAACATCTCTGTTCTCAGGATGCTACTCTGCCAACCCAGAACTGTCAGTCCATCTGGCAATCACCCGATTCATCATATCAGCAGGACTCTTAGTCATATATTAAGCACTAGGTGTTTCCATAGGTTTCATTTTGTTTCTTACCTGGGGAAACTAGGACCAGAAAGGATCCAACACTGACAGGAAATCACAAGGCCAACCTTCAGACCCTGATCTGACTGATCCACAAAGCCCCAGGATGCTCTCCTCACATTCAGAGATTTGTGAAATCTCTGACCACCTTTCCAGCCTCCATCACCCTAGTCCCTCAGTGAGGATGAATGTCACTGAAGTCTGAATTTGCTTGATGAGGTGCAGTTTGGACAGGCATGGCAGGAGGGAGGGGATACTAACAGTGAGGTTCAGGAGGCCGAAGGAGCAGACTGAGGGAAGCTGGACCTGGAATGTCCCCCCTCTGCTTCACAGTGTCATTGGTTTGACTGAAATATTGTCCCTCTACAGACATTTGTGCACCTGTCTACCAAGACCCTGATATTCACATTTCTCCTAATTGCCTCAGATGCCCTTCAGGGCATTCATCATGCGTTCAGCCCACTTCTATCCTCTAGTCCATTACTCTGCCCACATGCATGACGTGGACACCAAGCCCTGGCCAAGTGGCTAAGGCTAATAGCCAGGAGTTGGTAGAGTAGCAGCCTGGCCAAAAAGGAACTGCATTAGTTCCCATCCCCAAGAAGTCAATATGTGGTACAACCACACAATGGAACACTATGTACACATAAAGAAGAACAAGGAAGCTCTTTCATAAATTAATATAGTTCATCTCCAGGAAAATCATATTCGTTTTCTCATCAAGAGCCTGCCTTGCTGGTTGAGGGGTTTCTAGCCTATGTTTAACATGTAAAGGTTAATTTTACACAAGTCAAGACCATCACATCATCGCCACTGGACACTGGGACTGTCGACAGGCCTAGTTTGCAATCTTCTCAAAGGGCAGATTTCTGGGCTGGGGAACATACAGAACTAACTGGGCATGGCCACAGCATGCCAGCTGGAAGCTCTTGGTCTTGCATACCAGGATAGAGCAGCTCCAGAGACATGCCCACACCCCAGAGTCTCCATTGGGGCCTCCCTTCTCTTTAGGTTCCTGGGTCCCCTTCTACCACCTCCCTCCCCACACACACTGGGCCAGGTATGATCTTACCCCTGCACAGTAATCTCCACTGATAGTGACCCTCTGATACTCAGGCATGGCATAGGGTACTGGCCCAGGCTTGGAAGTGGCTCCAGGAACCAGAGGAGTTGCAGGAGACATGGCCGGACTGACGGTTGGAGGGCCTTTCCAGTCTTGTTGTGTTGGCATCTGCAGGGACAGAGACTGCGACCGAATCATCTTGAAACTCTTCTTTCTAAGAGCCAAGGACAAGGGACAGAAAATGCATCAGCTGCTAATAGGGAGAGTCTCACTCAGGAGGAGGGAAATTCCACTGTCATCAACCACTGGAGCTGAGTATCACTAAGAAGCTCCTGGTGGGCTAGGGAGATGTTCAATGATAAAGCACTTACTGCATAAGAATGAGGACCTGTGTTCGAGTCCCCACCCACATAGGGCTGGACATCACTGTGGGCATCAGTGACTGCACAGGTGGATCACGGAGGGAGGGCTCTCTGGTCAGTCCATTTAGCTGAAGAGACTAAGGGTTTAGTGAAGAGACTATCTCAAAAAATAAGATGGCGCCCAATAGAGGACGACATCAGCTTCTGGCCTCCACACTCACACCTGCACACACACAATTTTCTGGTTGCTTATGATTCCCTCTACCCAGCCTTCCAACCCTGTACTAAGGTCATGCCTTGGTGCTATGGGTCAATGTGACAGGGAACAGACAGACACAGACTACACTGCAGGGACTCCAATACCACAGTGCATGAATGTCAGGGTGACACTGGGTCAGAGAGGCATTCCCCAAGGTGTGGACAGCCTACTCTCTTCAAATAAGCCAAACTCAGATGAAGTCTCCAGGAAGATCTTGGACAGGTATACAAAAGCACAACATTGTATATTAGTTACAAATCTGGACACAGGAACTAAAAGGGATGGGAGTAATCAATTTGTTGACCCCCTTGGTTAGGATCCAGAGCAGAACGGCCCTTACACAAAATCACACAGCAAGGCAGCTGCTTTCTCCAGCCATTAGCCAGCTTCTCCTTCCTCAAACCTGACGTTTGCCATCCTGGCAGAAGCCAGGGCTGGCACAGGTCTCCTGCATCTCTGCTATAGGAGAGGAATTGGCCAATAGCAGTATTACACCTGGACCTTGGGCCTCTGGTTCTAGCACTGAAAGAGGAATCCTCAGACTGATTTAAAATACTGCAAGTTCATGGTTACTTGTAAATCTGATTTGTGATGACTTCTTTTGTTAACAAAATCAAAAATGTTTCAGTTGACATCAGTCCAAGTCCTGGGATCCTCAGGAAGGAAATGACTCGGCACTGGGAAAATGCCAGCAGCAGCAGCTGGACTCCTCCTCTGAAACCGTAAGCAAGCCCCCAATTAAACACTTTCTTCTATAAGTTGTCTTAGTCATGGTGTCTCTTCACAGCAATAGAATAGTGACTAAGACATGCCTGACAGCATTGGGTGTGGTAAAGCAATCCATCGCAAGTGGGCTCTTGCTCACCCAGAAGCAGCCAACTTCCGGCTAGCATTGTCCAGGTCTCCTCCTGCCCAACCTTCCAGAACCCAGTTCACCCCACCTGCTTGCCATGGGCCTCTCTGGCTTTCACGTGCCATCCCTAAGGACCTGTGTTCCTACCTCCCTGAGACAAGGCTGTTTACAACTAAGAGATGGAACTGTCCCCTTCTCAGGAGGCACCTCCCCAGAGCTCCCATGGCTCCCAAACCAAGCTGCTTCAGAAACCTCAACCAGAACCCCAGGAAATCCCAGGTTTTTCCTGCCCTGCTGTTCTTCCTTCACCTGGAACTGAACCAATATCCTGCACCATGAAGGACATATGCCAGTGTGGGCCAGCCAGCCAGTCCTGGGTGTTAGATGAACCATGAGCACAGAGATTCTTCTATGGGCATCTTTTGGACATCTTGACTCTGCTCAGCTCATTCAGTGAGACTCCAGTTTCTGTGTCATACCTATACCCGCCAACCACTGTTTCATATCTACACCAACATTATCCCCTTGTGCCTCAGCCTGGGGTCTGGCCCAACCAAGGCAAAGCAATGAGTAACTTCTCAGGTGAGCGACAGGTAAGAAAGGTTGAAAAAAATCATCTGGAAGACTGCCTAAGTCAAGAACCTACTAGGCTTTTCCTATGAATGCCCTGATAGGAATGAATACATCTGTTCCATTGAGGAAGCCAGTACCCACCAGCTGGTACTCAGAGAATGTTCCTTCTTGCCCATATTCACTGAGGGTCTAGCCATACTGTCACACATGGATGGGGATATGACTCAGTTGGTAGAGTGCTTGCCTAGAATTCATCAAAGTCCTAAGTTTGATACCCAAAACCATATAAATCAGGAATGCTCTCTCTCTCTCTCTCTCTCTCTCTCTCTCTCTCTCTCTCTCTCTCTCACACACACACACACACACACCTATAATTGAAGCTATCGGGGGGGGGGTAGAGATAGAAGGATCTGAATTAAAGGACATTGTATGATATTCAGCAAGTTCAAGGATGGCCTGGGCTACATAAGAAAGACTATCATACAAAAAACATTCACAGGCTGACAGCTCACACTTACAAGTCCAGGGGTAGTTTAAAATTAATTGCTGGACCACCTCCTCAAGGCTACAATCCTAGTGAGGGGTAGGTTGGGGGCTGGAAACACTGAGCTGGCATCTGGAAGTAGAAATGCTATTGTCTACTGCTATATAACATTGCCACAGACTTCATGACTTGGACCAATGCCTATTTGTGACTCCCCAGTTCTGTTGGTGAGAAGGTCAGCTGGGATTGGCAGGGCTCCAAGCTCAGACCAAAACAGACATTGGCTGCACTGGGCTCTCTGGAAAGAATTCTCTTCTAAGATCAGTCAGGTTGTTGGCAGAATTCAGTTCTACATAACTGTGAAGACTGAGATCCCCAGTTCCCTGGTGACTTGGCTAGAGGTCACCTTGACCCCTACAGACAGCACTAATTCTTGAAGAAATCCCTGTGTCTTCAGTCAGGAAACCCTGAGCATTGTGTGCTACCAGTCTCTCTGTCTTACCCCTCTGTGCTGAGCCTAGACAAGTGCTGTTTGACAGCCTTTGTAATTAGATCCAGTCCACTGGCAACCTCCCAACTATAATGTCAGGTGATGCCTTGTCTGTAGGGTAATTACAAGAGTGACAGCTTATATACATAGTCTGGAGACCAGAGCGCAACATCTTGGCAGAGCGAGACATTTAAAAAAATTTGCCTATGGGGCATGGAGAGACGGCCCAAAGGTAAAGTGCTTGCCATGAAGACTTGAATTCAGATCCCAGAACCATCATATAATCTGTGAGTTGCTAACACATGCCTGTCCCAGCCCTGGGAGGCTGGGTGAATCCTGGGGGTTTGCAGGCCAACAGGTAAGTTTAGACAGAATGTCTACCTTTATGGTCAGTAAGAGACAGTACCTAAAAAATAAATAAATAAAACAGAGAGCCACAGAGAAAGACACCTGACAAAGATCTCTGGCCTCCATACATATGCATGTGTGCATGTGTACATACATACACACATAGACACACACATACACACACACACACACACACACACAAGATTAACTAATTGATTGATTAGTTCTGCCTACAATAGACTATAGACTAGTATACTTGTATCCACACATGTGTATATGTGGATGTGTGTACATATGCCATACATGCACTCTTTCCCTCACAAGGCTGTATGAACCCTTCATGTATCACAATAATAAAAAGTCACACAGAACTACCAAAAGCTTCAGCAGACTTAGAGAACCATAGGGTCTCTGGCAGGAAGACTTGAAAGACTATATACCCAGTCCTACATTCTTGAGTGAAGCGTCAACATTCAATTAGTCATTCATTAAACATCTACCAAACACCTGTTCCTGGCCAGGCCAGTGCAAGACGCACAAACACTCATAGAGCTGAACAAAGTGTGACCTGTTGCCACTGATATGAAGCACTTCGTCAACAGTCTGTCCACAGCCCACCTGTCACGCCTTGTGCTAGCCTCTAGGGCACCAGGCTTAGCCAGCTCACTCTGGCACAGCTGGCCTGCTCCTTCCTTCCTCCAACCACCTGGCAGAAATACTCTTGCTTGCCAAGGAGCTGGCAGGGTGTGCCACTGTGAAGACACCAATTTCATACCAAGCCTGAGGCCTGGGCTTGGGAGCAGCTTCATCCTCATGGGGCCACAGGGAACTTCTTGCTGACCATGCTCTCAAGACAATAAGGTAAGCTGGACCGATCCAGTTTCTCCACCTGTGCTACAGCCCTTGGATATCCCTGCCACTCATCATATCCCCACCCCCACTCTGCCCAATCCCTCTGATTCACATACTAAATCCAAGTCCAGAAGTTTGCATGGATGGTCTTCTCAGAGCCTTCCGAAGCCTCCGCTCTTGTGCATTTGTCCAAGGCCAGCTAGCCAAGCAGAAGAGCCAATGCAAGACTCTCACCGAGCTCTCAGAAATGCACAGTGAAGCAAGGGACCACTTGTGACCCTACTTTATGAATCTCTGAGGGCCAGGTCCTGGGTAATGACAGGTACATCAAACATAACCCCAGATTCTGCGGGCTCACTAGGATCACAGAGATGGGCCTGGAAAGTTGGACAGATGTTTAACATGCAATGTGGTCATGTCACGGGGTATTTTGGGATCCCAGAGGAGACACCTAATCCAGACTGGGCATGGGAATAATGGAACAACAGGGGCAAAGGGAGAGAGAGGGGGCTTCTCAGAATGGCAAGATTTTGGAGTTCATCCCTGAAGCACACCAGTTCATTCCAGGGGTCCCTCCACCTCCAGATGAAAAGCAAGGAGACTCTTAAATTCTGGAGGCAGCAGCCAGCAAAGAATGGTTAATAGAACACTCTGCATGCTATTAGGAGGGACAGGTTTCTTCTCTTCCACAGACTCAGTTGTGCTGGTGGCTTATCATGGTCACGGAACTGTTCCACATGGAAATGAGACCCCTGCTGTAAGGAGGGGGCAGGTAAAGAAAGGGCTGACACATGTTGTGTGCCTGATACCAGAGATCCAAGCCTATGTGGGGAGGACATGGAAAGCATGGGGCATGCTGTGTGCTAACTGCCCTAACAGGCATCTACAGACAATGTGTGGGGAACAGGGTTGCAGGCCACTCATTCTGTGGATGTGGCCAAGAGACCAGCAGCCTGAGTAGGAGGGTGCAACTTTTCCATACCCAGAAGCTCA